AATGAATGTTGTCTTGTACTTTTAGATGTATAAATGCAGTACTATGCATCTTTTTTAGTTTTTTTAATTTTAATTTTAATTTATTTTATTTTTAATTTAATATTTAATATCATTTTAAATTTTAATTTATCTTTAATTTTTAATATTAATTTTTAATTTATGGAATGAAACAAGCATTTCTATAACATCATGCAGTAAAAAGGATGATTGCACAGAAAACTACAAATCTATTATGTACAACTTGCTGTTGCTTTTAAAATCTAATGAAGTTATCATGTAAATTTCTTTTTTTTTCTTTTTTTCTTCCCTCCCCAATGAACACATTGGTTTAACTGGTTACTATTACTAGTGTTTTATTTTATTATATTTAACTACTTTATTGTTAATAAAGTTTCTCCTTATTAAAAAAGCTTATCAAATGGTGCTCTGCACTGTGATACATATATTGTATACGAATTTATAAATTCAAAGTAATTTTAAATGATTTCAGGAGGAACTCAACAATTTTTGATCACAGGGAGAAATGTAACACCAGTTTCAATAGATTTTCCCACAGAGACTATAGATGATGTTAACTGTAACTTTTAGAGAGGGTGTCCCATCTTGAAGTAACACTTTAACTGCCATTCCATGAGGAGTCATTTGAGAAGAGCCAGTTTTCCTGTAATGTCTAGAATGGTATCTGAGTAAGACAGAGAAAGAGAATGAAGATGACCTCATATGACACTATTGTAATCTTTATCTCATAAAGAGGGTGGAAGAAGAATCTTGTAAAGAGACTTAATTTGTTATCCTGAATGAACTAAATGCTATGGGACTGTATTCTCAGAAGAGAAGTCATCTGCAGTTGCGATGAGGTGACTTTGGTTTATAACTAAAATATTGTAAATAATTATCAGTTATATGTTATTGATTTCACTGTTAGTAAATTGAATTGCATATTTAGTAACTTTAATATTTATTTAGTCCTAGAAGATTAAGGGACTTGATATAGGATATGAGTAGGTAGCTTCTTAATATTACTCAATATTTGATGAACTGGGATGAGGCTCTGAGGTTGAGAGTTATGTGGGAATTTTATTAACTAACAAGGAAATATACAAACATACTGAGGTAGAGTTCAAGGTGATAAGATTAAATATGGAAATGAGTCCAATAGTAGACTGAGGGGTGATCTACAAGTGAGTATGGTCAAGTCCAAACCCTGTTTAACCCTGATACACCTATACATATGTATTCTTTCCCCTGCTCCTCAAAAGCAGCTAGTACCTTCATTTTTTTTTTGAATTTCCAGAACCTAGCACAGTGCCTTGAACTTAGTAGGTACTTCATGCATGCTTGTTGATTATTGATTGTTTTATTGAATTGGGAGGGGGAATTAAAAGGGACAGAGAAGGTCTTATTTGGTAGCAGATTCAATTTTGTTAGCAAGGATCAGTAATGATAGTGAGGACTGCTGCTTGCTAGGACAGAATTCTCTGCTCCCACTGATTGATTGGGGGTGGGGGAATGATGTTTAGCACTGGCAGGAGGAGGTAAGTACCTGAAGGATTACTTCATTTGCAGTGCTTAGTCCTCTTTCCCACTTTGCATTTCAACAATAATTTCCAACCCAATCTAACAAGCATTTGTTGTTGTTCACCCTTCATACTCAAAGAGGACCAATGACTTGATGTTGGGGTCAAGGTACGGTGTGTTTGACTGTGGCTGATAAGTACAATATGAGCTTGGGAGGCTGTACCACAGGTTGACACAAATAGTCCATTTGAACATTAGGGATGGAGATGTCTCTAAATTTGCACATCCCATGTTTCCTTTGTACTACTGTGAGTCTGCTTAGCTCATAAAGCACAGCCCCTTCTCTAATATGGGCTTAAGCCAACATCTCCCATGGCTCACAATCAATACTGAAGTTCTTCAGAGAGACTTTGAGAGGTCTTCGTACCACTTCTTCTGAACTCCATATGAGCACTTGCCTTTTGTGAGTTCTCCATAAAATAGTATTTTAGGTAAACATATGTTTGGCATTTGGCTACATGGCAGTTCAGCTCAGAAGACCTCAATATCCCATACCTTATCTTTCTACTAGATGTAAAGCATTGGGTAACCACTGAGGATAAGAAGACAAAATGAAAAACAATTCCTTCTTTCAAGGAGGTTTTATTCCACTGGGAGGGATGAAGTATGTAAACAAATAAAAATATGCATGATAATTTGGGAAAGGAAAGAGGACTTAATACTAAGGCAATCAGGAAAGGATTCCAGTTAGAGCTTGCACATGAGCTGAAACTTGAAGGAAGAAGGCTAGGGATGCTAAGAAGTTAGGAGTTAAGAGGCAGTGAATTCCACGCCTGAGGGATAGCTGGTACAAAGGCATTGTGTTAGAAGGAACGCTGAGTTCAGGGAACAGCAAACAGACCAGTTTGGCTAGAAATGTTCATGAAGGAGAGTGGTATCAAGTAATCCTAGAAACATAGGCTGGAGTCAGATTGTGAAGGATCTTTAAATGCCAAAGTAAAGAGTTTATATTTTATCCTAGGGCAGTAGGGAACCACTGCAGCTTCTTGAATAAAGGAGGTAAATGGTCAGATTTGTGCTTTAGGAAAACTTTTCAGAGGATGGATTGGAGAAGGGTGACACTGGAAATTGGAAATCCCATTAGGCCATGTGTTTTAGGAAATTAATTTTACTTTTTTACTTTGTTTACCTTAAAAACTTTTTTTACACTTAATAGTATTTTTTCCCAATTACATGTCAAGACAATTTTTAGCACTCATTTTTACAAGATTTTGAGTTCTGAATTTTTATCCTTCTCTCCCCTCCCCTCTTCCTAAAATGGTAGGTGATCTGATATAGGTTATACATGTGCTATCATGTAAAACATATTTCTATGTTAGTCACAATTGTGAAAGAAGAAACATATCAAAAGAAAAAAAAACAGAAAAGAGAATAAAAAGTGAAAAAAGTGTGATTCCATCTGCATTCAGGGTCCATCATGTGGATGTGGGTAGCATTTTCCTTTGTGAGTCCTTTGTACTTGTCTTGGATCATTGTGTTGCTGAGAAGAGCTGAGTCATTCATAGTTGATCATCACACAATGTTGCTGATATGTGTATAGTGTTTTCCTGGTTCTGATCATTTCACTTTGCATCAGTTTGTACAAGTTTTTCCAGGTTTTTCTGAAATCTGCCTGTTCCATCACTTCTTATTGCACAACAGAATTCCATTGCATTCATATACCACAGCTTGTTCAGCCATTCCCCAATTGATGGGCATCCCCTCAATTTCCAATATTTTGTCACCATGAAAAGGGCTGCTACAAATATTTTTAATGATCTCTTTGGGATACAGATGTAGTTGTGGTCTTGTTGGATCAAAGGATATGCACACTTTGGTTGCCTTTGGACATAGTTCCAAATTGCTCTCCAGAGTGGTTGGATCAGTTCACAACTCCAACAGTGTATTAGTGTCCCAATTTTCCCACTTCTTCTCCAACATTTATTATTTTAGGAAATTTATTGAACAACTTTGCAGAGGATGAATTAGAGAAGGGTGAGACTAGAAAATGGAAATCCCATTAGGAGTCTATAGTCCAGGTGAGAGGTATTGAGGACCTAAACTAATGTGGTGGCCATGTGAGAAACGATGAGGGGATCATGCAAGAGATGTTATAGAGGGAGAAACAGAAAGATTTGGTAACTGATTAGATATGTGGCATGAAGGAAAGAAAGGATTCAAGGGTAATATCCAGGATACAAACCTGGGAGACTAGAAGGATGGTGGTGCCTTGAACAGAAATAGAAACATTTGAAAGAAGAATGAATTTGGAAGAAGATGACAAGTTTTGTTTTGGACATGGCAAGTTAGTGATGTTGCAAGGGTAACTAATTTATCAGTTGGTGATGTAGAACTAGAAACCAGAGCTCAGGAAAGAGACTAAGACTAGATGTATAGATCTTGGAGTTCCTTGTCTTCAGATGTTAATTAACACACATACCCCCCTTTTTTTAAAGAAAGTGAGAAAAATATACTTCAGTTTGCACTTGGATTCTTACCAGTTCTCTCAGAAGGTTGAGAGCATTAGAGACCTAATGAAGTCACCCCATGAAGAGGGTAGAAAAAAAGAGGGCTCAGGAGAGCCTTAGGATATACCTCCAGTTAGGGGGCATGATGCCAACAATGAACCAGAAATTCATAAGAATTATGATTCATATGATTCATAAGAAGTAATCATACAAGTAAAAGGGAAACCAGTGGGCTATAGAAAGATAAGACCTGAGAAATAGCCATTGGATTTAGAAAATGGGAGATAGTTGGTTACCTTTGAAAGAGCAGTTTTAGTTAAGGATAAAAATTCAGTTCAATTATACACTAGGTATACTTGGGTCTGATCAGACAGCATCTGGAATATTGTGTTCTGTCTAGGTATCACATTTTAGGAAGGGCATTGAAGACCTGGAACAACTCCAAGGAAGTCGACCACAATGGTAATGTGATGCCATAGGTATGAAGAAGAAAAGCAAGTTATCTTCTAATATTTGAAGATATGCTTTGGGGAAGGAGGGAATTACACAGTGGTCCTGCTTGGCCCCTGAGGGCAGAGTAAGGAGCATTGGATGGAAATGGCAAAGAGAAAGTGCTTCGACTGATGTGAGAGGGAAAAAATGTATAGCCAATTAGAATTGTGTGTGTGTGATTGTGTAAAGAGAGAAATACAGAGAGAGAAAGAGAATGGTGGTGAGGAGAGAGAGAGATCACTAATATTCTACCAGACTCTGTTTCCTTTGGTTGAACTGGGAAGATTCTAGAAATAGTGTTCTGGGTGAAAAGGAATGATAAAACAGTCTAGGCCTGTGATTTTGTGAAAAGTTGGTTGAATGTGTTCCCAGCAAAGAATCTGACCTGGTAGGAAAAGAAATCTTTCTCTCTTCTCTTTTTACAACCTGTCTTTTCATTTACAAAGTACTGTAATTAAGCCTTACCTCGTTCTCTTGGTTCAGTACAATAGGGTTTGGATACCTGATGCTGAAGAAGTTTGGAAATCAGCAGAAATAGCAAAGGACTATAAAGTTGGAGATAAAGTTCTCATATTATACTAGAAGATGGATCTGTAAGTATTCCTTGTGTGTCTTTCATTAAGAACAGAGAAATAATTGGGGAGACAGGTGGGAAGAAGGATCCTGAACCAGATGTTGTGAGCGACTCTCACTCACGGGAAAGGTGGCAGGACAGGTCAGTGGGCCCTGACACTACTATCAAAAACATGGATGGAAACAGTATCATCAGTAATACTCAATCTCCTTCTGGGTAGTCTGAGGAGCATTATTTGTCCTTTATCAAGTAAGCCAGAGGCCATGAGTAATGGGATTATAATTACTGCAGATTATCCTTATTTCCTCCATTAGCCAGTTCTTGGACATTCAAAGATGTCTGGAAGACACTTAAAATGAGCATATAATTTGGTTAAATGGGTATAATATTGTCAGCCCTCAGTTCATAGGCTGATGAAAAAGAAACTTTAAGGAAATATCAGAAATTTAAGGAAAGGAAAAGAGACTGGTGAGTAGAAAGGTAATACTGAAATAGGAAGAATAGAAATATAGGAGAGACATGGTAATAGGAGATGAGGATAAAATAAATGACAAGAAAAAAGAAGAGAAAAGAGAATAAATGGAACTATAAGAATGTATCTAAGTGTGGAAAAAATTGAGAATTTGAATGATGAAGGGTGTGATGGGGGGAAAGGTAAAAACAATGCAAAGGAGACGCCAGATTTGAGACTGATCAAGAGCATGTCAATTTGGAACCTCCTTATTGAAAGAGAGGCCCAGTGTCTCAGGGGCAGTGTGGATATTTCAAGCAAATACAAAGATCTTTAGCTCTAGCAGTCATTATTCATGGCATAACAAATATGATGTTTAAATGAGGTCATCTATAGCAGTGAAAAGTCTATCTAAATTTTTCTGGATCCTTTATTTCTCACACTTCTAAGGATCATTGCATTTGGGCCAGAGGCCTTACATTTAGCTACCCACAAAAGTATTAATCTTCTTACCCACAATAAATAAAACTTATTCCTTGATAATCTCTCCAGTTGTGTCAGCATGATTTATGACTCTATCCCCAAGGTAGTGAATTATTGTATTAACTGCTTACTCCCCGCTCCCTTGCACTTATTATGCCCAATCCTAAAATAAGGAGAATTGAGTAAACATCCATGATACATATCCTGGTCTACCCACATCATCACCAAAGGTTGAAAAAGCCTTAATCAAATTCCAGAGCATTTTTTTAACTAGAGAGACAGAATAAGGTGCATTTTAAAAGCTAGTGCAAGAAAGAATTTCCCCACCTTCTCCCCATACCTCTCCTTCCCTTGCGCTTTCACCTTCCTCTTCCCTCCATAGTGTCATGGTTGAATGGGGTAGGTTGGAATCCTCAGGTTTGTTGTAATTCTGTCCTTGGGAGTGTAGTCATGAAAAGTGAATGCTTATGATAATGTCTCCAGTTAAAGAAAATAAAAAAAATAAACAAACAGTTTTATACCTTGCCACTTGCCCCGTTAGCTTTCACTTCTCTAATCTCTCTAGAGACATGGGTTTGAGGAAAGTTGTTGATGGTACCCCCACTGATGTTGCCACCATGCTGCTGTTCCATGTAGCTGAAAGGAAGCTCTACCTCTCACTCTTCTCTGTGTGTTTTCTATCAAGAGCTTTTTAATTTTAAACTGGCATCTCTAGATGAAAATTTTGTCCTCCAGGACTGATCCTCCAAAAACTTCCTGTCTTCCTTACCTAGGGAAAAATATAACTTTCAGAGAAGAACTGTTAACACATCCATACATCCAATGAAACTTTTTTGTGAGCCCCTGCTATGTACTTTGCTGTTTTTCATTGTGGGGTTAAGTATTGTTCCTTGGTTTAGAAGAACTAGATAGTCACTGTAGCTCTATATAACAACTGAAGGGTCTTTTGACCTATTTGCAGGTAAGGGGTTCCCTGGCACCATAGCTCAGGGGTGGTGAGAAGAAGGCAGATGGAAAAGAAGTAGCTGGGGAGGTCTTCCCTTCCTCCTCAGCCAATAGCAAGCAGCAAAGCTGCTTCCTTCATTTAACCCTTTTTCTACATTGTCAAGAAGAAAGCCCACTCTACGCAAAGTGTTGCATGCACCTCGAACTGTGAAGCTTAAATAAGATTCATAAAACCTCTTAGGTCCTTCCACCAGGGATGGTAGTTGCTATTTCAAAGTGTGTGTGTAAATGTGTAAGTGTGTAAGGGGTGGAGTGACAATGTTGGGAGGAGGTAGGTATAGGGAACTATATAATTTTCTCAGAATTTCTCTGTCAGGGACAGGGATATATGTTAGGGAAAAGGAAAGAGAAAAGGAACAAAGATAAATATGGCAGCATTGATAGGCAGCCTAGTCTTACATAGCCCCACTAGAGGCTTAACAAAGGAGCTGGAAGCTGGTATCATGAGTCACTTCCCAGGCTTTTGGAGTCTCTTTCTTCTCAATATATATGAACATTGTTAAAATGCCTTGAGAAAAACACACCTGAGATGCTGTGCCAAAGTACATGCTGAAAACATGTCATTTTGATGGGTAACTTTCCAGAGTCAGTGTCAGGACCTCATCTATAGAGCATCCTCCTTGAAAAACAGGCTTGGAGGGCAAGGGGCAGCTAGGATGCTGTGGATAGAGCACTGGCCCTGAAGTCAGGAGGACCTGAGTTCAAATCCGGCCTCAGACACTTGATACTTACTAGCTTTGTGACCTTGGGCAAGTCACTTAACCCTGATTGCCTCACTCAAAAAAAGAAAAGAAAAGAAAGAAACAGGCTTGGAAAAAGGTAATCCTACTGTAAAGGAGGGCAGCTGATGGTGTATAGGTGAGTAAGCAACTGCTGACTGACACTCACATCCACCTGCCTGCTAGTGGATAGAGTTCTGGGCTTGGAATCACAAAACACTTGGGTTCCAACCCAACTTCAGATATTTCCCAGTCATGTGACTCTGGGCAAGTCACTTAACCTCTGTCTGCCTCTGTTTACTCAGCTGTAAAATGAGGATAATGATAGCACCAGCCTCGCAGGGTTGTTGTGAGAATCACATGAGATAATATTTGTAAAGCATTAGCACAGTGCCTGGCAAATAGTAAGTGCTTAAAAAATGCTCGTTCCCTTCCCTTCCCTTCCCTTCCCTTCCCTTCCTTCCCTTCCCTTCCTTCTTCCCTTCCCTTCCTTCCTTCCCTTCCCTTCCCTTCCCTTCCCTTCCTTCCCTTCCCTTCCCTTCCCTTCCCTTCCCTTCCCTTCCCTTCCCTTCCCTTCCCTTCAGTTTCCTGTTCTTGTTCTCTATCAACCTTGGATTGGACTCTAGATCTAAGATCCTGTTAATAGACTGGAGGTTAGTAATACCTAAGCTTTCATAGGGCAACCACATGGCACAGTGGATAGAATGCCTGGCTTAGAGTCAGGAACACTCATCTTCATGAGTTTAAATCTGACCTCAGATACTAACTAGCTGTGTAACCCTGGGCAAGTCACTTAACCCTGTTTGTCTCAGTTTCCTCATCCATAAAATGAAATGGAGAAGGAAATGGCAAATCATTCCAGCATCTTTGCTAAGAGAACCCCAAATGGGGTCACAAAAAATCAGACGCGACTGAACAACAACAACATAAAACCCTTTATAGACTACGAGTTGGAACTACCACAAATATCTCCAACTACAGTATAAAGGTAAAAGAAATGGATTCAGAGGCAGAGGACATGGCTTTGAGTCTTGGCTGTGCTTCTTACCTCTGTGACCTGGGCAAGGTTCCTTAGTCTGTCAAAGACTGAGTTTCCTTATCTGTGATCCATATGCCCTGCATTTTTTTGGTTTTGTACCTTTGCTCATGCTATTCATAGTCCTAAACTTCCTCCTTTTCCTTATTGCCAATTCTTTACTTAGATTTAAAGCACAACTCAGGTGTCATATCCTCCATTAAGCCTTCCTTGAACATTCCCTATAGGTAATGATTTACCAATCCCAGCAGAGATGTGGCAGGATGGGCACAGGTGAGAGTGATTTTAGGTAAACTCCTGGGAATGGTGAAGGCCAGTTACCGTCTTGTGGCAGAGGAAGGTGAGGGGGAGGGACACTTGAGGGAAAAATTAGGATGATTGGGCATCCAGGAACTTGACAAATATGAAAACTGGTTATCAGAACAGATTCAGCCTAGAAGTCTGTATTGTCAGGATGAAAAATATAAGGAATGATAGAGAGGCAACCATTTGTCTAACTCAACCTGTGTCCCCAAATCTTTGGTCAGAGTGGAGCCTACTATGGGCTTTCTAAATTAAGCTTACTCTTTACCATCACCCCCATTAGACTGTAAAGCAGGGGTTATATCCTTTTGAAATATTTTCTCTTATTTTGACTTATGCCTTTTATTTTTATATTCATTTTTATATTTTATATTAATTTTTAATATATCCTTCTCTTACCCCTACCTTACAAGCCATCTCTTAAACAAAGATTTTTTTAAAATGAAAAGGGAAAAAAACCCACCTTATCCAAACTAACCAACACTATGACTGTGTCTGACAAGCATATGCAATATTCCTCATCTATGGTGTAGGGATTAGGGCTTAAACTTTGTCTCTACCACAACCTAGTTTGGTGCTCCATATATGGTAGGGGCTTAATAAATGTTGGTTAACTAAATTAAAGAAAAAATATACACACGCATATGTGTGTATACCTATGTGAGCATACACACATGTACACATATGTATACATATGTGTATATGTGCGTATATATATGCATACAGTCAGTTCTACTATACATCAATATATGCGTTCTTAAAAAGCATCTGCTATGCAAAATCATTAAAATTAAGTTTAAAACCCACAGGACTTATGAGAAAATAGGGTTAAGGACATAACTGTCAAAAATTTTGTCAGTGATGCATAAAAAGACATAGGAGCCCAGTGAAAAATATTATCAGAGTTTTATACATGCTGAGTGATAGTCTAATAAATAGTGGTGGTGTCCAAGGTCTTGGGCTGCTGCTTGGTTGGTGGTTGGTGGGGAGGGGTGGATGGAGATTACAGATACAGACCAGCCTTCCTCTGCTCCCAGCTCTTGCTATACCAGAAGATATATAATAAATATGATGCTTTACCTCGAAAAAAACCCGAAGTTTGTCTGTAGAAGTGGGTTGCAGTTTGTGAGTGATTGTAAAGTAGTATGGTTTTTCTGCATTCTCTGTGTTTCTCAAGGGTGAGTTTGAGCATGAGCGATCATGACATTCATGACCTTTGGGTTATGTTTAGATTGTTTCCTAATATATCATGTTAGGGGCAGCTGGGTGGTACAATGGATAGAGTGCTGGACCTGGAGTCAGGAAGACTCATCTTCCTGAGTTAAAATCTGGACTCAGACACTAGCTGTGTGACCCAGGGCAAGTCACTTTAGCCCTGCTTGCCTCAGTTTCCTTATCAGCAAAATGAGCTGGAGAAGGAAATGGCAAAGCACTTTAGTGCTTCTCTGTCAAGAAAACCCCAAATGGAGTCATGAAGAGGAGGGCACAACTGAACCAAACAACAACAATCATATTGGAACAAATTTGTAGTTTCAAAGCAAACATATTGCAAAACTGTCTGTTACCTGTGTATTGAGTACATATCAATTTTTTCTTTGATTCATTCCACCAGTTTACTAATGTTGGAGTGACGCTCAGTATAAAAACACTACTAGACTTTATGGAGCACAAATTGTATGAATGAAAAAAGTGTTAAGGACAAATTGATCAATTAACCAATAAGTAGTGGCTAACTGCTTACCATGACCATGCCACCAGGTTTGGTGGTACATGCCTGTGATCTTTTTTTTCTGGGAAGGTTGAGGATGGTGGGTTGCTTGAGTTCTGGAGTTCTGAACTTATGTTGTAATAAGCTGATGTTGACTAAGTTCAGCATCAAAATGGTGAGCCCTCAGATGGGGAGCTACCAGACCGTCTATGCAGGACAGAAACCGTCATCATCAGAAACAGGATCAGATCAAAGCTGCAGTTCTAACCACTAGTGGGAAGGGGGGTCCATGAGTAAACATGATACTTCTAGCCTGAGAGAGATAGGAAGAGCCAGTTTAAAACAACCACAAAAAAACCCCCAAAACATGACAAGTACTATTCTAAGTGTGCATTGTTGTTGTTAGGTCATTTTCAGTTGTGTCCAACTTTTCGTGACCCAATTTGGGGATTTCTTGGCAAAGATACTGGAGTGGTTTGCCATTTCCTTCTCCAGCTCATTTTTACAGATGAGGAAACTGAGGCAAAAGGGTTAAGTGATGACCTAAGTATGTAGGGAGATAAAAAGATTAGAGAACCCCATAGAAGTATTAAGTCTCTGCCTTCAACATGCTTAGTCAGCATCATTTCATGCATTGGAGCATAGTTTAAGAATTATGGAGAAAACAGCCAACTTGGTATAATCTTTCTGAGCAAAAGTTTCAAGCTTGACCATGATCTGAAAGGGCAAAGTCTGGAGAGAAATAAACCAAGAAGCTTCTTTAGGTGCAAAGCATTTCATAGTCTTTATACCTATGATGTACAGTCATCCCTTCCACATCACAACTTTCCCTGTAGTGGTTTTGATATACCACGTGTCAGCTTAAGAAATTAAATGGGGATTTTCGGGGAGTTTTGTGGAAGTTGTAGATGACACGTGAAGGCCAGCGGATGACATGCAAAATGTTTAGAAACTCAGAAATGCATAAAATATATGTGTAGTATTATTATTATATCAATCCAAATTTTACAATCAGGTACTGTAAACACCCCATAAAAGAGAAAGATGCGGAGGGATAACTGCACTGTTCCTTGGTGTTCTAGTCTCTTCAGATTCACTATCAAGAATAGCATCTTTGAGCCTGAAGGATAATGTTTCAGACAGGAACTCCAGAACATTGTCATTAAAATTTTTTTTGCCTTTATTGTTAGGAACAAGATTATTCTGTTGATCCAGAAACTCTTCCACCATTACGAAATCCTGATATACTTGTAGGAGAGAATGACCTTACAGCACTTAGTTATCTTCATGAACCTGCCGTCCTCCACAATCTCAAGATACGTTTTGCTGAATCCAAACTTATTTATACTACAGTGGTAAGTAAAAAGATATTTATAAATAAAAAGTTAAATATAAATAAAAATATAGTAATTGCTGACTGTAGCATGATCAGAATATCTTTTTATTTTTATTGGTATGTTTGGTTTTCACATTACCTCCTACACTCTCCTACACAGAAAGCTATCCTTTCTGACAAAGTATACAAGAGAAAGGGAAAGGATGAAGAAATTTAGTAAAACAAAGCAACACATCAACCAGTTCTGATAGCGTAGGCTACATTTGACAAGTAGACTCTCATCCCTGCAAACAATAGAGGGAGGGAGGTGCATTTTCTCCTCTCTTTTCCCGGGACAATTTTGATCACTATAATTATACAGAGTCCAGTTTCATTTTTTCATTTATTCGTTTCATTCATTTCCATTTTCATTGTCTATATTGTTTTCCTCTTTCTGTTTACTTCACTCTGCATGAGTTCATATAAGTCTTCCTTTGCTTTTATGAATTTTTTATATTCAGCATTTCTTAAAGTACAGTAATATTCCATGATATCTACATGCCACAATTTATTTAGCCATTCCCCCAAATGACAGGCATCTAATTTATTTTCAGGTTTTTGCTACCACAAAAAGTATTGCTTTGAATATTTTGCAGTATATGGGACCTTTCTGTCTTTGCCCTCCTTGGGGTATGCCTTGCTAGACTCTCTGGACCAAGTGGAATGGACGTCTTAGTCACTTTTTTAAAAAGTGTAATTCTAAAGTGCTTTCCCGAATGGGTAGACCAATTCACAGGTCACTGAAAGTGTATTAGTGTCCCAGTCTTCCCACAGCTTGTCCAACATTAACTATTTCCATCTATTGTCGTCTTTGTGACAAGCTGAAATTCTGAGTGGCCCTGGATAATTAAGGGAAGTACTGTTTCATATCTAGAAGGACAAAATAAAATGGTGCCCTTTATAAGGTTAGGGGATGCACCTTAGCAGTTTATGGAGAAATGACTACAGCTACCTTTGAATATTAAGCCATCAGTAGGCTAAATAAGGATAAACACAGGGGTTAATAAAACTTTATTTGGTGTTTAGGCATTGTATTTCTGGATTCATTAGTGTTTCTAACAACATCTGCCTACAAATGTTCCTTTCTCTGGAGTCACAATTGATTGTTGCATTGGTCAGATTTCTTACATCTTTCAAAATTGTTCATTTTATTTCAAAATTACAGCTAGGTTCTTTGTGTTTAGCAAACACTAGACTACTAGGTTAGTTCACTTTGGTATATTGTGTACCTAATCTGTTCCACTCGTCTATCTCTCTTTCTAAACCAGTAACAAATGTTTTGGAGATTATGGCTTTGTAGGACAGTTTGGTGAATGAGCCTATGTTTGCCTCCAAACTATCTCTAGTATTGGTCTGAGTTCCTGGTGTATAGCCCACAGTGCTTCAAAGATCTGGCATGTTAAAGATGTTGGCATCGTGCCTTGTATGTTATCTTTCTCATTAGATTGTGAACTGCTTGAGGGCAAGACTTATTTTGTGTCCCTAGTGCTTAGCATAACGCCTGGCTTGCTCAATACTTGTTGATTTGACCTAGCATGATATATCTATGCCCCTATAATCCCTTATCACTGTATTCCCCTCATTTTAACATTGTTCTGAGACTCATATACATCTTGAATTTCTTTCTTTAGGCATTATTTTGGTTGCCATGAACCCTTACAAAGAGTTGCCCATCTATGGAAATGCTATCATCCATGCTTATAGTGGGCAGAACATGGGAGATATGGATCCACATATATTTGCTGTAGCAGAAGAAGCATATAAACAAATGGCCAGGTATCTTCTCTCTAAACTTTGCATTTCCTGTAATTTGTCCTGACTCTCGCTATTCTTCCCACACTACTCACAGTTTCTGGAGAGAAATTTTGTATTGTCTGTCTAAAGAGCAAGCCTGGCAAATTTTTAGAATGCCTAGCCACATGGTGGCATTTTTAGGGCATGCTAGTTTTGAACATACTATCAGAATGCCCACGTCCAACCATACAGTTATGATCTGCTTTGGAACAAGCTGTTTGTTGGTATTCTGGATCACTTAGCCAGGTTTCCTAAGTGGATTCCTATGGAGTTGGTTTTTTTTTTATTCCTTTTCTCATTTCCCTTCCTATTTCCTTGTGCCCCACAATTTTCTTTCTCCTCCCTTTCTCAACATTTTGCTCTCATGTATAATGACTATCATACCTTAAATTTATTAAAATATTAATCATTAATCAAAAAACCCAGCACAAATAAAAATTTTCTATTTCACTAATATTGAATATGCTTTTTTGTCATTTTTAAAAAATCAGAGTATTTCATTTATCTGGCAGGTTCTGCCATTGTGTACCTGGGTACAGGCCAGTGGAGTGTGCAATGGCAAAAAGTCAAAGACTTATCTGGGAGGGGAGAGTGACCACAAACCTGAAGGGTTTTGAGGGCATTCTTATCAATCAGTTAACAGGTATGCTTACTAGGTGCTAAGCACCATGTTGGCACATAGTATTGCCTTATTGATTTTTTAAATTTAATTTAATTTCTTTCTTTATTTTTAGTTTTCAACATTCACTTCCATAAGATTTTGAGTTCCAAATTTTTCCCCATCTTTCCCCTCCCCCCACTCCAAGGTGGCATGCATACCTTATTAATTTTTAAGGTCATAACTTGAAGGTCACCTTAGCTAAGAGGACATCTAGGTTTGTAGTATAATGGAGCATTGGAGTGAGAAGGGATCTTAGAGACTGTGTAGTCCAAGGATTCTTAGCCTTTTTTGTGTCATGGACTCCTTTGCAGTCTGGTAAAGCCCGTGGATATCTTCTTGGAAGAAGGCTTTTAAATGCATGCAATTAAATTTGTAGGATTGCAAAACAAGCTAAATTATATTGAAATACGTTCATCAAAAAAATTTTTTTCAAGTTAATGGACCCCAGATTAAGAACCCCTAATGTAGTTTGACGTGCTTATTTTGCAGACAGTAAACCGAGACCCAAAGAGTTGAAGTAACAACCAAAGTCACACAACTGGTTAGCTGAGCCTCTTTTAGGTCTCTCAGTGTTTAATTAGTCTAGTCCTCTTCTCACTACACCACATTGTCTCTGTTACCAGCCCAGGTGTAGAGAACACCCTGAGATTCCTAACCAAACAAGAGTCTCTCTAGTTATTCACAAACATTCCTGTCTCAGAAACCTTTGGAAAGCCCTGGCCCCCCAAATCCTCCCCCAAGAAAAGTATCTCAAAGACTAAGATTTGTTCATGTCAAGAAAGGTAAATGAGTACCTTGATAAAAGCTGGCTGATACAGACCAAGCTTCCTGGCTTTTCTAATGTAGTTTCCTTTTGTAAGTGGCTTAGTTTTTTCTTCTAGAAAATTTGAGGAGGCAGTTTTGTTCCACATGAATGTACGTATTTCATTAATTTAAAAACCACCAAACAGAAAACCATAGTTATACACTGAGTCTAATCAGAGTATTATATGGTGACTTTCCATTGGCAAGGTGTTTAAGAGGAATCTTGTTTCCTCATAGCTACCAGGGTCTAGAAATAGAACAACATTGGATTTGGATAAAGGATACTTGTGTTTTTTCTCATATTTTAAAACATTTCTTTTTAATTTAGAAACATTGGACATCTATGTCTTCCACACAGAAATGAACAGTAAAGCATAATAATCCTATGTCACATTGCCAGTGGATACAGGACTGGGATTTGCCAACAAACATACCAGAATATAATAATGATAACGATGATAATAATAATATCGTTACTGTTCAGTCGTGTCTGACTTTTCGTGACCCCATTTGGGGTTTTCTTGGCAGAGACACTGGAGTGGTTTATCATTTCCTTCTCCAGCTCATTTTACAGATGAGGAAATTGAAGCAAACAGGATTAAGTGACTTGCCCACACAGCTAGTAAGTGTCTGAGACTGGATTTGAACTCAGGTCTTCTAGGTGGCATAGTGGATAGAGCACCTGGCCTGAAGTTAGGAAGAAGACTCATCTAGCTGTGTGGCCCTGGACAGGTCATTTAACCCTGTTTGCCTCAGTTTCCTCATCTGTAAAATGAGGTAGAGAAGGACATGGCAAACCACTCCAATATCTCTTCCCAAGAAAACCCCAGATGGGGTCACTGAAACGACTGAACAAAAAAAAATTTTTTTAATGTTTTGTTGATACTGTTTATCCATCCATCCTTCCTTCCTTCCTTCCTTCCTTCCTTCCTTCCTTCCTTCCTTCCTTCCCTTCCTTCCTTCCTTCCTTCCTTCTTTCCTTCCTTCATTGTTATCACTACCCTCCAACTCCCTTCCTGCCCCACACTAAATAGAAGCCCTTCCTTGTAACAAATCATTCTAGTCAATAAAAACAGATTCACACATTGGCTGTGCCATCAGCTGAAATGGAGAAGTTCACAAAAAGGGAGCATTTGGGGGTAAATGTCATTTTTGGACATGTTGAGTCTAAGATGTCTATGACAGAACTAATTCAAAATCTCTAATAGGCAGTTGGAGATGCTAGATAAGGTCGAAAGTGAGGTTCAGGTTGGATAAATAAATCTGAGAATCATCTGCATAGAAAAAAACAGTTTAATCCATGGGAGCTGATAAGATCACCAAGTGAAATAGTATATAGAGAGGAGAGTGGTCCTCAAGACACCCAAGGACAGTATTACTAAGGCTTCAATGCAGGCTTCTAATGGCCTGAAAAATTTGATTCCCTTTCCAAAGCAGTTTGTTAATATGCCAGGAATGTTGTTGTTACCCAGCAACTATGTCTGAAAGCAGGTTGTGCTAAAATAATACTGTTCTTTCATCATTTTACTCTAGAAACAACAAGAATCAGTCAATAATTGTGAGTGGAGATCAGGGGCTGGAAAGACAGTGTCAGCCCGATATGCTATGAGATACTTTGCTACAGTCAGCAAATCAAGCAGTAATGCCCATGTGGAAGATAAAGTTCTGGCCTCTAATCCCATAACTGAGGTAAGCAATTATGGGTACCAGGAAAAAATTGGTTCATTATGGATGAGGTTGATAACAATCCTAGTCTCATCCCAGCCTGGACAATCAGTGGGTTATGAGACAATACTGTGCCCCGTCCAGCCGTACAGTGACAGTCATCACCAACCCCATTCCCACTTCCCCATTGCCTCAGTGACTTCAATGTCCAAGCCTTGCCTTCCTCAAATTCTGGAGATCTTAAGAATCCGGGAACATGAAAAGTAGATACAGATCCTCCTCTTGAAAATAAAAACATACAGGGCCTCTCTCTTATTGTCATGACAATGGTATTAACTTAGAAGCTGAAGAATATCTTTGGAAATTGGGAAGATCCTTCCTTCTACTTTGATTTACCCAACTTAGATGATTAAATTCAGGCTGTAATGTAGAAAATGGAATAATTCTGTTCGTTCTCTGACTACAGAAAGAATGAAAAAGACCAGAAAGCCAACATCAATACTTTACAAATGAATAATGTCAGGGATTTGATTCTTAACTAGAGCTGAAGTTGGGAATATCATCAATGAAATTTGAACACAATAAATTAAATAAGTTTGTGTTGCAGTTCTGTATGAACCCAAACTCTTACACTCTCAAATCTAAAGAAGCTAGGTGGGTGTAGTGGATAGAGCACTGGGTCTGGAGTCAGGAATACCTGAGTTCGAATTCGACCTTAGATACTAGGTAACCATGAGCAAGACCCTAAATCTCTGCCTTGCCTCAGTTTCTCTGTCTGTGAAATGAGGGTTATAATAGCACCTACTTCTCAGAGTTATTGTGAGGATTAAATGAGATAATAATTGTAAAGCACTTAGCACAATGCCTGACCATGGCAAGTGCTATATAAATGTTCGCTACCATTGTTATTATTTTTTTTAAAGTCAGAAAAATGGGTGCATGTACAGTTTCATCTATAGGCTGAATAGGAAGATGGCTAGCTGATGTCATTTGAAGAGCTTGTGGCAAATTTCCCTATCCTCTTCTGTACACATACGTACCACGATGTTGGAAAATTTCACCATTAGTAAAAGCTTTTCACCTTTGAAAAATCCCTGATTAAGATGCAAGTATCAATAAGGGTTGGAAGGGGGATGGCCAGGTCCTCAAGCTTTTAAAGCAACCACCATAGATGTGACTGTGATATAACCAAAATAAAGGAAAAGAATATTGGGTTAGTTTTGGGGGACAGCAAGGTAGAGAAGATCGAACCCTGGGCACTTGGAGGGCGAAGACCTGGATTCGAATCCAGCTTCTGGCACTTACTATTTGTGTAATTCCATATCATCCCCTATGAGTTTCTTCACCCAGCCTCCTCATCTATAATTTGAGGATGTTAATCACATTTACTACCACCCAGGATGATTATGAGGACCAAATGAGTGTGTTTTGCAAACTGTGCTTTATACTCTGTAAAATGTTATCTAGATCAAAGTTGTGTGAACAAGGCTAAGTAACAATTGTACTCAATAATAAGTTTAAGTTAATAAAACAGATATCCCAAGGTAGTATACAATGAATTTTCCCAATTATTGTTACAGACAGTAAGTCTTACAGGAGTTCAGAAGAGGGAAAGTGCTTCCAGTTGGGTAGTCAGTAAGACCTTCTCAGAAAAGGTGAGATTTGGATAGGATTAGGGTAAGGGAAGGTACGGGATGTTCTGGATTGGGAGTGCATAGGCAGAAAAACCTGGGGCATTTGGGCAATGATGTGGGTTAGCCTGTTGGCTACTGTGTAGGATTTATGTAAGGGAATAGATGGGTATAATAGAGGTTTGAGTGGTAAGTTGGGGTCAGGTTCCAAAAGGCTATGAATGCCAGTCTAAGGAGCTCAAATTTATTCAGGAGTCAAGGGAAAGTGCTCATCACCCTTAGCTTTTGCAATCAGAATTCCTTTTGTTTGGTAAGCCTAGTCCATTGGTGGGGAAGTGTGGCCCTTTGACTGAATCTAACCTTCATAGAACAAATCCCCTTAATAAAAGTATTTATTCTGTAAAACTTGGACTCGGTCAAAAGGCTGCACCCAAGGACCTAGAAGGCTACGGGTTCCCCACCCTAGGCCTAGTCCCTTTGTCTAGGGTCTGTGTTTTTACAAAGAACCACACTAATGATCTTGATCCAAAAACATTTTTTTTAATCTCAAAACTGTCTTTTGTAGGCTGTTGGAAATGCCAAGACCACCCGAAATGATAACAGCAGTCGGTTTGGAAAATATACTGAAATCAGCTTTGATAAAAGGAATCAAATTATAGGAGCCAACATGAGAACTTATCTTTTGGAGAAATCCAGAGTTGTCTTTCAAGTAAGGAAAAGAACTTCCATTAACCCTCATTCTTTTCAATTGTTCTTATTTACTTAATGATTAGGGGGAGACTTGCATCATTCACTGGCAGGCAGAATACAGCTTGGCAATGTTTTATCTGTAGTAACAGAACTTTTTTATTGTCCACATGGGATAGTTGGAAAATGGGTGAAATTTCAATGGATACAGACCCTTAAAAAGCTTCATCATTTATGTATTCCTGTATTATTTTAAGATTAGATTTTTATTGTGTTAGGGGGAAAAAAAACCTGATTGAAGTAGGCATGATCACCAGAATGGTTTTTGTTACAAAACTGAGGTTAGGAATGAGATTTTCATGTGACTCTGGGGATGAGGTAATTTTTTTCAAATATATACACAAGTTTTTTAGCCAACATAAATGGAGAAAATATTTGGGTTTGGGAAGGTGATAAATCAATCAAGTCTCAACAAGTGTAGGTCATGTTATCCCCATTTCACACAATCCTGTCCTTTAAAAATAACACATCTTTCTCCTTTAGAAGTCCTTTATCTCAGACTGTCCAGTTGTTATGTCGCTGTCTTTGTTGGAGAAAGGACTCATTTTTAAGGGGGTACTGCTGGGAAACTGACTTAACACAGACAAATAGTTCATAACTTAATTGCTCTTAGAAAAGGCTCTCGGGAAACACAGATAAATATGAATGTTTGACCATGATCCTAGAGTGCCAAAATCCACTTTAAGGACCCTCTAGTTAAGAATAAAATGCCTGACATTCTTCACTTGTAAAATATTGATCTGGTTTTCTGGGTTTTTTTCCTTTCTTTCTGCAGTCAGAAAATGAACGCAATTACCACATTTTTTATCAGCTTTGTGCCTCAGCGTTGCAGCCTGAATTTAAACGCCTTAAATTGGGTATGTCATAGTAGGTGGAAGTATCTCTACAATTTGAGGGGTATTCTCTAAATTTTAAGTCAGTTTTCTTGGTATGACAGTAACACAAGGGTTCCCCAAACTTTTTTTTAAAGAAGAGGCTCTATCTTTCATTTTTTGGATTTCCTAAGATCACCAGAATTTGAGAGGTGATGGGTATAGTTGACATTGAAGTCTCTGGGGCATTGGGGTTGGTGATTGCTATCAGGGTAGAGAAGGAGGGGCCATGACAGTGTCTGCAAGCCTATTGATTGGCCCTGTTAGGATTCAAGATTGGTCAACTGTGAGCCCAGAAGTAAGGCCTTATTTATGAGATGTCCTATAGAAGTAGGACATTCCATATAACTAAAGTTTATCCCTTTAACCATTAAAACTTTTTTTTAACAAAGCTTTTTTTGAATTCAGTCTTTCTAAAATGTGTTACGTGGTTCCCTGCCTTCTTAAATTTTCCTTGATGACTCAGGGTTACTATTCTGATCGTTGATTATATCATACTATGATATAACTCAAGGGACTTGAGATATGTAGGAATGATGGCCACTATACAAAATGGCCTGTTATGCTTTTACAATTCTTTCTTCCACCCTATCACCTGGCTTCTACCACCCTCCAATCCTCCCACCACACCACACTCCCATGCTTCTTAAATACTGTCTGTTTTAATTTAGGAAGAACTGAAAGTTGCTGGAGGTCTAAAAACCCAAAGCTTATTATATCATCAGTAACATCTTACACACAATTCAATTCAACAAACATTTATTAAGTACCTGCTGTGTGCCAGACACTGTGCTGAGGCTAAAAAGACAAAACAAAAAGCAATCTCTGCCTTTAAGGAGTTGACATTTTACTGGTTTTTGTATGTGTATAAATATGTCTGATATTTAAATAGGTATGTGATTAGATTTTAGTCTGCCTCTGTGATGCATCAGAGTAGCTCTTGTAACAAAAATTATCTTCCCTCTAAAAGGCCTTTTTGGCCTACCTCTAGATTCTGAGATCTGTGTCCAAAAGCTGCTATTTCCAGGATGATAGCTAATTATGCATTCATGACTGGGCAATAATTTTCAGGACCTCAGAGAGTTAATGAGGCTGAAATTGACCTTCTAGCATAGTGCCAAGCATACATAATGCAGGCAAAAATATCGGCTGAATGATTGAACCAACCTAAGTTCAAGAATGTATTAAGTGTTGCCTTCCTCTTTTAGTGAGTGCAGAAGAATTTAATTATACAAGAATGGGAGGGAATATCATCATTGAAGGAGTGAATGACAGAGCAGCCATGGTAGAGACTCAGAAGACATTTGCATTGCTAGGTGAGTGAAGAGATTCTACACACCTGGTTATTTTCTCAGAGTAAAGGAATTCAGGAATTTCATGTCTTTTGACCAAATACTAACAAATATTCATTTGGTGATTAACAGTTCCTAAATTATTCTGGAGGAATCCTATTACAGTTGATCCAAAGTAGGGATCAATTCCTATTTTCCATTTCTTCCTTCTTTTAATTTCGTTGTCACAATAAGGGGGTATGGTGGAATGATGCCTGGGCCTATTCTCAGGCCTTAAATCAAATGGTGATTCCCCAGCTGTAGGTAGTTCATAGCACTCAATTTCAGAGGACTTTCAGGGATAACCACCAAGCTCTCTCTGACTCCCATAGAGCTGGCTGCCTCTCTGCCTTTAACTTCTCCCATTTTATGGTTGGCAACATTCATTTTGTTAATCTAGGGATTTGGTGTGGATTTTTCCAATCAGATTATGGCTCATATCCTACCCATGCTTCTCTTAATGTCCCTTTCCTACTACAAATGATAGTCATTCACTCGTGCATAACTATATTCAGGTCCTTAATCATACTAACTAGAAGTGAAGAGAAAAAAATACATCAATGTAGCTATTGCAAGCATCTTCTTTCATATTCACTATCCCCCTGAGATTAAAGCCCAACTCTCTTTCATCAAGCAAGCCAAAACCCAGGAGTTTTAGTTCCTCCACTCAGCCAGTCCTACAAAGTGCTAGCAAGGTCTACCTACTGGGTTTTCCCAGTCATAATGCAATCTTTTGAAGCACAACTAGTGGAGACAACTTTAGAATTTGAGGGGTTTTGTTGGTTTTTCCATTCTCAAGTTATCTCAACGACTCAAGTTTGGTCCTCACCAGCTGTTTCAACTGAGCACTGATTCCTTCATACACAATCCCCAGATCTTCTTCTGTACTTATTGTGTATTTAATTACTTCTTTACCTTCATTTATGCCAGAAATGGTGTAGAGAGGGCATTTCAACAAATATAATGGGCTAAATCTCTCAGTTGTCTCCAAGTTGCTGGAGAGGGATAGAACACTGGTTTCCCTAGGCCACTATTTCCCCGTGTGTGTGTGTGTTGTGTGTGTGTGTGGTGTGTCTGTGTCTGTGTGTGTCTGTATCTGTCTGTCACACACACACACACACACACACACACACACACATATACATTGAGTTCAAGCCCTCTTTAAAAATCACCCTTCACTTGGCTTTTTCTGCATCTGTCTCAGCCTGAAAGTTTTGTAAGAATGACTTAAGAGGCTCACTCTTTGCCAGGTGGGTCACACAATTTAAACATTTTAAAGTGCCTACTATGTGCAAAGGTATTTGCTAGGTACTAAGGATACAAAGATAGACTTTGCTGTCAATAATCTTGCAATATTATGTAGTGGGGAAGGACAAATATATAGATACTTATGGTACAAGGGAGAAGTGACATAAAGGCAATGAAAAGGTCCAAGCAACCCACTCAGAACTTGGAGGAGGAAGAAATAATTTTCACTGAGGAGGAATATGTGGGTAGATCAAATCAGAGACCATGGAAGAGGTAGAGTTTAAGTTGGGTCTTGAGGAAGTCAGTGACTTCATTTTATAGATATGAAGACCAAAATCCATTCCAAACATAGATAAGCAGGAGAAGGAAAAGGGACACAACAGTCTCAGGTTAGGATCTGAAAGATGTAAGATGGGAATGGACAAGTAGAAATCAAATTGTGGAGAACCTTCCATGTCAGAGTCAAGAGTTATATTTTGTTCAGTAGGCAATGGTGAACCACTGGATGTTTTAGAGCAGACGAGTCACATGATCATAATGGATCATCATGATTATTTGGGCCAGCTGTATGGAGGATGGCTTGGGAGAAGAAACAGGCTGGAGGTAGGAAGCAGAGGTAGGAATCAGTTATAGTAGACTTGGTAAGAATTCAATTCAGTTGAACAAATATTTCATAGATGTGATTGCCTGGCCACTGTCAATAATATTTGAAAGGTTGAGGAAATTGGAAGAGATCTTTCAGGAGTGGAGACAGGCATATGTTTATATACACATACACACATATGTACATATATAACATATATATTAAAGGGAGAGAATAAACAGAATATATGTCATATAGATCAGTGAGATTGGCTTGGATTTCTGGCAAAGTTCTAGAACAGATCAATAAAGAGATGATTAGTGATCTAGAAAAAAGAAACAATGATTACAATGAATATGGTTTCCTCTAAACACGTAATGCCAGACTAACCTTATTTCCTTTTTTCATAGGAGTATTAAACTAATAGATAAGATCAGTTCTGTATGTATAACTTAACCAGATTTTAACAAAGTAATTGATAAAGTAACACATCATTCTTATGGAAAAGGCAGAAAAAGATTTCCATTGCCATAATAATTGTGTATATTTTCTTTGTGGTTTTGCTGATTGAACTCTGCATCAGTTCAAATAAATCTTCACGTTTCTCTGAATTCCTTCCATCTGTTGTTTCTTACTGAACAATAATAGTCCATTGCATTGGTGTACCACAGTTTGATCAGTCATTCTCTAGTCAGTGGCCACCCACTTTATTTCCAATTCATTGCCACCATGAAAAAAATCCTACTTAATGACTTCTTTATCATAAAAAAAATTAAAGGGTATAATGACTTCATCCTGATCATCTTTATCCTTTGGGTTTCAATGTGATAAGTTACAGTTATTCCTGACATCCTGGGATTCCAGGAAACAACACTTTCCTGACAAGCCTCTTAGCACAATCCTCAAGCATCTGCCATGGAGACTTCTCATCGACTCACTTCCTAGCAATAAAGGATCTCAAGGTCTTGTTCTTCAGCTCTACACCTTATTCGTGTGTACCAACTTTTGTACGTTGGACATGTTACTGAAAAGATGCATGCAAATCATATTTCTATAAATATAATAATGTGTTAAAAATCCCTAGGGTGGAGCTTGCTTTTTGTAAAAAAAGAAATCCTATAGTCAATCACTCAGCATTTATTAACAGCTACTATGTGCTTGGCAATGCACGAAGTGCTGGAGATACAAAGAAAGGTAAACGATAATCCCTGCCCTGGAGGAGATGCAGTCTAAGGGAACAGACAACATGCAAACAGCTATGAACAAACAAGACCCGTCCAAGACAAGTAAAGGGGTCCTCCCAATTTTTCCACTAGACCTTATTTTTATGTGGTAGCATTCATTCCTCCAGTACTTTCCTGCCCTCTAAGCCTCCAACTACATCAAAACAGCTTTTGGAAGAATAAGCTATCATTCTTCATGCTTTGACTGAAATTCACTCACGCCAGTGTATTACCTCTGCTGGGTATTTACATTTGAAAGACTTCTATCTTTAATTCTCTAAGGAAATATTGTCTCCTACTAAATACATTTTAAGCAATAGAGACTTCTTGCTTCTCCCCTCCCCTCAAAAAACCCTACTCCTCATGAACCTGCTTGAGATTCAAAGCAATACAAAGGAAAAAGCAAAATAGTCCTTGCCTTCAAGGAATTTACATTCTGATGGGGGAAGGAGAGACAAAACGTAACACAAATGCATAGATGTATACAAGACAACTACAAAACAATAAGTACTTTTTGGTGTGATCACTTAATTTCTTAGTTTTCCAGGCAATCCTTGAAGACCATATGGTGCCGAACCATTCAAAGTTTGGTCTATACCAGAATTTCTAGAACTCAGGACCCCTCTTCATTCTTAAAAATTATCGAGGTCTCATTCTCAGGAGCTCCTGTTTATATGGGCATATCTATCCATATTTGGTGTACTAGAAATTACAAGTGATAAATTTTTGAAATATTAAAGATAACAAACCTATTTCATGTTACTATGAATAGTATTTTAAATTAAAGACCATTTTCCAAAACAAAAATAATTAGTGAGAAGAGTAGCATTATTTTACATATTTTTGCAAATCTCTTTAATATCTGTTATGCTTAATAAAAGATAACAGGATTTTTCATATTTGCTTCTGTATTCAATCTGTTGTGAAATATTGTTTTGGTTGAAGTATTTGAAGAAAATCTGGCCTCATACAGATATGTAGTTGGGAGAAAGAGGAGTATATTAATAAGGTAAATGTCTTAATATAGTTTTGACCTCACAGACCACCCGAAAGGGTCTTGGGAACTGCGGGGGACGTGTGAACCACATGTTGAGAACTGTTGGTGTATACCAATTTAATCGCAAGAACAGATTTTTTAAAAAATATGTATTATTTCATGATGATTGCTTTGTTCATTCACTGCTGCAACTTGATAGTAAATGGGTTTGCCTGTTGACATGATTGATGTCATCTGTCTCCAGGCTTATTTCTACATACTGGTTAAAATCTTCCTTTTCTTTAGCTTTCTATCTCTGCTCCAGGGATGTTTCCTTTCATTGATATTGTAATCAACCTGGAGAAAGCAGAGTGAGCAGGACTCTGATAAAAATCTACTGCTCTTTGTAGGCCTCTTGTCTAGCTGGCTTCACGTTTCTTTTTATCCCTTCATTGATAATTGTCACTGATAACACCCCTTATTCTTGAGGAAGAAGACCCTGGAATTTAGGGTTTAAGTTACTGTATTATAATATGATGCCTTGGTTGTTAGGGTAGATTGGTTTCGGGTCAAATCAACACTGCTTTTGACAAGCTCTCTTTTTTGAGCTAATGACATCTGACTAACTGAGGATCTGAGATCTTTCCTTTACGCTACAGAAGCATTATTTTGAATTTGTTCATCTTGGGGTTTTTTGTTTTGCTTTGTTTTTGCAAACAAAACTGCCCGTTTAACTGCATATCATAAGCAGGCATTCTATCTATGCTCCATTTTGTCTGGGCTTATTTGTAACAATCCTGGGAGGTGGGTTGGAATTGTATAGCTGAGGAAATTGAGAAGCACAAAAGACTTACTTGGCCATGAGTCAGACTGCACGGTAGTGGTAGAGCAGGAAAAAAGGTTCCCAGCCTTGAATTTCCAGCTTATTGTCCATCTCTTGAGTCACACTGAATGCCATTCATTATGTTAACTAATTTGGGGTTTATTTTGGTCACCAATGCCAATTGTTCTCCTGAAGAATTGGTACTCGACTAAAACGGGACAATGGAAGAGGACAAGTACTTAGTAGCAGTGACTCTGTGCCAGGCACCATGCTAAGTGCTTTACAACTCTAGGAAGTCAGTGTATAAAACCATCCCCATTTTATGACTGAGGAAACTGAGCTCGTAACAACCCTGGGAAGTAAGGCTATTAAATTATCTGAATTTTACAGCTGAGGAAACTGAGGCAGACAGAGATTGAGTGACTTGCCCAGGATCACATAGCTAGTAAGTGTCTGAAACCAGATTTGAACTGATTCCAGGCCCAGCACTCTGTCCACTGCATCACTCAGCTGCCTCTAGAACAATAATTGACTGGACTTAATTAGAAATAAATTCATGCTTTCAATAAATGCCCTATCTCATCAGGCTGGTATCCCCTCCAGTGTTACAAATCATAACCCACATATGTCTTGATATCCTATGTGACTGTTGTCTATGTCTTCTCATAAGTCCTCTAGAGAATCTGCCCAGTCTTTTGGAGACCTTCTTCTGGTACTTCTGTCATTTCATGAATGCACTCAGCACAGCAAATTGACTCGCTGCTGTTGCTATATGATTAGTCCCCTTCTTTTTCTAATCATGTGTTTCCTATATGACATCCCTTATCCCACTTCTTGGGTGTGAGGCGTTGGTAATATGCCACTGCCCACTTACACCAACTATTCATTTTGCCATTTCCATTTGGGGCACCCTGTAAGTGACTCAGAAGAGATTGTCCCAACAATTCACATTGAAAAAAAGCCAGGATTAAAAAATGCCTGTCAATGACATACAGTTGGATGGGCAACCTATTGAGTTAATCTATCAGTGCAGCTCTAAAGATGGACAGTGAGATAGGCTCAGGTTCAAATAGGTGGAAAGAGAAAACAGGCAGAATCTCATTTGGTAAACTACAGTACTTTGAGAGATGCTGAATTGCCTTCTCACACATATATAAAAATCTCTTTTTGACATTAATATTCACTTGGTGGACTTGGTGATACTATGTTACTGTAAAGTATGGAATGCTATACTCTTCAAAGATATATGAACACATATACTTTTAACATGTATATACTTTTAAAGTCTTAGTTCAGTTTTAAGCCTTAATAACTTAATTTTTATAAATAGATTTCTTTCAATATATTGTGCTATACTATATTAAAGCATGTCACTTATATGTACATATGTGAACAAAGCAGTATTGAAGTCGCTCAAAAGAAACGTGAGATGCACCAGTCTAGAGAACCCATTCCAGGTTCACATGGACTATTTGTGGTAGAACATTCTGAGTTCAGATTGGTCTGATCAGATGCGCCATAACTGACTCTAACATAGGGGTGTCATTTTGGTCCTCTTCAAGAACAAAGCACAATAACAACAATAACAACAACGCGTACATACATAATATGTATATACTTAGTGTTTTTTTAATAAACAGTGTTAAATTCAGGAAAAATGTATTCTTTAATGTAGAAAAAGCCTTTTTAATCCTTTGAAATCACCAAGGCACTTAGGTCAAGGATTAAAAGAGCAGCCTTTTATCTGGCTTTTTTTTTTTTTGCATAGATGAAGGCACGATTGAACATACATCTACCAAGTGGTTTACAGCACCTTCTCTAAAGCTCTGCTCTAAGCCCTCCCCATGGTACAGAGCTGATCCTGACCTCTTGAATGATGTGCGAGTGGTGTGTGAGCTCTGAAAGATCCTAACAAATCTTGTCACTACATTTATGGGCTCTGTGGCCATGGACGAGTTCTATTCTGACCTATGTGTTAGGCGATTCTGTAAGACTGTAAGCTGCAGATTGGGGATGAGTTTTCATATGGGAAATCACCACACCAGCAAAGTCGTAAGTCTAGACCAAATTTAAAGATACGAATTTCCAAAGCGCAAACTAAGGGAAGCTAGGTGGCACACAGTAGATAGGGCTCCAGGCCTGGAGTCAAGAAGACCCTAGTTCAAATCCAGCCTGAAACATTTACTAGTTATGTGACTCTGGGCAAGTCACTTAACCCTGTTTGTCTCAGTTCCTCATCTGTAAAATGAGCTGGAGAAGGAAATGGCAAACCACTCTGGTATCTCTGCCCAGAAAACCCAAATGGGGTCACGAAGAGTTGGACATGACTGAAATCACTGAACGACAAAAAGTACAAACTTATGGATAGGGACCCAGTGACCATCTGAATGAATTCTCATCATCTGAGGACCAGCCTAGCTCAGTTTGGAAAAGCTCATCACCAGAGGGTTAGCCGCAGGGTAAGGTGTGTGTGTCTCTGTGTGTGTATGCATGTGTGTATGTGTGTATGTGTGTGTGTGTGTACACATATATTTGGCCACAGAAATTCATGAAACTGTCTCTTAAGGCCTGGAGGGAGTGTGATATGTCAGTGGAGCAAGGACACCTGAGAAATCATGGCTCCTTGAGGCATTTAAATTCTATAGTAAGAACTCCAAGCCATCAGCATCCATTTTGCTGGGGCATGTGAGCTCTCGCATGGTTCTTCGGGGCTCTCTCCCCCCATTTTTAGCTTCTTCTTGGGGGAGATCATTGTCCATTTCAGCATGGTTCAGTAGTCTTAGATGTTTGTTAGAAGTGCTATATGATGTCTTTAATGGCAGTTTTCTTTTTCTTTAATTCTCACTTGGGAGGGGGAGGGAAAGAAGGTAGATTTTTGCTGATTTTAAAAAAATATTTTTTTAAAATGTTCATCTATAACCTGTATCAAATTGCTTGCTGTCTCAGGGAGCAGGACAGGGAAGGAAGGGAGAGGATTTGGAACTCAAAATTTTAACAAATGCATCTTAAAAATTGTTTTTATATGTGATTAGGAAAAAATTTAAAATAGTTTTTTTTTTCTTAACGTACTATGTGACATACGCTCTTTGTTGGAGTACACTTCTATGGATGCCCCCTGGAAAATATAGATAACAATCTAGATGAGCCTAGCTGTTTCTGTGCTATCATAATCTGTACTGCTTAGGCAAGGACTGACTCTTCCGCCCCTGGGAATGTCTGACCTCTCTGTGAAGCCACTAATCCTGCCCTGATGATTATCCAGTGGGCTGAGAAGAAGAGCTTGACATGGTAACTTATTTTCAATTGTCCCGCTTTACTTCTGTGTCACACGTTACCTGGCACAGAAAAATGGGTTAGTTTTCATTCTTCTTCAACTATGTAATGTGTCGTACTTCCTCACAATTGATTTGGCTTATGGAAACCTAAGTAGAGAAACAGTGACTGAACTACGTTTGCTTCCTGGACCCAAATTACTTTTTTGAGAGTTCCATTTGGATCAATAATACTCCCTTGCTCTGATGTTGTTGGAGTGTCCTAAAAAAGTTAATTCTTTCCTCCCCCTTCCTCCCCCCAAACCCAACCATTTGGGTTTTCCTTACTCCTAGGCAATGACTTAAGTGCTAAAGAGAAGAGAACGCAGTATTGCTGATTTTTGATTTTTTTTTTCAGGTCTAAAGGAGGATTTTCAAATGGATGTGTTTAGGATCCTGGCTGCCATCCTTCATCTTGGCAATGTGCAGATCACAGCTGTGAGCAATGAGAGGTCCTCAATCAGTGTAAGAAATTTGTTTGTTAAGGAGTTGCATATTGGCCTTTCTTCTTCTGCTGTGTATATGCTAAACGCCATTAGTAAATACCTTTTATGTTGGCCCCATGCAGATAGTCAGTGCTTCTTTGAAGAAATCAGAAGTTGAACCTGTTTAAGAGAGTAGTTAAACAGGAATTAGATGGTGGAAAAGATAGAGAACCCTATTTGCTAATATAGGCAGTTTGGTGGTGCATGAAGTGCATGCAAGCACTGGGCTTGAAATCCGGATGATTCATCTTCATGAGTTCAAGTCTGCTTTCAGATACTTCCTAGCTGTGTGACCCCAGGCAAATCACTTAAACCTATTAGCCTCAGTTCCTCATCTATAAAATGAGCTGCAGAAGGAAATGGCAAATCACTCTAGTATCTTTACTAAGAAAAACCCAAATGGGGTCATGGAGAGTTGGACACAACTGAAATGATTCAAGAACAAAATTTGCTAATATTCTTAGTCAACTACTTGGCTAGATTGGTGGTAGTAACAACAAAAGGAAAAGTTATAAACACCAATGCCACCTCGCCCTATATACCCCAACAAATGTCAGCAAGAATCAATTACTTGTACAATAAGTGCCCATCAACTGTTCACATTTAGATAGCATCAGAGGCTTTTTTCTTCATCCAAACAAATGAATGAATGAATGTCTCATACAGAGGTAATAATGTCTCTGCAAGTATAATGCCTGGAAAGCGTGTCGAAGGCAGGAACTGTTTTCTTTTGTCTTTGTACCCCTAGCACCTGGCACAATTCCTTGCTCACGGTGAGTGCTTACATGTTTGTTGAGCTAAATTAAACTGAACTGAAGGTGGTTCCATTTATCTTTGTAGGTCTTTCAGTGCCAAAGCACAGGGCAGGTAGGTGGTGTACCAGATAGGGTGCTGGGCCTCAAGTCAGGAAGACAAGTTCAAATCCAGCCTCAGAGCCTAACTGTGTGACACTGGGCAAGTCACTTAACCTCTGTCTGCCTCAAATTCTTCATTAGTAAGATGGGGATAACAATAACAACCTACACTTCCCCCCTCACGGTTGTTCAGAAGATAAAATGCGATAGTTGTAAAATGATTTGCGGATCTTAAGGCACTATATAAATGCCAGCTATTGGTGATGAAGATGAACTTACTACCCTGAGGCAAGAGTTAACAATGATTTGTTGAGTTTTTCCTTTTAGCACACCTACATTTGCCTCTTTGTAACTTCTATCCACTACTTCTAGTTCTCTCTTCTGGGGTCAAATAAAGTCTAATCCCTCATCTCATCTATACAACAGCCTTTCAGATATTTAGAAAAACTAATTATGGCCCTGGCTAAGTTTTCTTTTTCTTCATACAAAACTTCCTTAAGTTCCTTCAGCTCATCTTTATATAACATGATCTCAAGACTCTTCACCATTCTGGGTGAGAGAATTTTTCTCTTGCTCAGGCTCATGTAACTAATAAGTGTCCAAGGCTTGATTTGAGCTCAGGTCTTCCTGATTCCAGGTCCAGTGCTCCATCCATTGTTTGATCTAGCCACCTCTAGAGGTCTTCAAGCAATGGCTGGATGACTGTTGGTTGGAAATGTGATGTAGAGATTTCTTGTTCAGCTATGAATTGAGGCTAAAAGGCCTCTGAGGTCCCATGACTAAATGCCCTTAGAAGGCCCTTTCAGCTAGAAGATTCTATGATTCTGCAATTTGTATCAGTAATATTTGTTGACAGAATGGCCACTCCAGTGTTAGATTGGTGAGTCTCCATCGAGGAGTGAGCAAACATTTCATGCTGGCCATCAAGGAAGGCAGAAGGCTGAGAGGTCTGGTGTAAGGGGAACACTACAGCAGAAAAAGACTGAGCCTACAGTTGGGAATTATCTATTAGCTAGAGTGGACAAGGGTAGCAATATTCTCAAGAGCTTTAGGGAGACTATATGCTAAAAAATATTTCTCTGTCTTTACCCACCTGGCTCTAAACAAAACAGTTCATTTGCTAGAGATGTAAGGACTCGGAATGTCATCCTCCAAGGTTACTTAATCATTTCCATATATCCTTATGTTTTTGGCCTCCACAATAGTGTATGAAGTCCTCTGAGAGTAGCATTTCAACTTCCCATTCTTCCTTCTCATGCCAGAACCTCCCTCATGACATCATGACATCCTCAAGTCCTTCTTTTTTCCCCTTGACCTTTTATTGCCAGGCCTGCCCCTTTGTTCCTTGGCTGAGTAGCAGATAAATAATTAAGGGAAGAAGGAAATCAGAGAAGAGGAAGTATCATGATAGGGAAAGAAGACAGGGTTGGAATGTGGAGTCAGGTATGTGTTGACCTTTAAGGGCTCTTCTAACTGCAATTCACTGTGTGTTGGGAGAGCAATGAGACAGGTGGTCATGTCAAGGAAATATTTTCATTTTCATGTTCACTTTTATTTTCAGGCTGGCTTGTATGATTCTATTTTTCCTTTTACAGGAAGATGACAGACATCTGAACATATTTTGTGACCTCCTAGATGTGGACAGTAGCAGTGTTGCTCAGTGGCTATGTAACCGCAAAATCATCACCACCTCAGAGACTGTGATAAAACCCATGACCAGACTTCAGTCTCTCAATGCCAGGGATGCCCTGGCCAAAAAGATCTATTCGCACCTGTTTGACTTCATTGTGGAAAGAATTAACAGAGCATTGCAGTTTTCGGGCAAAAAACATAGTTTCATTGGGGTTTTGGACATTTATGGGTAAGATTATTCCCAGTGATCCAAATCTTCCTGTCTTAAGTATCTGGGTGGCTATTTATTCTGGAGAACTTCCCTTCTTTGTTTTCTCTTCATTAATATGAAGATTTCAGGAACATGGAATTAGTGCCAAAAGTTTATCTAGTCTAGTAGTTCTCAAACTGTTTGATCTCAAGACTCCTTTACCCTCTTAAAAAAGTATTGAGGATTCCCAAAGAGCTTTTATTTATGTGGGTTATGTCTTTTGATGTCTACCATATTAGAAGTTAAAACATGTTGGTATTATTGTGCAAATAATTTTGACCTTGTAGACCCCATTGAAAGGTCTCAGACACCATCGGGGGTCCTTGCGCTATACTTTGAGAACCTCTGATCTAGTCCAAATTCATTTCATGGATGAGGTAACTGAGTGGCACAGTGGTTTATTTGCCCACAGTTACATCGTAAGGGGCAGAGTTGCTAGCCCAGGTCTTCTGACTCCAAACACAGTGTTCTTTCCACTGTATCATGCTGCTTGTTTATACGTGTATGTTTGTACAATGTAGTTTGCTATGGAAGAAGAAACTTTCTCATGCCCGGATCCTGCTCGGTTGTTTAATGAAAAGTATTCTTCATTGTTGGCTTTCTCTAGGACAGACAGTTGGACTGCTGCCAAGGCAGGCAATTAAATCTTCCAGAGACTGGAGATCATGTGTTTGGGTTGTGATTTCCCCCCCTCTCTCCCTCAACACAGCTTTGCAAATCACATGTCTGCTTTTTGGCCAGAGTATGTTAGCCTATTTGTGGACAAGATCAAAAACAAGGCAGAAAGAGTGCAGGAGCCTGTTTCTTCTAGTATGTCATTATACTTGAACTTTTGAAAATCTAGTCTATTAGTTTTGTTTTTCTTTTTTCTTTTCCCCCAATGGGAATTGAGTGGGAGAGAGGGGAGATTAGAAATGGTGTAGCAGAAACAAAAAAGAAAGAAAGAAAGGAAGGAGGGTCTTTGAGACAATTGTTTTTTTCCTAATGGAGAGAAAAGAAGAAAGACCAGAAAGAAGGCCAAACATGGAAGATAGCTTTAAAAGCTACACATTGATCTTGTTATATACTTAAAAAGAGAAGCAATGTGTATATATGGTGGAGACCTACAGATTCAGGTACAATCTTCTTTTTCTGTTCTCTGTATTTGCAGAATCACATTCTATTAAGTCAGAACAAAAATAAATTTTTTAAAAATCTAGCCACAGCTGCCCATCCCCTTCCCAAAGCAAATTCTGGTTTTTTTAAATGGATGATGGCACAGACTAGATTCCATCAAGGTTATTTAAAATTATTACACATGAATTTCTGCCTCATGAGCAAAGAGTGAACAGTCAGAAATGCACAAAAAGATATCCCTTGTCTTTTTCTACTTTATATGCAAATAGAATGAATTGGCTCTCAACCAGTCATGTGTTTTCCTCAAAGCAGATCTATTGGATGGGGAAGAGATGAGAAGGGAGCCAGCCACAGGTAGTGTTGTTGTGGAGATTCTATTGATCACACATTTAGTCCTGTATTCTTTCTCCAGCTTTTCCCATATATTTGTTTGGATGTGAATTAATTCAAGATAACACTTTAAGGTAGATTTCTAAGTTTTGTATAAATGTTGATTCAGATTTAAAATAAAGAACTCTAGATGTTGGTTCAACATAAACAGCCCTATGACTTAAATTACGTAGGCAACAAACATTTATTGAGTGCCTACCACGTGCCAGGCACTGTGCTGGGTGCTGAGGTTATGAAAACAAAAGCAGAACTGATGGTGTTCCCAAGCACTACATTCTATCAGCAAGAGTAGTAATGTTTACACAAGGGATAGAGAATGTATAGGGACTGAACCTGAGATTTCTTTGGTGTAGTCAACTGCTAGGTAAAGAAAATCCATCAGGAATCTTAGTGACTGGAAAGATTTCCTCAATAGAAATATAAATGTATCTAAGAGTAATTTTTTTAAAATAAGAGCAAAATCACCCTGTATTTTAGTATATAAATTTGGCTAAATGAGAATACCGGGACAAATTTCCATGATGCTAACTATATATAAATTATCTTCATATTTTAGTTTTACCATTAACCTCATGTAACACTACTATGTACCTGACTATACATGCTCTTCAAAATGTGGGAGAAATGAACTCAGCCTTTAAGGCAAGGGAGCCTCAAAAAAAGCCATTATCTAGTTGTAACTATGGGAAAGTCATCCTCCTCTCTGGGCTTCAGTATTTACATCTGAAAATGGAAGGGTTAGACTAACTGACCACTATGGTCTCTTCTAATCATGAAGTTCTAAGAATAAATATTAGGATCAGTTGAGGTAGAAACTGAAGACCATCATTCGTAAGATCTTTGAAAGAGGAATAATGGACATGGAAACTTAATTGTATTAGATAATATGTGTGTTTGTAATATAATTGTTTTATATGCGTTGTGATCTTTGACAATACAAGGTATTCCAAATGTATTAGGGCATTTTAGACCATTGAGGCTTGAAACTGCCTTAAGACTTTTGGTGCAGGGGCAGCTAGGTGGTACAGTGGTTAGAGCACTGGCCCTGGACTCAGAAGGACCTGAGTTCAAATTCGGTCGCAGACACGTGACACTCCCTAGCCGTGTGACTCGGGGCAAGTCATTTAATCCCAATTGTCTCACCAAAAATAAATAAATAAATGAATGAATGAAATTTTTTAAAAAAGACTTTTGGGACACCCTGTATAGATAGGCTTTAAATTAACTATGATCTCACACTGAGGTCTCTTATGTGGGAGTAAAGGAGTTGAGAACTGCTTCCTGATATTGAGCCCTCTGCCCACCTAGAGAACTCCAGAAAGTCTTGTCAAATGACTCACTGGTATTCTCTGAGTACCAGTAGATCTGAGGAGTATGAATAGATCTTGATGGATATTCTTCTAGATTCTAGCCATACAATACTGTCCTGGGTCCTGTTGTTGGGGGACAGCTAAGTGGCACCATGGATAGAGCACTGGGCCTGGAGTCAGGAAGACCTGAGTTCAGATCCATCCTCAGACATTTACCAGCTTTATGACCCTGGGCAAGTCACTTAACCCAGTTTCCCTCAGTTTCCTCATCTGTAAAATGAGCTAGAGAAGGAAATGGCAAACCACTGCGGTATCTTTGCCAAGAAAACCTCAAAAGGGGGCATGAAGAGTCAGACACAACTGAAATGACTCAACAGTAACAACCACCCTAAATAGTTGGGGTTAAAACCAGCTATGATCTCACACTGAGGCCCCCTATGTGGAGGCAAAGGGGTTGAGAAATGCTTCCTGACGTTGAGCCCCCTGCTCACCTAGAGAACTCTGGACAGAGCTGCCAAATGGCTCACTGGGATTCTCTGGATATCAGTGGATCTGAGGAGCATGAATAGATCTGGATGGATAGTCTTCTAAATTCTAACCATAAGGCAGTGTTCTGGGTCCCAGTACCTATCACAAAATAGACATTTAATAAATACTTATTACCTTGGATATGCCTTGGCTTCTCAGCTGGTTCTAGAACCTCTCAGTCCCCAAAGTGTATCTGGATGTGAGTGTGGTTGTGAACCGCAGAAGCTCTAGTGGCTTTTATTTTTCTAGTCCAAAGTCTGGATGATTCTTGACAGGTTCTGGATTCATTTTCTCATACCCCCAAGGAACTCCACTATGCTAGGAACAAATCCAGGCCAAACTACCATGCCACATTCTCCTTCATGAAGTGGGTCAGAACACATAAGGACACCATGAAATCAATTCATCTATCCCAGAATTCTACCTGATTTAGTTCTAGACCGGATTGGATCATCCATTCTAGATTTATATTCCCCCAGGGCAACTTCAAGCTCCTCCCAATGGACATGTGTCAAATTTAAAGCATCTGTCCCATTTGATTTTTAAATGAATTGGAGCATATAGGGAGCTGCCTTTCCAACAATACCATTTAAATCTGTCATCAAGTTGTTTAAAATTTCACTTGCCATAATTGCTGGAGAAATATGCATTTAAAAATAGGAATATTTGGTCACATTTTAATCCTCTGTGTCTCACTCTCATGCCTCAACAATGTGCAGCTAGATGGCACAAGAGGCGGGGGGGGGGTGCAGTGAATAGAGTTCCGGAGTTGGAGAACACCTAAGCTCAAATCTTACCTCAGATACTTATTATTTGTGTGACTCTGGGCCAGTCATTTTACCTCTATTAGCCTCAGTTTCTTCATCTGTAAAATGGGAATAATAATAGCACCTACCTCACTGGCTTGATGTGAGGACCAAATGAGAAAACTTAGGCAAAGGGATTTGCAAACCTTAAAGTGTTGCGTAAATGCTATCTATCATTAGCATTATTAGCAGTACTAGCAGCATAGGATGAAGATGATCCTGGGTTCTTAAAGTCTATGATAAAAGCATAGTCTCTAGCAAGTTCTGCTATGCTGAAAAATCTTCATGGTCAGTCCCAGTGGTAGACTGTGGTTGCTGTCTGAGAACCAACCCAGCTCAGCACAGAAAGACTCAAAACCAGCCAAGTGGCCATTAACCAAGTGATGAAGTCATCGTGTATATCAAACCATGGTGGATGACAAGTATTAATTGTTTAAGTTCAGAGCGTGTGGTTAAGGAGCCAGTCTTCCTCCCTTGCAGTCCTAAATGGGGAGGGGAAAAGCTATAAATAATTAATTAATATTTATTTACATGCAATTATATATAATTATGTATTATATACCCTATTATTTAAAATCTGTTTCAGTTTTGAAACCTTTGATGTGAACAGCTTTGAACAGTTTTGCATCAATTATGCTAATGAAAAACTGCAGCAACAGTTTAACTTGGTATGTTTACATAACTTTTTTTTAATCTTCCTAAACCTAAGTCTCAGTCCTGTGCGTGTTTATGGAAGGGGAAAGAGATGTACAATAAAGGGGTAAAGCTCACAAACTCTCCCAAGATTTCCCAGGAGTCTTCTGAACTGTCCAATAAATTTCCCCTCTTAGGCTAATATATTTTTCTCCTATTGAGTGACCGTGTGCTGAGATACTGTGCCACCTTATGGCCATGTCTGAGAACTGAGCCTTTTCAGCATCCCATTGTCTTAGAAGAAAGCTTGATTAAAAGTCCGACCCTGGAGAATCTGGGCAGTGCTGTCAATCCTGATCCTGCCCACTGTCACCACCCAAGACTGAAGGGAGGGGGTGCACTGGTATTTGCCACCAACATTCCCACAACACATATAGGAAGGTCCCTTGGAAAGGGGTGCTCTATTGACAAGGTGTGGAGAAGAGAAAGAAGAGCTAGCTAAGTTCAATTATAAGAAATGTCCTTGCCAGAAAGGGCAAGTCCAACTTGCATAGTTGATTTTTATGCTTACGTTACTACTGTTGCCAAAGTTAATTTCCCTCTTGTTTTTAATTCTCTATTATGTATGCTAATTGAAGAAGAGAGAGAGGAAGAAGGGGCATGACCACAGATAACCCAAAACAAAGACTCTTTTCTGGTCCTTGATGCCAGTCAGGAAGCACATTGAATAGGCACAGTGATCTTGGGTTCAAATTAAATAAATGAGGACTTCTGGGACAACACCTCTTACCGAGACAGGAGATGAGGAACGACTCAGAGTATGAGGGAGAATGACTATAAGATATGTATTGGACCATCTGTAAAATGGTTACTCATAGAAAAAAAGATTTATTTGTATTATAAACTCTTCTTTTTCAATACAAATAACTGATTTTTTTTCTTTTCCCTCATGTTTATACTTTTCTGCCTGAAAGTTTATTTAACCTCTGTGATGTTTTTTTTCCCCTCTCTCAACATGTGGATTGTCAGCATGTGTTCAAACTTGAGCAAGAAGAATACATGAAGGAAGGTATTCCCTGGACTTTGATTGACTTTTATGACAATCAACCAGTTATTGATTTGATTGAAGACAAAATGGGCATTTTGGAGCTACTAGATGAAGAGTGCTTGGTAATCATTCTTTTTAATCCATCCTTTGCATTCCTAACAGTAACAAGTCTTTTTGCAGGGTGGATTTTTGAAACAGTAATTTGAAACCTTTATATTAGGATCTCTTAGAGAGAGAGAGACAGAGAAAGAGGGTGGAGGGAGGTAGAGACACGGGGAGAGAGAAAAGGAAAGGGAGGAAGGGAAGAAGAGGGGAGGAGGAGAGAGAGACAGAGAGAAAGTCATGAAATTTAGAGTTAGAGGGGACCATAGAGATCATCCACTCATTATGTTTTTTCTTTCAAAATTGATAATGGATATTTATGTGAAAAAATTAGAATAGAAAACAATGTAAAGCAATAGTGAGGAAAGTCATAGAGAAGTACCTACTAGCAAAAAGTTATGGGAAGTCATTTTTAGAGATGAGGAAACTGAGGCTGAAAAAGGATAGCTTGCCCATGATCACACAAGTAGCAGAGCAGGATCTGAATTCAGGTCATCTGACCACAAGCCTAATGTTCTTTGTACTGCATCATGTCATCTTTTCTTTCCTCTCAGACTAAGACTTTTATGCCTTTTTCCCAAATGTGGGTTTTTGCTTCAAGCGAGGGAAGATACCTTCCTAAAAGTTTAAGTTTATGCACCTTTTCCAATTTCGTTTTGTTTATTTAAGTCAAGTAATCTTGAGTATCTTCTATCTTGAATTCTCAAAGGAAAGAAATTTGAAATTCCTTATACTTACTTTTGAAATATTGATACCTTCTATTTTTACTTTACAATTAACTTACGGAAATACACCCTGTTCCCTCACTAACAACCCCTACTCCAGTTGAATCCTCCTTTGTGGGGAAAAAAAAAAAAGAAAAAGAAAAAGCAGTTAAGAAAAAATCCCTGTCAGTGACACTGTCTGGCAATTTATATAGCATTCTGCCATGTGGAAGGAGGTATATTTCATTATTTATGCAATTGATTTTTCACTTAAGAGTCTGATTTTCTTTTAATTATCTTTTCATTTACATTGTTTTAGTCATTGTCTATATTATTCTTATGGTTCTGCCTGTTTCTCATCATTTCATACAAATTTTCCCATATTTCTCTGAATTCTTTATATTCTCCACTTCTTACTAAATGATAATATTCCATTACATTCATCTACCATAGTTATTTTCTATCCATTCTCCAACTGGTAAATACCTGTTGCCATATGTATGTATGTATATACATACACATACATACCATGAAGAGTCATGTTATATTTTAGATTTATATCAGACCTCCATTTTCTGTCTTTGATCTCCTGAGAGCACATGTCCAGTAGTGGGTCATACACAGATTTTTTTCGTACTTTCCTGCCTGTGTTGAAGGAGGTCAAAGGACAGGACCTGTCTCACAGGCAAAGTAGGCTGTGAATGAGTGTATTCCATAATTGAGTGTGGCTTTCTGAGTTGGGAATTTGGAAAAAGTAGTGCCTAAATAAAGGCCAGAAATTTGAAGGATCAAGAATCAGTTACTGAAGGTATGGGGTGTGGAGCTGAGGAATCAGAAGAAGCATGCACCAGAAGTTCTGTGTTGGTACCAGGATCAGAAGAGTTTAGGGACAAAGCAAAGAGGTTGGGGATCAGGCAGGAGGGTCTGATGCTAGAAGAAGAGGGTTTGAGCTCTGGACATGGGGTAGGTTTTAATATTGAACCTTGAGGCCAGGGACCATTTTGTTTTTGTTTCCTCAGCACCTAGCATAATGCCTGGAACTTAGTAGGCCATCAATAAATGCCTCTTCCATTGAACTGGATAATCTCTTTGGAATGTTTGTATTCCCTCTGTATAAAAAGCTTCTTGGTGCTAAGGTTTAAAAGAAATTATCTGCAGAGATTCCTCTCAGCCACAGCTACTTTACCTGAGATCCACAGGTCTATGAATAGATTTCAGGGGTTCCTTGACCCTGAATGGGAAAAACTACATTTTTATTTTTACCATACTCTAACTAAAACTTAGCATTTCCTCCACTTTAAAGTTTAGGTAACAAAGAATATTCTGAAAACATGTCTTTGGGTTTCACCAGACTGCCAAGGGAGTCTAGGAAACAAAAGTGAAGTCAACATGTACTTAGTAGGTGCCAGCCACTGTGGTAAGCACTGGTTAAGAAGTTAAGAACCTTTGCTCTAAATAATCCAAAGGACAATTAGAAAGTGGAGTATTGTGTTCAGGGAGTTTCACGGCAAATACATTTTGATATTCCAAAATCAATGATGTCAAGAACCGGTTTTGTAAGTAGCTAAGCCAGAAGTGACCACAAGATGTTATTCTCACCCTCCACACGCAGGAGTATGAAAAGGGAGTTCTGTCTAATGAGGGAATTCATGATGGTAACCATAGCCAGCACTTAATTTTTCTTCTACCTGAAAATGAAAATACTGTAGTCACTTTGCAGAACCACAAATATTTGGTGAATTTTAGACCTTGTGAGAAAAAAATAGAAAGGGAAATGTCTGTCTCTGTGACAAAAATAAAATCATTCATTCCATTCTTCATTCAATTGTGTTTTCCTTGCAATTTAGGATCCTAGCTGTCCTGTCCATTTGATTAGACCCCCCCCTTTACCCTCTGACATCTACTCTATGTTGATTTCTTTATTTCTTGCTCATGACTTCTCTTTCACCCTGAGTCTTCTATTTTATATAAATTCCACTGTTCCCAGATCCTGATCCTCTTTGTCTTGTTACCCTAACACAGCCTGATAAACATTCTCTTATTTTCATCATTGTTAATCACTTCAAAATTTTTCTCCTACTTTAAATCATACTTGCTTTAATGAGAGAAATATTACCATTTTTAATCTTTACAGTATTAGCACCAAAAACTCTTTAGATTATGTTGCATTCTGGTAGCTATAGGCAGCAATTGCACACCAACTCTTCTGCTGTTGATACATTTCAGTTTGTTGTTGGCAAGTTGTTTTCCATGTTTGACTCTTTGTGATCCCATTTGGGATTTTCTTGGCAAAGATACTGGAGTGGTTTGCCATTTGCTTCTTCAGCCCATTTTACAGATGAGGAAACTGAGGTAAACAGGGTCAAGTGACTTAAGGGTCACAAAGCTAGTAAATTTCTGAAGCCAGATTTGAACTCAGGAAGATGAGTCGTCTTGACTTCAGGCCTGGCACTCTATCCACTGTGCTGCCTAGCTGTCCTACTTCACAGTTTACTGCAATACTGTTTCTGTGTCAGGTTTTACTCTGTTTAGCAACTTTTTATTGCCTCTATAAATGTTTTAACTCACTTTATTTTTCTATTTTCAGTTACCGCATGGTACAGATGAAAATTGGCTTCAAAAACTCTATAATAATTTTGTCAACAAGAATGCTTTATTTGAAAAGCCTAGAATGTCAAACACATCCTTCATCATCCAGCACTTTGCTGATAAGGTATGATATGAATCTTGCACAATTATTCACATGCCTATATTCAGCGAACATCTTTCAGAAAGGGAAGCATCAGCAAAGTCTAGGTCTGAGCTTCTAGTTGCATTAGAAACATGTGCTTACCATGCTGCACTGATAAAATAATTTTTGAGTCACATGCAATTCATTGTAATGACAAAACAGGTGGATTTCAGGCGTATGGGTCAATATACAGGTTTTGAAGATAACAGTAAGAATTTCTTTTCTTGGTTCTGCCATAGACTTTGACTTTCTCAGAAATCCAAACTTCAGAGAACAAATCTGCTTAATAAAAGGATTTATTCTATAAAACTTGGACTCAGTCAAAAGACTACACCCAAAGACTTAGAAGGCCACATGTTCCCTACCCTTGTAGGGATTTATTTACCCTGCTTTCATTTTATTTTCTGTCTATGAAATTGTGTGGGTGATGCCTTCTGTGGTGAAAGCAGGGTGTGGTTCCGCTTAGGTTTTTACTGAGTACAAGTCCTCTGTCTGGAACATCTGTGAATGATCGATGATTTAAATAAACAAGGTATTCCAGGGAGTGCCATTATACCAGACTCTAAGTGACTCCCTACTTGTAAATTAGATTCCTTTGGAAGTTGATTAACTTTGTCAGGCTCATTGAATAACAGTAAATTAGTGCTTCTGTATTCTGTAAAAGTATACATTACTTCATGTATTAGAGGAGTCTCTGTAAAGTTACATACAAAGTGAAAGTTTATAACGTTAAATTTCCAGTTAACTTCATTTATAATTTCAGAATTTCTATGAATTCTCATAGAAAAAATCTAGATGTACAAGACAATAAAAATCACATGAAAGCTACATTCATTTCAAGGAGCATTCTGCCTTTGATTCACATGGTCTATGTGAATTCATCTCCCTCATATGATTCTTGTATGAAAAGTCTGTTCCCATCATCTTTGTGCTTACATGAAAACATACACATATTACAACATATACGATGAGCTAGTTTCTACTTCATTGGAAATTCCCAGTGATTTTTTGGAAAGGCTGGGATGGTTAAGCAACCTCTCTATCAATGCGATTGTTTGAGGTATCAAGCAAAAGTAATTACCTAGAAGGAGGCACTTGGAGATTTTTCAATCTTTGGCAGAGCTCAGGCATTACAAAGAGTTAGTGATTTGTACTTGAATTATAAAGGTTTACTGTTTCTTTTTAAAAGCCCATGTTGGGTTTTTTGTTTGTCTGTTTTAAAGATTCTCTGAATTCTCATTTATCATGACTTCCATTGGTAAGATCGTTCCTTGCTACCACATTAGTGTCTAATTAAGTAAAGGTTTGTTCCTGAAACCAAGAGGCATCATTGAGCCTTTTTTTCTTCCTTCTGATGGGTGCAGAAAGAGACAACTTCCTGAATTTATTAGCTAGAATTCAGAAAACTAGGTTTATCTTTACTCAGTAGTGACCTGAAAGAGTTATTACAGTTTTAATGCAGATTACAATTAGAAAGTCAGATAAACATTGTTATAATCTGGCATGGTATGTTGAGGGATTGTAGTAAAGCTACAGTCATAAAAATAAAGAAACCAAATCCATCCTTCTCCAATCAACATTTCCAGCCATTTTATCTTAGGCTCTTTTAAAAACGTAAAACCGGGAGGCGGAGCCAAGATGGCGGAGTGAAAGCAGTGACTTGCTTGAGCTCTCCAAACCCCTGCAAATACTCATAAAAAATGGCTCTAAACAAACTCTGAAGCAGCAGAACCCACAAAAAGACAGAGTGAAACAAATTTCCAGCCCAAGATAACCTGGATGGGTTGATCAGAAAAGTATATCGCGCCGGGCTAGGAGCGCAGCGCAGTGCAGTATGGGCGCGTAGGCCACAGCAAACCTGGAGCAGGCCTCAGAGGACTGAATCTCAGGCAGCTGTGGAGGTTTCCAGACTCCTCAATCCACCAATGCCAAAGACAACTTAGAAGGTCAGTGGGAAAAGTCTGTTTCTGTCAGTGCTAAGAAAGGAAGGTGGGGTTTCAGCTCCATTCCCCAAGAGCTTGGCCCGAGGAGGGGGGGCAGCTGCTTCCCGAGCTTCCGGCCCACAGACTGAGGGGGAATCCAGTGGCTGATCAGAGAGGGATTGCAGGGATCTCTTTGCCAGTGCTGAGGCAGGAATCTCTTGCTTTGCCCATGTTTGGATCTGGGCCACAGTTCTGGGCAGCGGTGCTGGGGTGAGGAGGAGCACTGGCTGGGTGGAGCTTGTAGTGATTGTGGAGAGGAGCCCCTCCTCACAGTTACAGGACAGATAGGAGTACTTGTAGTCGCAGGCCAGGAAAGGAGTAAACACCTCACCCCTTATCATACCACCTTGGAAGAACTGAAAATTTACAGGTCCCTACAACTATCTCTGAAAACAGCTGTACAAACCCCCCGAAGCTTGGGACAGTACATTCTCCACATTGGAAGCAGGGTTCGTACCTTAACAAAGAGTTTAAAACTCAAGTAATTGGCCAGGATCATGAGCAAGCAGCACAAAAAGAGTCAGACTATATTATCTTACTTTGGTGAAAAAGAAGATCAAAATATACAACCAGAAGAAGACAACAAAGTCAAAGCTCCTACATCCAAAGCCTCCAAGAAAAATATGAATCAGTCCCAGGCCTTGGAAGAGCTCAAAAAGGATTTTGAGAAGCAAGTAAGGGAAGTAGAGGAAAAACTGGGAAGAGAAATGAGAGTGATGCAAGAAAATCATGAAAAACAAGTCAACAGCTTGCTAAAGGAGACCCAAAAAAATACTGAAGAAAATAACACCTTAAAAAATAGCCTAACCCAAATGGCAAAAGAGGTCCAAAAAGCCAATGAGGAGAAAAATGCCCTAAAAAGCAAAATTGGCCAAATGGAAAAGGAAGTCCAAAAGATTACTGAAGAAAATACTTCCTTAAAAATTAGAATAGAGCAATTGGAAGATAGTGACTTTATGAGAAATCATGACACAGTAGAACAAATCCAAAAGAATGAAAAATTAGAAAACAATGTGAAATATCTCATTGGAAAAACAACTGACCTGGAAAATAGATCCAGGAGAGAGAATTTAAAAATTATTGGACTATCTGAAAGCCATGATCAAAAAAAGAGCCTAGACATCATCTTTCAAGAAATTATCAAGGAAAACTGCCCTGATATAGTAGAACCAGAGGGCAAAATAGAAATTGAAAGAATACATGGATCTCCTCCTGAAAGAGATCCCCAAAGGAAAACTCCTAGGAATATTATAGCCAAATTCCAGAGTTCCCAGGTCAAGGAGAAAATATTACAAGCTGCCAGAAGGAAACAGTTCAAGTACTGTGGAAACACAATCAGGATAACACAAGATTTAGCAGCTTCTACATTAAAGGACTGCAGGGCATGGAATATAATATTCCGGAGGGCAAAGGAGATAGGATTACAACCAAGAATCACCTACCCAGCAAAACTGAGTATAATCCTTCAGGGGAAAAAATGGTCATTCAGTGAAATAGAGGACTTTCAAGCATTCTTGATGAAAAGACCAGAGCTGAATAGAAAATTTGACTTTCAAATACAGGACTCCAGTGGAACATGAAGAGGTAAACAGGAAAGAGAAATCATAAGAGACTTATTAAGATTGAACTGTTTACATTCCTGCATGGAAAGATGATATTTATAACTCATGAGACCTTTGTCAGTATCAGGGTAGTTGGAGGAAAAAAATTATATGTATGTATATGTAGATAGATAGAGGGCACAGGGTGAGCTGAAGATTAAGGAGTCATATCTGGAGAATAAAATTAAGGGATGAGAGAGGATTATACTTAGAGAAGAAGAAAGGGAGAGGTAGAATGGGGTAAATTATCTCACAAAAAAAAACAGAAAAGAAAAGTCTCTTACAGTGGAAGGGGAAACGGGGGAAGGTGAGAGGAATGAGTGAATCTTATTCTCATAGGATTTGGCTTAAGGAGGGAATAACATACACATTCAATTGGGTATGGAAATCTGTCTTACCCTACAGGAAAATAGGGGGAGAAGGGGACAAGAGAACAGGGGGATGATAGAGAGGAGGGCAGATTGGGAAAGGGGGCAAATAAATAAATACTTCTGAGGAGGGACAGGGTCAAAAGAAAGAATAGAATGGGAGGGCAGGATAGGATTAAGGGAAACAGAGTTAGTTTTTCACAACAGGTCTACTATAGACATGTTTTGCATAACTGCACATGTACAACCTATATTGAGTTGCTTGCCTTTTCAGTGAGCGTGGGTGGGGAGGGAAGAAGACAGAAAATTTGAACACATGCTACTGGGAAATAAGAAATATAGGAAATGGGGTACAGAAGTCTGTCCTGCCCTGCAGGAAAATAGAAGGGGAAGGGGATAAGAGAAGGGGAGAGAGATGGAAGAGAGGACAGACTAGGGGAGGGAATATTCGGAATGCATGCCATCTTGGGGTGGGGGAGGGTGGAGATGGGGTGAAAATTTGGAACTCAGAAACTTGTGGAGGTGAATGTTGAAAACTAAAACAAATTTATATTAAAAAAATTTTTAAGTAAAAGAAAATAAAAATATAAAAACATAAAACCACTGCCACCCACAAAACAAATGGTGATTTAAAGATTGAAAACTTGCCTGGTCTGTCTCTGAAATTATAGTCTGCTGATATTCCTAATTTAAGCTCTTTGCATAGGTAGAGTATAAATGTGAAGGATTCCTGGAGAAGAACAGAGATACAGTATATGAAGTATTGGTTGAAATCCTGAGAACAAGCAAGGTTTGTAAATTAATACTTCAATAAAATAGGTTAATAATTATTTATTGTACAATTCCACACAGCTAAAGAAGTATATCAATACACTTCTGTATGATGAATATGTATATTGTATGATATATGTACAACCTTTGTATCAGAGGCTCATTCCTGAAACCAAGGGCCTACATATATTTTGGGGACTTCTTGCTTCTCTAGACCATTGTCCCTAGCCAGGTACAACCTGGAAATGTCATCATCTACCATTATTTAAAGGTGAGGCAATAACACCCCTTATAAGCATTCATGCTCACAAGGCCCAAAACATAAAAGTTTTGTTTTCAAATTAATGGTCACAGAAATGACACATATCTTCAACATTGCATATAAGTCTTTCTGGATTTTTCCAAAATCCACCTGCTTATCATTTCTTATAGCACAATAGTATTCCATTATATTCATATATGACAACTTGTTCAACCATTACACAACTGGTAGACATTCCCTCAATTTCCAATTCTTTGCCACCATGAAAAGAGCTGCTATAAATATTTTTGTACATGTAGGTTCTTTTCCCTTTTTTATGATCTCCTTGGAATACAGACCTAGTAGTGGTATTACTGTATTAAAGGGTATGCCCAGTTTTGTACTCCTTTGGACATAGTTCCAAATTGCTCTCCAGAATGGTTGGATCAGTTCACAACTCTACCAACAATGCATTAATGTCCTAATTTTCCCACACTTCTCCAACATTTATATTTTCCTTTTCTGTCGTATTAGCCAATCTGATAAGTGAGAGGTGGTACCTCAGAGTTGTTTTAATTTGTGTTTCTCTAATCAATACTGATTTAAGAGCATTTTTTTTGTATGACTGTAGATAGCTTTCATTTCTTCATCTGAAAACTGCCTGTTCATGTCCTTTGATCATTCTCAATTGGGAAATGACTTATATTCTTATAAATTTGACTCAGTTCTCTATATATTTGGGAAATGTGACTCTTCTCTTCTTAAGTGCCTCAAGAGCATTCTTCCATTCACATCAGCAACCATCTCCCTATGGAGTTTTAGAGGTGAAAAGTATTTCCCTCAAACTCTTTTAATTCCCCATCTCTTCCACATCCCCTCCCCAACAGTAAGTTGGTTGTTTTATTCAAATTTTCCTGGGAATTCTTTGGGAGAGATCTCCAAAAGACAGGAGGAAGAGAAGGAGCCAGCTGCCCCAAGCATGGGTTCTGAAGATTTTGTTATCTTCATTCTAAGTATATATATAAATGCTTTTTAAATAAGCAGTACAAATTTTCTAAATTTTAAATATGGTACTATCTGCTTTTTGAATCTAAGCTAATATCCGTGAAGCTATAGTCTGCCATGATTAACAAATTTGTAGATGATTAGCTTTGACTAAGAGGGAGAGCTAACCTGATAAGACAATGGAAACCATATTGAAAATTATCTCAGAAGGCTGAAACATAAGGCTAAAGTTAAGAAAATGAAACACAAGATAAAGTACTGCATTTAGATTCAGAAAATTAAATATAAAGGTACAGAATACAGGAAACCTGACTGCAGAGGTAAGAGGAAATAGTACATGTTTTTTAAACAATTTGGAGATCTTAGTTGACCACAAGCTTGCCTGCTACTTAAAAAAAAACAACACTAATATGTTTGGCCTGTATGATTGTTATTGTTAATAATAATGACTCATGATTCTATAGTGCTCTAAAGTTCACAGAGTGTTTTACACACAGCAAGTAAGTAGTGGAGGCATTATTATCCCCATTTTACTGTTGGGGAAACTAAAGCTTAGAGAGAGATGGGAAATGACTTACCCAAGGGCACAATTAGGAAGGGTCAGAGTGTCTCTGACATTCACTAGCTCTGTGTCTCTGGGCAAATCATTTAACTGCCACAAACCTTGACTGGTGTCCTAGGATTGGTAAGGTAGAGAAAGAGAATCCATTTGTATTGGTGGAGGGGGTTCTCCTAATGGGAGCTCTCCATAGTAATGAAACCAGAGAGCCTCTGCACATTCACATTATTCCTTATGGTTAAGAAAAGTAAATGTGGTATAATGGAGAGTGTTGGACTGAAAGTTAAGAGACCTACGTTCTAGTCCCAACATTAATTTACCAGATGGATTTGGGTAAGTCACTTTCTCTGGTCTTCGTTTTCTGCATCTGTCAAATGAGGGAGGGTTGCATTAGCTGAACTACTTCAAAGGCCTTGTGAATAAAGAGCACCCTAGCATGGAAGATCTGAGTTCCAATCCAGCCTTCAATGCTAGTTTGTGACCCTGGGCAAGTCACATAACCTCTGTGTGCCTCAGGTTCCTAATCTGTAGAATGGGAATAATAATAGCACCTACCTCCCACGGTCATTGTGAGGATCATATGGGCTAATATTTGTGAAGCATTTTGTAAACTTTACAATGCTATATAAGTGCAAGTCATTATTGTTTTCATCAGTGTTAAATGTGATACTCTGTCATTTTTCAGTTTCCTCTCTGTGCTAGCTTTTTCCAAGAAAACCCAGGTCCTCCTCCCCCCTTCAATTCTGCTATCACAGTCAAATCTGCCAAGCAAGTGCTCAAGCCAAATAACAAGCATTTCCGGACAACAGTTGGCAACAAGGTACCAAGGAGATCTTTGGGGGTAGTAAAGAGAAGAGAGGCTTGGGGTGTGAGTTCTGGTGCTTTTCTTAGAAAGCCGAGTATCTCCATAATCCTTATTCTAGGGCAGACATGGAAAATGCATCATTTTTCAAATGTAAAAATAGAAACATAGAAAAGCATCATTTACAACAGTGAGGTATTTTATCAAAGCAACACAAGTCTGACCAAATGTCACCTTTTATGGGCTACTGTTTTCAGGACCCTTTGGAAAGTAATAATCGCAATAACAATAGCTTTTGTTTATGTGGCACTTTGTGATTACTAAATGCTTTATTTGTATTGTCTCACTCAAGGTATTAACATGCTTTATTAGCCAGATATTGTCCTGAGTTTTCAAGGTTACTTGTTTTTAAACCAGATCCATTATTTCATTGGTATACAGGTTTCTAAATGAGAAACTTCCCTTCCCAGAGCAAACTGGCAAATGATTTGAAACTTAGAGTCTTAGAGTTACTTGGGCCCCTGAGAGGTCAAGGAACTAGTCCAGGGTCACATAGTCAATAAGTATGAGGCAGACCTTGAATCTAGGCCTTTCTGACGCTGAGGTCAGCTCTCTGTCGACTATACTACATGGTGTCTCAGCATATTTTATAAAAGCAATATTAAACCTGAGGTTTTATAACTCAGAAGGTTGTTATGAGAGACAGATGAAATGAGTGTATGTAAACCACTTTACAAAGCTTAACACACTATGTAAATGTAAGTTATTGTTGCTGGAGCTAATCTCAGTTTATTCTAATATACCAACACTGGTGATCTCACTGATGTGAGCATTTCTTCAAGCAATGCAGATTGAGTCCCATCCATGCCTACCCCTGGGAGCCTCCTGTCCATGTCTTCCCATAAATTTACATCCAATCTTCTGGAAACACATTTGTTATCTTGACAGTGTATGGATACCAATGGAGCATAGAGACTAGCCATCAGTTATCCCTTTCTCTTGTCTACATGACCAGCCCACCTTTTGGTTTTTTAGACATACATTTCTTTTTTTTTTTTCAGGCAAAGACAAGGTTTATTAAAAAATCTACCATATTGGCCAGACTCTTAAGGAATCTGAACATTTGTAAGCTATGGGATAGATTATGAGAATCTGAGCCCCTTGACTAGACTCTTAAAGAATCTGAGCAGTAGCTAGATTTTAAGAATCTTAGCATTTGGCTATATTTTAAGAATCTGAGTTACATCTCTGGTCACATCCTTTATGCTGCTTTTCCTACATAGGTCTTCATTTGGAATATATTGTGGCCTGCTTTAACCCACCATGTTTCTTTCCATTTCCTTTTGGGTGACCCTCAACTTCAAGTCTTCCAAGAACTCTAATATTTCATGATTCACAGCCATTTATTACCAGAAGAATATTTGTGTTAAAACATGGGCCTTTGTTTTGAGATGAAGTTTAGAGTTACTAAAAAGAACTGTTCAACTTCCCAAAGACAAGTTAGCCTCTCTCTCCCACTCATTCATTTCTGGGCCTAGTTCGTCATCCATTCATCATATTGGCCATGTCTTTGCATGTACATATATGTATATGTTATATATGTGTGTATACACGCACATGCTAACAGATGAGCACTAAAAATATCATATTCTTAGCAGTACACATTCTTCATCTACTTGTTATTCCCTGTGTGGATAGGTAGGTGAAGCTCCTTCGAATGGTTATAAATTTCATTTAGGAGACTTTATAGTATTCCAGGTCTTGCTGCAATCACTATGATGTCATATACAAGAAGGAATATCTGGCACAGCTTGATAACTTACCTTGAAAATCTGAGAAAATTTTTTATCATATCTAATTTTAAAAGCTTCATATGTGGTACAGACACTCCCCCCAAATTTCCCTTATTTTATTTTTTAGGCATTTTGATTTTCTTCCCCCCCCCTTCAGTTTCTTACTAAGATTGCATGAAGGCTAAGAATGTGTTAATTACTTGATGCAAGGGTTAAATTAGGCTCAATAAGACCTTGATTTATGACCTTTAACATGACCTGAGAATTTGTGATTTTCTAGTTCCGAAGCTCTCTGTATTTGCTGATGGAGACACTCAATGCCACCACACCTCACTATGTAAGATGCATAAAGCCAAATGATGAGAAGTTACCATTTGAGTAAGTACTCCAGTCCTCCTGAAAATGCAAATATTGTTCAGTATCATGGTTACTTATTTAATGCTACTCTTAAAGAACACAGAAGATTAGGGAACACAATTTCCTTTGTTAACTATTTTCTAATTCTTTGATGAATGATATGAATTTAGTGTAAAATTGAAAATTTTTCCTAGAAAAATGAGTTTTAAATATAAAGAGAAACTTATGATTTTGAAATACAGGATTTAAAATGAAAAGTCATTTATTCAGCACTTTTTAAGCACCTCTTATACTACTATTCTTAGCACTGGGGATACCAATAGCTATGATATAGACCCTACTGTTAAGGAGCGTAGAATGGAATGGGTAAGAAAAGTATGAAAGAAACAAGAGAGCAGTTAGAATAATTTAATTTGGTCAGGATATAGACCTGTCTTTATCTGCAATTTGCCAATAGAGTATAATCTTAGATAGATAGATAGATAGATAGATAGATAGGTAGGTAGATAGATAGATAGATAGACCGACCTCTTTTTTCAGCTCTTCATATGTGGAAATGGTTGTGTTTATCAAACTCAGAATAATAGGAAATATATTTTTAATTTATTCAAAGACAAAATCATTAAAAAGATAACTAGTAATTATTAGACTAGACTGACAGTGTTTTGCCTAATAGAGACCCATAGGATACCTGTTTTAATGAAGTGATAGAACTGATTTTCCGTTAGGATATGAGTTGCATGTACAGGGGACTTTTAAAGTACTTTAATATGCTGGGGAAACATTTTAAGTATAGTAATATGATTTATCTGGCATCAGTAGGAACAGAAATGTTTCCCATAAATGAATTTTCCATAACTCGAGTTTACCTTTCAGGTGCCAAATTCAATAGATAGATTCATTCATTTTTGATGTAAGTTTTTATGAATTGAACTTATTATGCTCTTTAATACCACTTGAAGGATACTAGACATGATTGACCTTTTTCTAGGTGACAGGATTATCTTTTGTCTCTCCCTTCCTTCAGTGTCATGATTATCTGTGCACACCCCTCAGATTCAAACACGAGTCTTTTGACTCCAAAATCAGTGGGCAGTCAGCCCTGGTTTGAAGATCTCTAAGTGATGGGGAAACTCCTTTATTGTTGTTCAGTCATTTTTCAATCATGTCTGACTCTTCATGACCCCTTTTGGAGAGTTTTCTTGGCAGAGATAGTGGAGTGGTTTGCCATTTTCTTCTCCAGCTCATTTTGCAGATAGGGAAACTGAGGCAAATAGCTGGTAAGTGTCTGAGGCCAGATTTGAACTGAGAAAGATGAGTCTTCCTCACTCTAGGCCTGGCACTGTATCTACTTTGCTGCATTGCTATCCTCCCTTATTGCAGAAATGGCATTAGTCTGTAGCATCCTGACTTCTGTATGTTTATTCATTGTAACAGTTTAATCTCTTATAAATGGCAGCTAGGTGGTGCAATGGGTAGAGCCAGGCCAGGAGTAAGGAAGACTCATCTTCCTGAGTTCAAATCTGGCCTCAGACACTTACTGGGTGTGTGACTCTGGGGCAAGTCACTTAACCCTCTTTGCTTCAGTTTCTTCCTCTGTAAAATGGGCTGGAGAAGGAAATGGCAAACCATTTCAGTATCTCTGCCAAGAGAACTCCAGATGGGGCCACAAGGAGTCAGACACAACTGAAACGAGTAAACAGCAACAATATCTGGACTCAAGTCTACAGAGACACAATGACAATCCCACACAAAAGATGATGGGAAACAGTTGCAAACTTTTTGTTCTCTTAGGTTTGACTCCAAAAGAATTGTTCAGCAGCTTCGAGCCTGTGGAGTTTTAGAAACAATTCGCATCAGTGCTCAGAGCTATCCTTCCAGGTACGTTGGTAGACATTCTTTGGGAGCACATGTTTATCCTCTGCTGAGGGGGTGGCATTTGTCCTGGGTGTGCATCCTCTGGAGATGAGCTTGAAAATTTCCTAAGCCCTTCTCACTGCCCTATGGAAAAGGCATTAGAGAGCATAAAGTTGGGCTATAAGAGAAACAGGCCAACACTATTAGTACCCACTTCCACACTTGCTGATTATACTCAGCAGCTGCTGGGCCCAAACTCTATGACTGCTGTGAGATAAAAGTTTGAATGGAGGTGGTGAGCAGGAAAGGTCCCATGAGAGGTAGGATTCGACAGTGGTGAACTAAAAGGACTCTTGGTGGCTGTGAGAAGGTTGGTTAGGGTGACACCTGGATAATAGAATGGAAGGGGGTTACTTGGGTCAATGCCACCAGCCCCAGGATAACCCTTCAGCCCTCCTCATTACCACTACTACTCAGAACCCCTAGGTTCTAGAGTACCATGCATAGAGGCAGTGACAGGAAGCATTCTAGAGGATCTGAGACCCCATGGCATTACTCTCAGATCATAATGTCATTTGCCAAATTGCAGTCTTTTTTTTTTCCTCCAGGTGGACGTACATAGAATTTTATAGCCGCTATGGAGTTCTTATGTCTCAGCAGGAACTTGCCTTCAGTGATAAGAAAGAGGTTTGCAAAGTGGTTTTACACAGACTAATCCAGGTTAGTCTGTGCCCTCCTGCTCTGGATCACTTTTTTTCTCTTAGATAATTCAATTCAACAAACATTTTTAAATCATCTTCCAGGTGCAAAGTGCTGAGGAGCTGGTTGTCTCTAAAATGAGTGGTTCCAATAAGGTCATCGCTAAGGTCCCTCCAACCCTTAATACTCTGACCTCATGATGCAAACTTTAGCTGACTGACAGGGTTTCTGTCCTCATGGAACCCACAGCTCAGTAGAGGGCTGTGACATATACCACCTGATACAAAACTGTATATCATAAGTGCAAAACAGTAATGGCTAGCATTTATGTAGTGTTTTAAGGTTTACAGAACACTGTAAGTGTTATCTCATTGATGTTCACAAAAAACTTGTAAGGTAGGTGCTATTATCTCTATTTTATGGATGAAGAAACAGAGACTGAGAGAGGTTAAGTGAGTCACCTAGCAAAGCACAGCTAGTAAGTGCCTGAGGCAGGATTCAAACCCAAGTCTTCCAAACTTCAAGTCCAGTGTAAGAGAGTGATAAGCAAAGTGCTATAGTCCGGGGAAGGGGGGAAGGAAGAAGTGACATGTGAGATGAGTATAAAAAAAGAATGTGTAGAAATTCAACAAATGGATGGAGTGAAGGGAAGGCATACCAAGCATAAGAAATACAGCATGAGCAAAAGAATGAAGGTAGGAAAGGGCAAGGCATACACAGTTTAGCAAAAGAGTAGAGCATGTAGAAAAGTGGTATGAGCTATAGCTAGAAAGATGGAGGTGTAATAAATTGTGATGGGCATTGAATGATGGGCAAAGGAATATAACCTGTGACCCAGAACCAAAGCTCTAGGTTTACATACGGGGGCTTCTCATTAATCATACTCTTTGGTTTGTGCTGATATTCCTAGAGAAGGAAAAGGGCCTGGCTTAGCTGCAGAGCAAGTGCTCAAGCTAACAAGACATCAAATAGAGGACAGGCTTTATTTAACCTGACCCCCCCCCCAACATTCAAAAGGCTCATGCCCAAGGGCATAAGTGCTCCAGCTATCCCCTCTTCTCTCTTCATTGGATCTCTGCTTTCCTTGGAGAATATAAATTCCTCCAGACTTATTGGACAACTTTGGCATTAAAGTCTTCCCAACCTCCAGTAAGGGTAAAGAAACTCTCTCCTTCAATGAGTCTACCTTCTCCATAGACCTATACTGTTCTTCAGACAGAGGGTACAACCATGAAACTGAAGTCCTTCAGCATGGAGAAAGTATGCAGGATAGATAAGAAAGTTAAGCAATACCCTTTCTTTGATGAGCTTCACCTCCCCAAGGACCTATATAGTCTTTCATTCTTACAGTTCCGTTCTAGGGTTGGTCCCTCCTCCAGGGGAAAAGCATTCAAAGTCTCCATGGAATTTCTGGAATTTCCCCCCAAACCTGCACAGTCCACATAACTCACAGTATGAGTGAAGGGCAAGATTTGGATTTACCTTTCACTCTGTGTTTCTTATCATTCCTGGTCTTTGTGTTTGACTTTTGCTTGGTTTAAGAACTCTTTTTTTATCCATCTTCTACATAACTGCCTTTTAGATACTTGAATTCTCCTATCATGCCCATTTTGATGAAGATTTCCCTTCTCCAGGCTACCTATGCCCATTTCTTTCAGCACACTTTCAGCCAGTGCTGATAACCATGATTTGTGCTTACTGTACTCCCATAACCTCTTCCTCAAGACTTCAGGTGTCTCACATATATTGTAGAAAATCTGAACATGTTAAATTTGGAGAAAGATCATGTCTGATCAGACATACTGTTTTCTCTTCTAGGACTCTAACCAGTATCAGTTTGGTAAAACAAAAATTTTCTTCAGAGCAGGACAGGTGGCCTATTTAGAAAAACTCCGGTTGGATAAACTGAGACAAGGGTGTATTATGATACAAAAGCACATCCGAGGCTGGCTCCAGAGAAAGAAATTTCTCCGAAAGAGAAAAGCTGCTGTGACAATACAGCAGTACTTTCGTGGACAGCAAACTGTAAGGTATTGAACTGATGTACATAATAGGGGTGGGGTGTTAGGTATATATAGGCATTTACACACACAAGGAGAGAAGAAATGAAGGATCCTGGGAGCTAAGCAGACTGGAAAGGCTGAGTTTCTGAGTTTTCATTCTTATTTGGCCACTGTTTTAATATATCATCCTAGAGGAACAGCTCTATCCTCTTAAAGTTGGATTTTCTCTAGTGGCATTAATGTTGCCTCTTCTTCTTAATAGTACAGTGAATGATATTTTTAAATGAGGGTAAGTTGATAGGGTAATGAAATTATAAGTACTAATTTATATTCATCAGCCTGAGAAGTTTGGCTCTATTACCTGGCATTGGCATTCAATTCAATCAAAACATATTTATTAAGTTCCTATTGTATACAAGGTATTGTAGTATGTTTGGGGGATACAAAGAAAAAAATCACCATACAATCAATCAACAAACATTTATTAAGTGCCTGTCATGTGCCAGACACTCTCATAAGTGCTATAGATAAAGACAAAAATGAAGCGGCACCTTACTTCAAATAACTTGTGTTCCATTGGCAGAAACAACATGTACACATGTAAGTATATATAGAATGAATACATAAATAAAGGTAATTTGGAGAGGGTTGGAACATTGGCAGCTGGAGGATCAGGAAAGTTGTCATATAAAAATTGGCATTTGAACCTAACTTTGAAGAAAACCAAGGATTCTAAGCAATTGTGGTGAGGAGGGAGTACACGAGAGAGAGTTTGTGCAAAGGCATGGAGATGGGAGATGAGGTTTTGTGTGTGCTGAAAAGCAAAGTCATTTTGCCTGAATTGTAAAGTACATGAAAGGAAGTAATGTATAATAAACCTGGGAAAGTAAGATGGGTCCAGGTTGAGAAGGGTTTTAAATATCCAGCCAAGATATTTGCATTTGACTCTCTAGAAGATCTAAAAAGTAAGTTTGGGATCAGGGTGAAAAGGACAATATAAATGCCCACTTTGCTTGTGAATGTGCATCAATAAAGCCCTTAGAGAGATATGCTCTTGGATTCAAAAAGTGTGTGTGTGTGTGTATGTGTGTGTATATGTGTGTATGTGTATGCTGTATACAAACTTAATCAGAAGATATGCTATTCCATATAAGTGAAGGTTACTGTTCCCAGCACTGACGATTTATTTTAGCCATCTTTGATGGAAATCTTTAAGACAGTATTGCACACTTTCCAACCTAAGCATTGTTTAAACCTTTTCTTGATAATTTAGAACTGTGAAAGGTAACATTGATTACTATACCATAGATAGATAGATAGATAGATAGATAGATAGATAGATAGATAGATAGATAGATAAAGATAGATAGATGCACACATACTTAAAAGGTGTTGTGCCTCTTTTTTCAGTTGAAAGGTGGACTATAAAATATTATATAAATATGTGTATATGTATGTATGCATACATGTATATGCATATATGTGTATATACACATATATGTATAGTCATCATGGTTAATTTTACTTAGTGTTTTTCTTTGTCATAAGGTGGGGGATCAAGAGCTTGGTATACTGAATAGAGAGTAGGTTTCAGAGGTAGGAAGACTCAGGTTCAAGTTTTACAGCTGACACAGATTGGCTTCAGACCCTGAGCAAGTAACTGAACCTCTTATTGACCTAGACAACTCCCTGTGGTTCTTAAATTACAGAGGAAATGCTGACCTGCACTGGTAGACTTTTCTCACGTTGGGTTTCCTATACCACTGTAGTCACAGATCTTCCTTCCCTCCTCCCCAAAAAAAGGGGGAATAGGATTCATTTGTGGGTGGGGCTATTGATGAAAACTATTGTGCCATTAAAACAACGCATGATTTTTTTTTAGAAAGGTGTTCTATAAATACAAAGTACTCCAGCAGAAGCAGATATTATGCGGGAACCAAATTAACCTTACATTCTTTTTAATCAAGGAAAGCTATCTCTGCCACAGCCTTGAAAGAAGCATGGGCAGCTATAATCCTTCAGAAGCACTGTCGAGGTTATCTGGTCCGTAACCTTTACCAGCTCATTCGTGTGGCCACTATAACGATACAGGCTTATACCCGAGGATTCCTAGCAAGGAAGAAATATCAAAAGGTACAAACAGAATTCAATGTGTTCTTAGGACTAGGATAGTAAAAGAGATTTATTTTTAGCCTCTTGCTACAAATTTCAGATATGCACCGTAAATATTTCAGAAGGGTAAAGATTGATCTTCTGTTCTAACTATTCAAATAATTTTGATGTTAGTAGGACCCCATTGGGAGATTACATTTTGTGATTTCATCATATAAATATACTAGTAGTTGCTTCTTCCTCTCTATAAAGTCATAAATCAACCAGTCAGCAAAACATTTATTAAGCATCTATTGTGTGTTGGGCATGTGCTAGGTGCTGAGGAAATAAAGATAAAAATGAAATAGTCCCTGTTCTCAAGGAGTTTAAGTTCCAAGCACTGAAGTCATTAATGCACAAGTCACTGGATTGTTGTGAGAATTTTTAACATCTTATTTTTCGAGATGTTGAAAGAGCACAAGGCTGTAATCCTTCAGAAGTATGCCCGGGCCTGGCTGGCGAGACGTAGATTCCAGAGCATCCGACGATTTGTTCTAAACATCCAACTTTCTTATAGAGTACAACGTTTGCAAAAAAAGCTAGAAGACCAAGTAAGTTCCCTTTTCCATAACCATTTGCCAACTGTTGCTTGTGGAATGAAGAGATTAGGAAATGTAAAGCCCAGTAAACTTGGAAGGTTTATTATAGGACCAAAGAAGTCTTCTTTGTTATAGATGCCTCCCCATCCCCTAAACACAAAGTTTTTATTGGTTTCAAATGATCATTTCCCCTCTTTAGAACAAAGAAAATCATGGTTTGGTGGAGAAACTAACCAGCTTGGCAGCCACTCGTGCTAACGATATGGAGAAGATTCAGAAGCTTGAATCAGAGCTGGAAAAATTAGCCATCCAAAAGCGAACGTGTGAAGAGAAAGGAAAGAAGCATAAGGAAGTTATGGAGGAGGTTAAGTTTGGGACCTTTTTTTTTTAACTTAAAAATTCAATTGTGCCACCGCTGGGGGAAGAGATGAACTGTTTTCCGCGAAAGCATGTTTCTGTAAAGCAAATCCTATTTTTTGTCATTGCCCTAGGGATAGTGGTGTCAGGAGAGTAAAATCTGGGTTAGAAAAAAGAGCACAGTGGTAGGAGAGATGCTCAGGAAAGTCCTTTCTGTCTCTGAAAATCCTATGATCCTATGAATTGCCTCCAAAGCCCTGAGCAGGCTCACTCTTAGAGATGATCTGTTACACCCATGCCCATCAGAGTAGGCAAAGGGATCAACTGTGTTACCCATGATATAAACATGGATCCCTGAGATCCTCTTTCAGACTTTGGGATACACAGCAAAAGCACTGACTGCTTCTCACATTATTGGCATCCTCTGTATTTCTCAGAGTACTGGGCTAACAGTGGTTAGCATCAGCACTACCCAAGGACCTCCCACCATGGCAAGGGGTTAGGAGCATGTCTCCTATCTCTTCTTTCAAGCCATGCTCGTTCTTTATAATTTTGCAACATTCACTTTTGATTTGTGTGTGTGTGGTTGTCATTTACAATTGTTGTAGTCACTACACATATTGTTTAAATTAGCTAAAATAAATTTGCCATTTATTTTAAAAATATAAATTATTCCATTTCAATGGGGCTATACTATGGAATAGTCCTGGGGGTATAAATCCAGTAATGGAATCTCTGGGTCAGAGGATGTGGACATTTTAGCCATAAAATAGTTGTACCAGTTTTACAAAGGAACTTATATTCTAATTGGATTTTAGTTCTAATTAATTTTAATTACATTCTGAAAGCCATCAGCTATCAGAATCCAGAATAACAGTAGGCAATGGCCCCTATAAGTGAGAGAACATAAAGCAATTGAGATTTCTGCTCTCATCCTTTATAGGTCTTACCCAATGCTAGGGCAGGTAGAGACCCATAGCCACAGTATAATGGAAAGAACACTGGTGCCAGAAGACTCAGGATCAAATCCCACTCCTCAAACTTACTACCTGTATGACCTTAAGCATATTACTTAACCTCTCTTGGCCTCAGTTTTTTCGTCTGTAAAATGAGAGTGCTGGACCATGTGGCCTCTGAGATTCCTTCTAGCTCTAGAGCTCTGATTTTAAGGTAGATCCCAAAGCATTCATTTAGGAGAAAGGTGTATAGCTATCGAAAAGGAGATGATGCACAGCCAAGAACATCAAATTTTCTGCCTTTTTTTCTTTTTCTTTTTTTATTAATTAATTAATTTTTAGTTTTCAACACTCCCATATACTTTTGAGTTTTAGATTTTTCCCCCTCCCTCCTCACCTCCCTTCCTAAGAGGGCAGTGTGCAATCTGATACGGGCTCTGCATATACATTCCTATTAAGCATATTTGCACACTAGTGATGTTGTAAAGAAGAATTAGAACCAATAGGAGGAACCACAAGAAAGAAAAAACAAAACAGAAGAAAAGGGGAAAAAAAGAGTAAATAGTGTGCTTCGATCTGTATTCAAAATCCATAGTTCTTTCTTTGGATGTGGACAGCATTTTCCGTCAGGAGACTTTTGGAGATGTCTTAGATCCTTGCATTTCTGAGAGCTAAGTCTATCAAAGTTAGTCATCGCACAACATGTCTGCTTTTTTTTAAATGGGGTGATGCCAATAAATCACAGAGCTGTTCTTCCTTTTTTTTTTTAAGAAATTGGCAAAGCTTCAGATGTACAACAAAGAACTAGAAGTAGAAAAGGAGAAGATAGAAAATAAGCTTCAAGAAAAGACTGAGGAGATGAAAGGTAATGTAAGGGACTGAGGCATGAAGGAGTTGAATTAAGAAATTAAGAAAGAAAGAAAAAAGCTTGGGGCCAGAAGAGAATTGGGGTTTATGGCAGAGGTGAACTGTGTACAACCTTTCTAAATGCTTCTGCTTAGTGGGCTATGTTCAGTTAACCAAACAGAGGATGGTGTGTGTGGTGTGTTTGCGTGTGTGTGTGTATCTGTACTGTAAAGAGCTATATTTATAGTCTAGGTACTTCTTTTTGGTTTCTTGCGTATATCTTGTCTTCCTCGGTTTAAGGAAGGGCTCATGTTTCAAGCCCTCAGATCTCAGCATCACATATTTCTTCTGTTGTTGGGGACCTGAGTCCACATAGTATGCCTATGGCAATGGTCTCCAAACTTTTTTAATCACACATCCCTATCATTAAAAATATTTTGAGCATTCATTCCCAATGGGTATATATTTGCTGTTTTATAAATTCCCTCCCTCACTTAAATCCAATTCACCTACATGTCATGACATCACCTCCCTGATGTCACAGTCTTTGTTGATAATGAAGGACAAACAACAACAACAAATTATTTAAGGGTATTACTATACTAATGATAATGCATATTATTATAAACCTAAATAGGAATAGGAACTAAAAATAAGGATAAGATAAGGATGAAAGAATATTTGATCTCACATGGAGCCAGTGGAGTGTGTTGAGTAGGAGGGTGACACAGTCTGACCTGCACTTGAGGAAAATCAGTTTGGCACCATTGTGGAGGTTGGAACAAAGTGGGGAGAGACTTGAGTCAGGAGACCAGGGAGGCTATTACAATAATCCATGGAGGTGGAGTATTATTAGGGGCAGCTAGGTGGCAAATTGGATAAAGCACTGGATCTGGATTCAGGAAAATCTGAATTCAAATCCAGCCTCAGACACTTAGTAGCTGTGTGACCCTGGGCAAGTCACTTCACACCTCAGTTTCCTCATCTGTAAAATGAGCTGGAGAAGGAAATGGCAAACCACTCCATATCTTTGCCAAGGAAACCCCAAATGGGATCATCAAGAATCATACATGGCTGAAATGACTGAACAACAATAACAAACAATAATCCAGGCGAGAGTGGAAGAGAAACTACAGTAGATTGGTAGTGGCATGAGTGGAGAGAAAGGGAAAGATTTAGAGGTATTGTGAAGGTAGAAATAACAAGATTTGGCAATATATTGGTTATGTAAGGTGAGGTGTGACACTGAGGCTGTGAACTTGGTGACTAGAAGGCTGATATGCCGTTGATAAAAAGAGGGAAGTTTGGAAGGAGGGTGGAATTGGTGGAAAAGATAATGTAATTGTTTTGGGGTGCTGGGACGCCAAGAATGCCAAGGCAGAGTTGCCTAGAATGGATTCACACACTCAAACCATCTTTCAGTCAAGAGATAGTTTATTATAATGCCAATAGAAACAGGCAAAGTCCCTTTGGGGAACTTGCACCCTAATGGGGTGAATCTAGAGCTTATATAGAAAAAGGGCATGGGAAAGGAATGCCAGGGATGCTAATTAGGTAATCCAGGGGTCCAGGTATCTTTGGGAGCTATGTATGGGAAAGTGTAGGGAGTATACCAGACATTGAGGGAGTTGTCAGAGGCCTAGACTTTGGAGATCTGGAAGGAGAAAGAGTCCTTGGGCCAGCCAGGGATGAAAATCCTTGGGTCAGGCACCCACTGTCTGTTCTGATAAAGGAGTCAGGCCTGCAACAAGGGAAAATTTTCTCACAGGGGCAGGGCTGGATTACTTTCAGAGATATGCTCTTAGGGCTTTTGGGGGCCCAGGTCCCACTAACCCTTCATAATGATAATTGCAGACCAGAAATCAGTGATGCCTACTCAAATTTTGATACTATTTGGTCTCCCATGATGAAAAGTACGGAGGGGTACGTTGGCTCTTTCATTCACTAGTCATTGCCCTGCAGTACAGAGCCTACCTCTGGGAGTGCCTGCCTCAGCCATGAGATGGTCTGAGAGAAATTGGGGTGAGTATGGGGAAAGTGGAGAGAATAGTACTTGTAAAGCCACCGCAGTGGGTGCCTGGGTAGTGATCAAGTTATAACTGCCCTGGGGGTCCAACATCAGCTCAGAAGGAAGGAGGTTGAGAGTTTACAGAACACAAGTAGGAGGAAGAGAAAAGTGTTGGGGGATAAGATGGGTAGGATTATGTTGACAAGATGCTCTATGGTCTGTCATGAGGAAGGCAGGGTCATAGGATCTTCCCACCCACTTCTTGGTTGCTCACATGTCCCTTGGGATCAAACCACACTCCCTGGGGGTCCCCAGCCTCAACTTTGGAGACCACTACCCAAAGGTATTACATTTAGGCCACTTTATCACAAGATTTGGGAATAATTAAGCAAACATTTATTGAATATCAGTTGTGTGAAACCAAAATAGGAGTCAGCACCTCCATTATTCTTGTCCTGATCACATTACTCAGTCCTCAGTTCATTGAAATTGGAAGCACTACCTAAGCCACAGAGCTAGCAAATGAAATATAGCCCAGATAGACTTGGCTTGATCAAGATAGACTTGACTGTCTCTTCTGAATCATTGGCTGTGTCTTAACATAGGAGTGTTTTTTCTTATCATGCTAGAACTTGGGGTGTGGCAGGGCAGACCAGGAGAATTTATAGCTAGGGGTCTAGCTAAGCTAGGCAGGAGATATGGAAAAATACCCTTGCACTGAGCAGGCAAGTGGTTTAATTAAGTCTAGTAGTTAATTAATATAGGGAGGAACAAGTAAGGTCCAACTATGAAAACAGAGTCCCCAGCAATGAAAACAGAGTCCAGAGAGTGGGACATCAGTAAAGTTAAGGAGAAGCAGGAAAGTCCCGTGGTTACAAGTGAGTAGGCAGAAGTTATGAGGTGGGCAAAGACAGGGTAGAAAACATAATATCAGGTAAACAAATAGAGTCTGGCATGATGGAGGAGCACCAGCAAACAGCATCATGACCATTAATCCTAGGGCAGAGGTTGCCCCATTTTCATGTAATTTTCTGAGCGTGCTAAATGTAAGCAGGGGAAAAATAGAAGGTGCAATTACTGGGCTGTAAAGACAGCTTTTCATAGCAGAAAAAAAAACATACATACCATCCTCTATTGGTCAATCGAATATGTTCAAGTAAACAGACATTTAGAAAGGTTGTACCAGGTTTCTGCCATAAACCCCAATTCTCTCCGAGCCCTAAGCTCTGTTACTGTGGTTACTCCAGGTATTGATTGTGACCTCCTGAATGAGGCAGGCCAAAGAGGAAAGTCTTATCTCACGTCATTTTATATAGCTCTGTGAATTTCTCTTGGGCTTCTCAGTGGGATTTTATTCTACCCCATTTCACACAAGACAATAAGATCATCAATTTTGTAGCGAAGAAGCAACCTGAAAAATCACAATCTGATAGCACAGTGTTTAGGTGGAACAATTTATATGCCTTCTATGAGATAAGATAGAGGCAGGGAATTAAAAAAAAAACTCTCAAAACTGGTTTCCAAACCAGCAAAGCCTCTATTAAAAGAAGGGGAAAAGATTGAAACAAGCAAACATAGACAAACCTCCTATCCCTACAAGGTCCCTCAAATAAGAACTATCTAATAACACTACAGGCATTTTCTCCTACCTTTATGGTCTAAAGTATATTTGTTGTTCAGTCATTTTCAGTCATGCCCAGCTCTTTGTGACCCAATTTGGGCTTTTCTTGGCAAAGATAGTGGAGCAATTTGCTATTCCCTTCTCCAGATTATTTTACAGATGAGGAAGCTGAGGCAAACAGAGTTAAGTGACTTGCCCAGGGTCATACAACTAGTAAGTATCTAAGGCCAGATTTGAACTTAGGAAGCTGATTCTTCCTGACTCCAGGCCTGGCACTCTATCCACTGTGCCACCTGGCTGACCATCTAAAGTACACAAACATTGTCGAACTGGATTTTTTCTTCCCTATTTTAAATTCTTCCTTTATGAATACAGAGTATAACTACTCACTGGAAACACACGAAATTTGGTCAGGTTCTTTCCGTCTGTTTACAAATGGGCATTTCCCTGAAAACAGGTCAATGTAAGCACCAGACCTGAAGGCAACGGAACCTCTGTGTACTAATTCACAAGAGCAACAAGCTAAGTCCCAGAGCCTAGAAGAGAGGCCGGTATTTATGGAGGAAAAGATTCATCTGAAGCCATTTAAACGCAAAACGAATCTTCAAGTATCTCCCACACCACGTTCCAAAGGATACCTGAGTGTGGTTGGACATTGGTCTAACGTGGTCGGACAGCAAACGTTGTCCCTTTTGTAACATGTCTAGCGCCAAAGGGAGAATGTTTCTCCATTGCAAAGTGCGCTATCTTGCAGCCATGTGGACCTTGTGCTCCAGAGAAACCAGCTTTTCTCCCATCTCTCTTCCCCCAGATGAATAATACGTGATCCTGAATGTTGTGGTTATTCCATCCAGTGAGTTGATCTCAAATATTCAGTTTCTTGACCAGCTAGGAAATTATTTTAATGATGATGATGTTTGGTCGTTTCAGTTGTGTCCAACTCTTCATGACCCCATTTGAGGTTTTCTTGGCAGAGATCCTGGAGTGGTTTGCCATTTCCTTCTCCAGTTCATTTTACAGATGAGGAAACTAAGGGAAACAGGGTTAAGCGACTTGCCCAGGGTCACACAGCTAGTAAGTGTCTGAGGCCAGATTTGAACTCACGAAGATGAGTCCTCTTCACTCCAGGGCCAACCCTCTATTTTATATAATTATCAAACAGGGTGGTAGTGTGACATTGTATGTAAAATACTGGAGTTGGAATAGGCAGACCTGGGATCAAACACCTCTTGTGATACCTACTGGTTATGTAACTATGGGCAAGTCAATTAAACCTCTCTAAACGGGCACCCTCTCCAAAAGTATAAGTAACAAATGCGGTGCAATCTGCTTCAGTGAAGAGAATTCCCATAATTACATATCCCTGGTGTGTTGAGATTTTCTTCTGAACGTCATTTCTCTCTTCACAGATAAAATGGAAGACCTCACAAAGCAGCTTTTGGATGATGTGCAAAAAGAAGAAAGACAAAGAATGTATGAATTACAATTTGTTTCAAAACCACCCACTTCTTACTTTCTCTGTCTAGTTCCATGCTGTATTTATCCTGCACATAGCCACTATAGATTTATAGATTTAGAGCTGGAAGGAACCTTATGTATCATTTAGTCCAGCCTCCACCCCCACCTTTTTTTTTTTACACGGAGGCTCGAAAAGGTTAAGTGACTTACAGAGAGTCACACAGCTGAATTCTTTCTACTGCACCACACAGGTCATGCAAATTGTAAGTTACTCAGACCCAGAAGGTTTGGGAGTTTCTACAAAGTAGGGCTTATCTATTTTGGAATCTAAGGTACATGTGGCATTGGAAAAAACCTACCACTAAAACAGCATTACTATAGAGAGATCAATTGCTGAAGCTGTCAAAAATGATTCCCACCACAGGGACCAGGTAGGAACTTCCAGGTCTCCCTCTGATGCTAGTCACTCACCCCTGTGCAAAGGTTCAGCTCTTGCCACCCCTTCCCACTTCTAGAAAGTTGCAATATTAAGCTTATTTTTAGGAAACAATCTCCATACCCTTCCTGTGCGTTATCCCTCATGACCCTTTCCTAAAGGACAAAATTTTAGTTCAAGTATTTAGCAAATATCACTGACACTAAATAGCAAGCACAATTGCTAACCCATGATGTTCCCTGGTGGAGGGGTCCCTTGAGTCAGTACACTTAAGCTCTAAAAATCAATCAGTAAACATTTATTAAGTACCTACTACATGCCAGGCACTGTGCTAAGTGCTGAGGATACAAAAAAGCAAAAAAGTCCCTTCCCTCAAGGAGCTTACAATCTAAGATCAATGTAATGTTGCTATTTTCCTTAAATTAGCTCCCAAAATCAGCCAATAGATGACTTCCCTTCCGTGTGTTGCTTTGAACTCTCCTGGTATACCTTACATCTAGAGGAGGACCACTAGGAGGGACCTGTCTCCTGGGTTTTCCAATCAGTAAACCTTGCATGTCATCGTTTGTGTTGTTGAACTACTTGGAGATCCCAGCCTGTTGAACACCAACAGGTTCTTGGGCAATGATAATCTCAGTGCCTCAGAGTGAGAGAGCCATTGCTATCTAGCTCCTGAAACTCTTCTCTTTCCTTAGGGGCATTCTTGCCCTCAGAAATTGGAGACCCTATTGGCAAACCCAAATATCCTTTTAGATCTGTAGATATTTTTGTGTTAAGACAAATCGCCTATACCCTGCTAATGTGTACTACCCCTAGAATCTCTAGCCCCACCTAGATTCATGCTAGCATTCATATCTTTACCAACACCCATTATTCTCACATCCATCCACCTGGGATCTTTTCAGAAGTCAAACTAATAGGTTTTGTTTTGTTTTCTTTTGAATAGTTATGGCATGGGTCTAGGGTTGGAAGGTCTGGGCAGAGGTGGGGTTTTCCCAAAAGGAGCTTGGCAATGGTCTACTAAGAGTTCAAATGATTAACTAGTATCACATGGCCTAGAAAGGGATCTACATCCATGCCTACACAGGTGTAAATTTTATTGACTAATTTCTAAAGTCAGTCTTGAGAATAAAGTATCTTACCTTTAGGGTGTAAGTTTGAGGGAAGGCAAATGGTAGATAGGAAAGGAAATTCCCAGGAGGCTGGGGCCAGAGTCACAGATAAGATAAGAAAGTGACAATGAATATAGAAACAGGCACTCATTTTATTGTAGTAAAAGAGCTATGACATTTATGTTTAATTCATTTGTCTTGAATAATACATTTTAAAACCATTGTTTGGGGATCTCATGAAAGAAGCATTAAGATCTTGACATTTCATAAAGATCTCTGGCTGTTTAGAAATGTTTATTTCAGGCAGTATGTTTCTGGAAAAAATGAATGGCAGGCCATTTGGGCCTTGAAAAAAAACCTGACTGAGTCATTGTCTTGGCTAGGACACTAAGCTGCAAGACCTCTGATTTTTGGGGTTTTTTTTATTCTAGTCACTGAACACTTCTGACCTTCAGTAAATCATTTCTCCTAAATGGGATAGGGATAATGACTAAACCTGTAATTTCACTGATAGAGGGAACTCTGAGGGGAAGAAATTCCTTCTGCACATACATTTTGGCACCTTCTCTGTAACTTCGATCCCTAGAGCACTGAAGAGTTAGGTGACATGCCAAGGACATGCAGCCAAGTATGTGTCAGACGTGGGATTTGAATCAGAGATCTTCCTGACTTCAAGGCTCTCTACCCACAAAGCTACATTGCCTCTCCTTAACACTTGAAGGACCAGGCACATTAACTGATGGAAAAATTTTATTACAGTTTTACTTTAAAATTTTTCATCCTATCTTTATTTTCTTTGTCTTATGTCTTTAAAAACTGCTCTGTGCCCATTGATACAAAGTGGTCCTTCAAGATATTCTTAAATTCCAGTCCTATTAACGACTACTCCCTAATTAGTAGACCTCTGGTAGAATATTAACATAAATATAAATGTACACCTAGAATCTACTAATGCAACCCCAGTCTGCTGTAGTATTATGATTTCAGTAGTTCATAAAACTAAATTTTTGTCAGGTGGGATATCACCTGGAGATCTGGCAGGAGGATATTTTTATTTCTTAAGAGTATGTCACTATTTCCTTGGAAGCATTGGAAGCTTTTTCGAAAATCCAACAAAACAGAACATGTTAAGTCCTATAAAAGAAAATCAAAGAAAAACTTGATAAGAACTGAGTCGTCTCCCTGGGGATGATTCCTTGATATTATGACCATAGTTCATGTTCTTTCAACTATATAGCAAGCTGAATAGAGAAAGTTTAATGACTCTTTAGATCATTGGATTCCCAAAGCCAGTCTACTTCCTTTAGGGTCTGGGTGAGGGCTGATCCAATCTCATCAAGGAGTCTGTTCTGGGCTTTTAGGGATCTCAACTGACCTCTGGTTATGCCTAAAAGATTTAGTTCTAGAGTTAAGAGACTCACTTTTGTACCCACCAAACAACAAAAGTGAATCTTCAACAGGATCTAAAGCTAAGCAAATCTCAGAACATGATACAAGATTTGGGTGCACTGAGATCTTTGCTGAGGGAGGAGACTGACCCTCAGAGATTTTCCTTGAATCAGATCAGCTTTCGGAAAGTAGTGAATCAACCAACCATCTAAATCAAGAGTTTTTAACATTTTTGGTGTCATGGACCCCTCTGGCAGTCTGGTGAAGCCTATGGACCCCTTCTCAGAACAATGTTTTCAAATGCATAAAATAAAATTATAGGATAAGAAAGAAAACCAATTATACTAAAATGAAATTATCTTTTTTTTTTAATTCACAGGTTAAGAAACTCTGATTCTAGCTCATTAAATTTGGTTCATTCAGGCTGGATTTCTGTGTACATTGACTATAGACCCAGACTTGATAAAATCAAAAAATATAAGAATAATATGAGAGACTGAGAAAGACGCCACATGGTACACATGCACATTCAGAATATCACAAGCAGGTTCTAGCTACACTATTCTTTCACCTGGCTTCTTTCTGGTTTCCCAGATGACCTGTTCTTTTGTTCCAGAGCAAGCAAAAACCCTAAATATTTTCTTTCTCTCTTACAACATAGACTCCTTGAGAAAAGTTTTGAGCTAAAAGAACAAGACTACGACAAACAGATTCACTCTTTGAAGAGAGAAATTAAGACTCTGAAAGAAGATAAATTGCAACTCCAGCATCAAATGGAGGAAGAAAAAATCATTTCCAACAGCTTGAAGGGAGAGGTGGCCCAGCTGACCAAGCAGACAAAGGTAGAAACTGAGATCTCCCTTCAGATCAAAGCGTAAATAGTAAATGTGCAAAGATGCTGATCACTGGATTTCATAGCTCACTCAGAGAATCATACTGAATGGTATTCTTTATAAAGCCAAAGGAGAAAATGCATTCTCTCGTCCAGTAATCCAAAATATAACACCTAAAAGTTGACTTAAAGCTAGCATTAGTGGTTTTCTTGTGTTACAAAAAGTTGATTGTTCAATTTATTTGGAAAACTATTGAAGGTTTACACGTTACCAGATGGCATGAGAAGTAGTGTGGTATAATGGATAGCATTCTGGACTTAGAGTCAGAAAGACCTGCCTTACTATGTCCCCATGAGGGGCACCTAGGTGGTCCAGTGGATAGAGTACTGAGCCTGGAGTCCAGAAGACCTGGGTTCAAATCTAGCCTCAGATGTTTATTAGCAATGTGACCCTGGGCAAGTCACTTAACCCTGTTTGCCTCAGTTTCCTCATCTGTAAAATGAGCCAGAGAAGGAAATGGCAAACCACTCCAGTATCTTTGCCAAGAAAACCCCAAATAGGGTCACAAAGAATCAGACATGGCTGAACAACAACAAACATGTTCCCATGGGTCAATCACTTAGCCTGTCTGAGCCATATTTCCTCATCTATGGAACAGAAATCATAAAGATCTATGGTACATACATCAAAATACAAATGAGATAATAATAAGTTCTATTCAACTATCAGATATTCTTATCATCAGCATCCCCATTTATTAAAATATGTCTCCTACAATGGGAACTTTTCCAAATTAAAGTATAAAGAACATCCTAAAATTCTTTGCACTGATCTATAAAATAACCATCAGAGAATTTAAATACTGTGATAAAACCTTCCTTTTATATCTATTCACTATTTGGAGGAAAAGATCCAAAAAACAATTAGTCTATATAGAAAATAGTGAGGTAGCATGACGTAGTCAATAGAGAGCTGATCTTATCACCAGGAGGACACAGAGAGGTTCAGGTGCCATCTTCAACACATTCCACCTATGAAATCCTGAGGAAATCATTTGACTTTTCAGTGTCCTCAGGCAACTCTCTAAGAATGTAAATTACAGCAGCAATTGCTCCTCTGCATTGGTTGGGGAAGCTTCACCAGGAACCTCACCATATCAATGAAATGATAAGCGTGAACTAAGAAAGATGGGATCACGGTGACGTGAGCGTGCACGCAAGTGTATGTGAATGGCATCAGCTAGGCACGTCCTTTCTCTGATTTCTTAGAATTGTCTCTGTAGTTTGGATGAAATACCATGACATGGCATTCAATCAATACTGTGGGCCAGGCACTGGCTCTTATCTTTGGCAGCTAAAATCTATCCTTTGAGGATTTTTAGCTGGTATAATAATCATATAAGATTAGAGTATTTTAAGGTTTGGGGGGGGGGTTTTGAGGCACATTCCTCATAAAAACAATGCAAGGGTAATTATTATCCCCATTTTGCAGATGAGAAGACAAATGTACAAAGAAGTCTAAGTGACTTGCTCAGTAGTCACTTGCCAGTAAGTTAAGTGACTAGCAGAGCTACGTTGAAAATGACATGCCACCTTTTCTAAGGAAATAAACTCCTTGTTTCTAAAATACAGCTATATGACATATAACTAATTCCTAGGAAGAATAAGGAAACAGACAGACCACTTGAAACTGAAACAATGACAAAAATCAGTAGTCAATGAAGAAGCAATAATATCTATGTCTTTATTCTCTTTGGGCACAAGCCCCTTGATGTTGTCTCAGACTCTGCAGAGGCTCTTTCTTCTTGCCTTATTCAGGACTGGAAAGATGTATGTTCAGGTCTGTCTCTCTCCCAACTGCAATTGTACATCCTTTGCTCTGAGAAGACTCCCCACACACAGTAGGGAGTAGGAAAGTGGCAGAGAAAAGGAAACCTCTGTCTGCCCTGTTATTCGAGCTTGCTTTTGTGGTCTCCTGCCTGCTCGAATTATTCTTGTTAACTCTTTAGACTCTCAGATTCTGGACCTTGCCTGGCTGTCTACACTTAGGCTACCTACTCGATTCTTCCTGCCTTGCCTGACTTTCTTGGATTCAACCTTTCACCTGCCTGTACCTAAGGTAACTTTCCAGATCTTTTCTGCCCTGTCTACTCATGTGGAGCTCATCCTCTTTTGGCTGTACCTTTCTGACAAATCCCTCTTCCCTAGCCAGATTCCCAGCCATGTCCTCTTCTAGCTAGTCTTGCCCTTCTGATGCTCACCCCATCTCCAATCACTTAGACTAGAATTTCTTGGATCAATAGTCTTCCTGGAGCACCTCAAACGTCTCTTTGAGTACTGGGTCTATAATCTTGTGATTTTTTTCTGCATGCTACACGGGTCCTTAGATGTGACTGGGTTTCTGAATGTCATAGCCTACCCTGTTAATAATGTTAGCTTTCCTAGCCACTAAACAAAAACCAAGGAAAACATTTAAATATGAAGGTATATTTAAATAAAGGTGTATGGGGTCCTCAGTTTGTAGAGGTCTGTCCCCACCCTCCTGGAGGTATTGGTTGTCCTCTGTCTTCCCTCAGCACCTGATGCTGACTGAAAATAAAACGTGGCAGGCATCAAGAAGATGTTAGCATCCCCCATGCCTTTGTTCCCATGATATCTCCTGTTCCATGAAGGAGTATTTGCTTAGGATGCAAAAATTCAGTTTTATGTGTTCCACATGGGGCATCTCTTGGGACTCTTTTTCTCCCTTCTGTACCCCTTCTCTGTCTATATTTTAATAATTCTCTCCCCCATGCTTTGAGGAAGTTATTGATTAACCTCTGCTTCTATTGAAGCTATTAAGCAAATTGGCTGAATGTTATTAAAGTTGAATTTGTTTGGACAAAAAATTTTGTTATTGTTTTTCATGACCAAACCATGTTTACATTTACAAAACACAGTTTGAATAATTAAACAACAATTTTCCTCTACACTAGCCTAAGAGTTTCATTACCAGAGTACTTCACGTTGAACTATATGAGAAGTAGGTGTTTAACATTCCTTTAAAATGCAGTTGCATCTTGTGAACATGCAGTGGGGAATACCCAGTTAGCTATATATTATTTCAATAATATTCCATTTATCAGACATTAGCAATTCTAATTTTTAAAACTTGGGTCATTGTTTTAATCCAGACAATCTCGGAGTTCCAGAAGGAGATAGAGCTACTTCAGACGCAGAAGATAAATGTGGAGAAACACGTCCAGTCACAAAAACGAGAAATGAGAGGTAATGGCAATAACAGTAAGTTGGTTGGCATGACAGTTAGTTTATTGTGGAGTGATGAAAGTGAAATATCTCACCAGCATCAAGTCATGTTATTCTTTATTGGATAGTTTGCCTGCATGAGGCCAGAGAACTTGGACCTAAAAGGATAGGAAAGAATAGGCCAAATGTCCAAAATAATGATAGTAATAATAGTAGTAATAATTATCATTTATATAGCACTTCAAGGTTTGCAAAGCTCTTTACAAATATCACATTTTAGCCTCCTCTGGGAAATAGTTGTTATTATTATCCCCATTTTCCCAGGGAGGAAACTGAGGCAGACAGAAGTTAAGTGCCCAGGGTCACACAGGTAGTTAAGTATCTGAGGCTGAACTGAACTCAGGTCTTCCTGACTTTAGGTCCATATCCATTGTGTCACACCCACCTGTTTATACTTTGATTTTACTTTCAGAAAAAATGTCCGAAATTACCAAACAACTTCTTGAAAGCTATGACATTGAAGATGTAAGAAGCAGGTAAACTAATACCACTTTACATTTCCAAGATGTTAAAAAATGAGAAAAGAACAAAATATAACAGGGGGAAAGTCATTGATTTCCTTTTCTGTGCTATTTTCCAGACTTTCTGTGGAAGATTTGGAACATTTAAATGAAGATGGAGAACTTTGGTTTGCATATGAAGGCCTAAAGAAAGCAACAAGGTGAAAAAATCAATTAGACTATCCTTGTCCTTTTTTCTCTTCCCTCTCTTCTCCTTTTCTTTCTCCTCTATCTCTTCCTCTTCTTTTTCCTTTTCTTCTTCCTTCTTCTCTTTCTTTTTCTCTTCTTCTTCCTCCTATGCTCTCTCTTCCTCTTCTCTCTCACCTTCCTTGTACTGCAGGAAGTAGAAATCTTATATGTAAACAGGAGATTTAAAATATAATCTTCAATATCTATTATGGGACTCCAAGAATCTAATTTCATTAGTGTAAACATTCCCTCTGCTGATACAAACAGCCAACTCCTCTCTCTATGTGTTAATAGATAGTGTTCCAAAGTTGCTGTGACCAAACATATAGTATTTAACAAAAAAGTAAATGCTTACAAATTATATTGTTATTGTAATTATCTCATTTCATCTAGAATAATTTCCTTGAAAATATGCAAATACTTGATAGTGTTTTTATGGGATAAGAAGTTCATTCATGGGTAAACAGAATCTATAGAATAGAAAATTCTAAAGAATATATGAATTGGAGTGCTATTCTATATTTTTTGACTGAATAAATTTGGGGAGTTTGTTGCAATTTTTCTGGAATTGCAAAGTTGATATAAAATAATTTTATTTTAGAAGTCTTTGTAATTGACATTTCTAAATTATTTTTAATCACCATATTGACTGTCCAAATCATAGTGCTTAAATGAATGACTTTCACCTTTTATTACAAAATTTCTTATTGTATTTGCATACTACCAGAAATATGCTTTTCTATTTATGGTACAAACATGATGCTAAAAAATGCTCCAGTCATGGTTAGAAAGATTTAGAACCATATCATAAACTGGGATCACCTTCCACTCCAGTGCCTCATTTTGGTTGACAGGCAACCCTGAGTATTGGGAGGTTACGCTAGTGGAATGCAAGCTCTGACAAGTCTTGTCGATGCTGGAAAGGTTTTGAACATAGTTCACTCTTAGCTCAGCAAGCATTTATTAAGCAATTATTGTATGCATTATGCTGAGATACAAAGGCGAAGATGAAATAGTTCCTGCCCTCGAAGAGCTTACAATCATTATCCTCTGCCTCTCTGAAGAGTGGAGCCATGAGCCTGAAAACCTCCATTTGAGGAGAGAGCCCAGCTCAGACAGTTCCTCATTTCTCACTTGGTTGTGCTACCTTGGGATTTGTCTACAAAATTCTCTACCATGTCCCCATCCTCTACCTTTCAGCTTGCTTTTGTGTTTTGTTGTAAGTTCCTTGAGAGCAGGAACCATTTTCCTTTTTTCATATTTGTACCCCTAGTACTTAGCATGATGTAGCACATGGTAGGTGCTTAATAAACATTTATTTACTGTTGACTATTGGAGCAGGGACTTTCCATATTTTTTTTTATTTTACAAGCATTATTTTGTTTCTCCTTCCTACTTGCCCAAACTGAAAAAACAGAAACAAAACCCTGGGGACAGATATGCCTACTCAAGGGAAACTCATGAAAACTTGTCTTCTAAGGTGTAGGGAATTTCTCATTTGCCCTGGGGGAACTTTGCTCACATTCATGAAGATTACGAGATCCTAAGTAACCGGTAACCTTACAATTAATGATTCTTAGCCTGTTGCTGGAGAATGCCAGCTAATGCCTCGGCGTCCATGTGCTCTGAGGCGTGACCCAAACTGTGGCCTTTGATTCTTGCTTGGCGAACCCACATAATCTGAGTTTGTATTATTAGTATTAATAATGAAAAGTAGTGTTGCCTAGTGGGTAGAGAGCTGGCCTCAAAGTCATGAAAGATCTGGGTTAAAGTCCTGCCTCTAAGACTGTAGGTTACAGAAAAGAGGCCTACCTGCACTGGGCGAGACAGTGTCCTCATCTGGGAAATCCCTACACTAGTGAAATCATAGGTCCAGTCCCTAATGCTCTTAATTAAAGCCTAAAGATATAGTATTTTATATTTTCAAAGTACTCTACATAATAGCTTCTCATTCAATCCTTGCAACATCCTTCTAGGGAACATAGTGTAAGTTTTAGCATCTCCGCTTAAAATGTCTTTAAGTTGTGATACCCTCTATATGGGCATTCCCAGTGTGGGAAAACAAACTCCTTTCGCCAATTAAGATCAAAGCGGTCCACATGCATGTAGCTGGTATCAAAGGCAAGATCTGAACCCAGATCTCCCTAACTGCAGGCCCAGCACTCTATCCATTATGCAACACTGACTCTCCATCTCCATTTTCACAAATTAGAGCTGAATTGATTTACCTATTGTCACTCTGCCATTTAGTGGTAAAGCTGAGATTCGAACCCAGGTCTCTTGACTCTGAGTCTAGTGCTCCTTACACTATGCTCCTTACACAATGGCTTAATATGGTGCTTAACAGAGAAAAGGCATGAACATTGAAGACTAAAAAATGTACTACCCATCTCCAATCTGCCCTCTGTATAGCTAACTAAAGCGATATTCCTAAAGCACATGCACACACACACACACACACACACACACACACGTCTGGCCATGTCACTACCCTGTGCAAAAAGCTCCAATGACTTCTTAATTGACTCTGTGATAAAATATAAGCTCCTCTGTTTGGCACTGAAAGCCCTCACAGACTTGTTCTAACCCTCTACCTTTCCAGCCTCATTTCACACTACTACTCTTAATGTACTCTGTGTTCCAGTCAACCTAGCCTTTTTTGCTGTTTGTCACTCATAAAATTCTGTTTCCTGTCTCTGTGCTTTTGCACAGGCCACTCCCCCATGCCACTCCCTTCTCACTGTTGACTATCAGAATTCCTATTTTTTCTTATGAATTCATCCTGAGTTCCTTCTTTCATGAAGCTTTTCTGACTTCCCTATCTGTAGATGCTTCCTTCACCCCCAAATTACCTTTCATTTATAGGCTGCTTTCCTGGATCTCCTTGTTGATGGCCACAGTGACTGTTTCATTTTTGTCTTCGAGGCCCCAGAACCTAGCACCATGGCTGGCGCCCAGTAGATACTTGAATACTTGCCCTTTTCTTTGACAGAGTGTTGGAGAGCCATTTCCAGTCTCAGAAGGAGAACTATGAAAAGGAGATCGAAGCATTGAACTTTAAAGTGGAGCACCTTAGTCAAGAAATCAACCATTTACAAAAATTGTTTAGGGAAGAAAATGACATCAATGACAGTATCCGTCATGAAGTTACCAGACTGACATCTGAAAACATGGTATAGTAACATCATCATTGATCATCCAGGCTATCATTTCTTCCTGTTCTATGGTGGAATAAAATAAGTCTCTTGGTATTGGGTCCATGGAATGGGGCCATAATATGTTAGTGACCAAGGGTAATTAATAAGCCATAGGAAAAAATCATGCCTTACAGGTTGGGGGGTAAAGAGTATGGTCCAAGCTGTGATTTCAAACAGTAACCAGAATCCCATGATGGGATAAAGCCAGAATGTTAATCTGTGAGTGACAGAAAATATAGTCTCTAGGCAATAGGCACAAAATGGATGTCAGAGCAGTAGTCTGAGGCAGAGATGGTGAAGACAGTGCAGAGGTAATTAGATAATGCTAAGGCATCGACAAATTGCAGATTGTCTCATGCAAATTCTCTGCCTCAGACTGAGTTTTTTGATAGTATTGTACTACTGGCTGTGGTCCCTACTTGCTCAGCTGCATTAATGTCATTGTGGCCCCAGACTCTCAGAAATAAAGTACTTGACATAAATTACCTTTTGCAAGAAACTAAATAATTGGGTCAGAAAAAGTAATTAACCTTTGGTTGGTGAGTACTTCAGTTCCCAGAGAATGTGTTTTACACCACCTTATTCCACTGCACAGAAAAGCAGGGGGGGGGAAGAGAACAAAGTATATGATGATTTCTTCTTTCATATGTTTAACACTAGTCATAAGCCCTACAAAACTGACAAAATATCAGGAGGACAAATAGGATGGAATGTAGCAGGGAAGTGAGGGGAAGAGTGATTTTAGTAGGCAGTGTCTAATGGAACAGCGCGTCCTAAGGTTGCAAAAAAATATTCTGAGTGAATGTTTTAAAGGCAAAGCATACAGCAACCTGAGGATAAATGGTTGAAGAGGGGAGATCTAGTGATATAAGTTATGTATGACAACTCTATGTCTTATATGTACAATAATACTACATGCTTATATATCCCTTTAGAGTTTGCAAAGCACTTTCCTTTCAAGAACCCCGTGACATGGGCAATGCAGCCATTATTATCCTCATTTTACAGATTAGGAAAGTGAGTCTAAGACAGATTAAATGATTTGTCCATAGTAACAGCTAGTAAGTGGTAAAGTCTGCAATGTTATGCAAACATTACTTTCCTGATTTTTACAAATTAGGAAACTCAGCCTGAATGGTTAGATGACTTGTCCACAGTGAAGCCTGTAATACCTCCCAAGTCTTCTCAATCTGGTGCTCATGTCTGTGTCTTAGAGCAATATCCGCTTCAAGTGAGTCACAGGATGTAGAAGGCTCTCTCAGATGGGAAATGAGTGCCTCATAAAGGAGAAGAGGAAGATATGAAGACAGGTGCTTTGGGAGGTAGAGTGCCCAGGAATAAAGATTGTGTGTGTGTGTGTGTGTGTGTGTGTTGCATGGGAGAATGGAACTGTTCATGAGTCTGCAGTGTAAGCTTATTCCCAATAGATAGGTGTCACTAGGATTTGAAAACCTGGTATTATAGGATGCTTGGGTGACTCAGTTAAGTAAAGCAATGTACTCTGCAGAAGATAAGAGATTTCAGAAAAGGAAATGTTCTTTTGTTCATCCTTTAGTGTCTTTACCCAGAGTTACTTTCTTATATGTAAACCTTTTATATCAAAGTTGAATTTGGTCATCCATGCTTTCTTCACTTTGTCTGTAGCTTTATTTGGTAAACTCTATGTGTACAACAGCAGTGTCATTTCCTCTCAAGTTATCTTCGGTTCCTTGCATGATTAACATACACAGTAGGCATTCAGTTGCTTATATATAGCTTACAGTGAATGAATGTGACTGAAAGAAAAGATCATTTGGGAATGTGGTTGGGAGTGAGCCCATCCCTGTCTCACAGCTATCTCTCTACCCCACTGTAATCTCCACTTCACTGTGGATGCCTGCAAGTAGGCAGCTGGGGATGAAACCAATGGCCTTGGGCATTCCAGAGGACGTTGTTGCAGAGGCTAGCAGTCAATAAACATTTACTAAGCATCTGTTCTGTGGCAAGCACTGTGCTAAGGGCTAGGGATACAAAAAGAGGCAAAAAGACTACTATTCTAGGTCTATCGGCTGATACAAGATAGATGACTATTCCTAGGCAGGGAAGTATTTCTATAAGGGTTAGGTCTTGTCAGAGGAGAAAAGTACCTATTTGAAGTATTGGTGTAGCAGGATGAAGGGGCACTCTACAAAAAAAAAATTGGGGCAGCTAGGTGGTACAGTGGATAGAGCACTGGCCCTGAATTCAGGAAGACCTGAGTTCAAAACCAGCCTCAGACACATAACACTAGCTGTGTGACCCTGGGCAAGTCACTTAACCCCATTGCCTAATCAGAAGGAAAAAAAAATTAAACCACAACAAAACATCCCAGGATTAGGAATTTGGTTGAAAAAGAAAAGGTTATGTCACTAGCAGCATGATTGTATATGATTTCCAACATAAGGTAAGTGACCCTAAGTGGGTACTTTTTCATGGTGATGTTCCCTAGGTGAGGTGTTTCAGAGGGACTCCTGTCCATGTACAGCTTGGACTAGATGGCTTCTAGGAATCCTTCCAACTCCCTGATCATGTGATTCTCTGTAAAACATGTCCTCGGTATGAGACTAAAACGTTGCTTGCACAGGTGATTTTTAACGCTTCCTCCAGAAAGCTTTCCCTGATCTTCTATTGGGTTCTCAAAATGGATTTCTCTGGTGGATTTCTAGGGAACTTCATAGAGTAGTCCTCATGCTTTTGGGGTGATGAGAAGGAGAAGAGGGTACCTCTGTTTTATTTCCTCAATTTAAAATGTTTCTCATTCCTAGTAAAGCATTATTACTTTAATCCCTGCCCCTTGAGCATCATATGGAAAAAATCCCACAAGTCCCTTTTCCTTTGGTAAATGAATTTTCTCCCTCAAGTTCTAGCTTCCTTCCTTCTATGGAGGCATGTGGTACACAATACATCAAGGGTATGATGGAGATGCAAAAAAAATTGAGAACTGCTACCCTATAGAACATTATGATTTTCCTGTGACTTTTTTCCCCAATGGTCTAGGGCAGAGTAAAAATGTAAATGACTGGCCAAATGGAATAATTTAATGAAGTTGCATAAAGAACTTGAAATTCTCCTGAATTTTCTTCCAGAATAATGGGTATTTATTTATGCTTTTACTGCCTAATTAATTGTGTCAGTTATTCTAATGATCCTCCTTTATCGTTCTGTGAAGATGATTCCAGACTTTAAACAGCAGATTTCAGAACTTGAGAAGCAGAAACAGGATCTTGAAATCCGTCTAACGGAACATACTGAAAAAATGAGAGGTAACTTTGATGCAATATACTGAAACATTAATTTCCAAAGCCTTGAAAATTAAGAAGAAGCTATAAAAACATAGGGCTTTTGGAGGTTGGGTAGATATAGGTGAGTGACGAACCAGGGCAAAGGATGGGCTAGGAACATAGGAGGCAATTTAATTTCAAAATAATTTATTAAGCAGGTACAAGGCACTGGGTTAGGTGTCAGAGATACAAAGATTTTTTTAAAAATCAGAATTTCCTGTCCTCAAGAAGTTTACAACATAATAGATTAGACACTCAAATATTTATTAATAAGATTGAATTGCATGGATTATGCAGGTGAAGAAATAAGAATGGACCACTTGAATTTGTGTATTTTTTTAATCTGAGAGGCAGCGTGAAATGGGGAGTGGGGAGAGAATACTGAACTGTGAGTCAGGAGGCTGAGTTCTAACTCCAGATTTGCTACGGACTATGACCTTGGTTGATTAGATGGGTCACTTGAGCCCTCTAGGGCTCAGTTTCTCTTTTGTAAAAGGAAGAGGTTGGACTACATTATGTCCATTGTTCCTTCTAGTTCTAACATTCTATGGTTTACAGTGGAGTTCCAATACAGTGGTTTTGAACTGTATTTCTTGGAACTCTGACATTCTTACGTTAATAAGAATTACTGAGGGGATGAATCCTTTAAAGCTCTTCAAAACCTGGACCCTTCCTCCCTTTCCAATCTTCTTAACCATTTTTGCCTCCATGCACACAATAATCTAGCTTATTTTCAATTTCTCAAACATGACACTCCATCTCCCCACTTCTCTGTCTTTACACTAGCTATCTCCCTCCCATACCTGGAACCCTCTCCACCCTCATCTCCAACTCTTAGAATTCCTGGTTTCCTTTATAACTTAGCTCAAATAACACTGCTGGAGGCCTTTCCCTGCCCACCCCACCCCCAATTTACTGGAACTCTCTAAGGTTGCCTTCCATTTACTCTGTATGTATCTTTACTATACCTATTAATTTACACGTTGTCACCCCCATTAAAATGTAAGCTCCCTGAGGGCAAAGATTGTTTTGGATTTTTTTTTTTTGCCTTTCTTTGTATCTTACTTCATAGCACAATATCTGACATATAGTGAGTGGTTAATATATGCTTATTGATTGGCTGATGACAGATAAAGGAGCAACATCTTCAAGACTTACATTAGTTTTCCAACTTAAACCATAATTTATATGAGCTACTGACTTACAGAAAATTCAAGGGGTAGAACCAAAAAATTCTTTCTGATCCTAACCCTATGCACTCTATCACATTTCAGCTTCATTTTCTCCATTCAATTTACTCCATACGTTCAGTGGTAACCTACAGAAAAATGCAACCTGTTGTTGTGCTTATTGCTTTTTAAAATTTCTAACATTACAATTTCTCTGCCTTTGTTATTAGACAAGTAGAAAGATAGTCTTTTACTCATGGAAATATTTAATGGCAGAGGTAGAAAGGATGTCTTAGATCCTATCCCTGAGCGGGTATATGACTGGCTTCAGCCTCCCTGACAGGCTATCCTTGAGTTTCCTCCTGAAGACTGCCTATGAAAAAGAGCTCATTACCTTGTGAGGCAGCCAGGCATTGGACATTTTCACTATTTTTCCTTATATTAAGCCAGATATAACAATTATTCCTTGTTCTTCTCTCTGGGACAAAGCAAAATTAGTCCAGTATCTTTCTTCTTCATATATTTGAAGATAAGGTTGCTAAACTTTTCCCCAAAACATTGTCTACCAAGTCTGTGCTCTCTTGGCTAAAAACCCCCATTTCTCCTTTCTTTTCCTCCTCCCTCTCTCTACTCCTCCTTTTCTCCCTCCTTTCCTTCCTTCCTTTTCATCATGGCTCTATGAAACATGAAATCTTAGTAGCTTCTTTGGCTTCCATGTCACAGAAGTGAGATTCCTATTGCGTTTACATCTGCTATAACTCACAGACCTTTTGAATGCCTCTTTATCCAGTACATGTGCAGTTGAATTGTGGAACAGTGGGGCCTGCCCCTGAGCTCAGAACCCTTCATGACAGGGTTTTGGCTAAATGGGACTCATTGTTCTCCTCTCACAGATGGCCCAAGACTATGAAGTGGTTGCTGAATCGTTTCAGTTGTGTTTGACTCTTCATCACCACATTTGGGGTTTTCTTGGCAAAGATACCGGAATGGTTTGCCATTTCCTTCTCCAATTCATTTTACAGATAAAGAAACTAAGGCAAACAGGGTTAAGTGATTTGCCCCATGTCACACAACTAATAAGTGTCCCCTTCTCTATGGTTTTTCAGAAATCAATTGACCATAATCCAGCAATCTCATATCTGTAACTTTTTCAGTATTCTGTTGTTTTTTGAGTCTGGTAAATGGAACTTAATGAGAGCAATTATATATATTGAAATAGAGACAACTAGGTGGCACAGTAGATTGAGCCTGGAGTCAGGAATGCCTGTGATCAAATCTAGACTCAAACACTTACTAACTGTGTGACCCTTGTCCAATCACTTAACTTCTCCTTGCCTCAGGGTTGTGAGGATTAAATTAGATACATGTAAAGTGTAGCACAGTGCCTGGCACAGAGTAGATGCAATATTAATGCTTGTTTCTTCCCCTACCTTCTCCTTTTTCTCCTCATAACTATCTCCAGAGTTATCTGGAGTTCCATGTGCCTCTTAAGTATTTTTTTCTATATTTCTTAGTCCAAGAGTTTTTCTTCACAGGGAAAATAAAAACAAATTAAGAACTGTTCTTATTCCTCTGTATCATAATCCTATCCTACCTGAGCAACAGTCCTCTTCATTCTTTGATCTTCCCCTTGTCCCCCAAAAGCTTGTAAATAAATGATATTTTTTTATTCTCTTTATCAGCAAAGACAAGTCTTAGCTTGTTCTGGGCTTTAGAATTCTATAAATGATATTTTTTTATTCTCTTTATCAGCAAAGACAAGTCTTAGCTTGTTCTGGGCTTTAGAATTCTTAACATTCTTACAGGTCATATCATTATTTTGAATCCTTCAGTTAATTGGCCTTCTCTTTTCTAAACAAGACTCTTAAAAATCTTAGTTCATTGATGAGTTCTCTGTGTGACTATATTAATATTTTGGGACACCTACTTTTCTTCCTTAATGGATTCATTTGTATTTGTGTCATCAGAATTTCATTCTTAACAGCACCCCATCCTTCTCATGGGAAGACGTCCCCTATACTATTTTAGAACATGAGATCCTACCAGTGCTTTCTCTGAACTCTATAAACTCTCATTTTCTAATATCAAGATTAGTGTCAAACTATGCTTTATGTCCCCCTTCTTATTTACCCATATTCTAGGGTACGGTCACTTGGTCTCTTTCTTAAGTTTTCCATAATTTCTTCTTCAGGAGTCAGCTCCATTTTATTGGCCAAAATCTGGTCCAGGATAAAAGTTCCTTCTTGTTACTTCTTTATAAGATTTATCTTCTTTGGCTAAATATCAAATCAAACAAATATTCATTAGGTACTTTGTGTTAATAAAGGCACTGTGCTTAGAAAAACACAAAAATGAAACAGGATATAGTCCTATGCTTTACAGAGCTTGTAGTTTAGTAGAGATAAGAAATGTGCACAAATTACCATAATTTAAGACATAATATGATAAATGGACAGGAGAGGTCCAACAAAGAGGTATAAATATTTAGGGAAGGAAGATTCACTTCTAGCTACACAAATCAGGGAAGACTTCATGGGAACAGAAATGGAAAGGAAATTTTTAGTTAGCTGCAATGACATTAACCAGACTTAGGAATCTGAAGATTATGTCTGTATATCGTTATGAACGTCTCTGTGTTTGGGGTTTGAAGCTATCAAAAACAGTTGCTATTCATGTGCAGGCATGGTTAAAAGATGAGTCAAAAAACAAGATTCCTTTCCTTATAATCAGCACATAAAGACTGACTTGAAAAGACAGTCATTTGCAGAGTTCATAATTGTTTAATGGTTATTTTGTAAATACTAAATACATAAAAATGGAAAAGCTTGAGTGAATATCGGTATGTAAACAATATTTGTCAAATACAACAAATGGGTGTCTGATTAAAAGTTTTAAAAAGTATTAGTCACCAGCGTCCAAAATCAAAGAACTAAAATTCTTCTCATCATAGGAAAAATAGAAGAACTATCTAGTCAGTTACATAGCAGTCTGGAAGAGGAAGGAACACAAAGGAGGTAAGTCCTGTCATCATGTAATTTTTCCTCACTGAAACAGATGGAAAAAGAGCAAAATTTCCAAGGGATACTAAGATTGAGACCTGTGGCATTATCTAAATTTGTGATTTTATGCTACACCAGAAGAGCTGTATGTTCCTAACAAAGAAGTGAAATGGCCCTCTGCTGGAATCCCATGTGTACAACACCCTGTATTGGATGCTCAATATGTGAACCAATAATTTTCCTTTAATAATATTTTTTTCTCAGTAATGTGTAGAAATAATTTTTAACATTAATTTAAAAAAACTTTAGTTCCAAATTCTCTCCCTTCTACCCTCCCCCTCCCTGAAATGGTAAACAAAACTCAATAATTTTCCCAGTGAAACAAATGAAATTATTTTCCAGGAAAGAAGTTTTCTTCACATATGACTCCACTATTAAGATTAGAACCAAACCAGGACTTGAATTAACATGGGAAGGAGTGAGATACCATTCTGACCCTCTTTCTCTGAGGACCTAAATAACACCCCCTCTTTTTAGCTGTCAGAGTGTGGTACTCTTTCACCTATCTTCTTCACTTGTTCTTTTGTTTCCTTTGTCTTCCATTCTGAATTCTTTGCCTTGCACACAGAAGCTGCTTGATAAGTACTTGTTGAATTGAATTTATCCTAGGGAATAAAAGTAATTACAGTTATAAAAATATGGAATATATTCTGTTGGGCTTTTAAAACTCTGTAATCTGCCCCTTCTGGCCTTTCCAGTCATCTTAAATCTTACTCCCCCATAATATTCTATCTCCCAAATCCATGTGTTTGCAATGGCTGCCCCCCATGCCTGGAATACTCTCCCTCCCATCTCTGCCTCCCAGCTTCTTTGACTTCCTTCAAGTCTTACCTCCTGTAATAAACCTTTCCCAGTCATCCTTAATCATAGTGTCTTCCCCCTGAGATTGTCTCAAATTTATCTTGTAATATCTTTATTATATATAGTCACTCGCATGTTGTCTTCTTCATTAGACTGTGACCTCCTCAATAGCAGGGACTATTTTTTGCCTTTCCTTGTATCCCAGTGCTTAGCACAATGCCTGGAACATAGCACTCATTTAAATCCTAGTTGCCTGCCTGATTGCAGTGATGATAATTAGGGTTAGTAATCAGAAATAATTGGGAAGGGTAACAGTGGAGGACAGATAGTTACAAGAAAGGAAAACAGGCGAGGAAATAAACAAATTTTTACCCAAATTCTCTCAGGTTCTTCCTTTCCCACTCTCAGTTTCAGGCTATAGTTCTGCTTTTTGAGTAGAGCATCAGAAGGACTTTTCCATGAGGGTAAAAGTCAGTTATGTACCTGCTAGTAAGTGGGCTCACCATGATGGTCTGACAGTACAAGTCCCCTTTTTCCTTAGAACCATGGAAGTCCAGAATGAAATACACACCAAAGAAAAAGAAAAGTTGATCAGTACCATTCAGGAAATGCAAGAAGCCAGTGATAACTTGAAGAAAAAATATGAAACAGAAAGTGAAATCAAGAGCAGTCTCAAGCAGGAAGCATCTCGTCTCAATATGGAAAATAGGGTAAGAACTGTTAGCATTTTTTCAATGCAAGATTTAACATCCATATACTAGTAGAACCACGCTTTTTTAATATGGCAAATTACTGGACCTAAAGTCCAAGGATGAGAATGCCTTGGCATGGCAAGACAGAAAGCAAGACTTCTACAAAATTTCAGAGTTTCTTAACGGAGAGAGAGGTGCATATAGATTCCAGTGAGACATTGAACCAGATAGAGAGAAAAATTACATCTTTATTCCTATTAATCTTTGACTGCCTTTGTATTTTATTTCACACATTTAAAAACATGATTTTATGAGTCCAAAATCACTTTCATAGGCTTCAGACTTCCAAAGGGTTCCATGACACACACAAAAAAGGCTAAGAACGCCTGCTGTAGGTGAAAAGATGGATAGATTGGAGTGAGTAAAAGTAATGTGATAGGGTGAAAAGAACACTGAATTTGGGAGTAAGGGAAAACTATTTTCTGTTCCAAGTTCTGCCAGCAATTAGCTTTGTGACCATGAACAAGTTCCTCTCTGGTCCTCAGTTTCCTAATCTATAAAATGTGATTGTTCAGATGAATTCACCTCTAAAATCCATTGCATTCTGTGATTTTTAGTGTCTACTTAGAATAAGCTGTCCCAACATACAACCATAATTCTGGTCCACCAAAGTAAGCACCTTTTATGGAACCAGGTCCCTAAAGCACTTCTTTCCCCTGTATTTTCTCTTATGTACATATTAATAGACTCTAGTCTTAAAGCCATCCTGGAGGCTGTAGGTATAGGTTAGTTAAGACTATAAGTCAGGGGAGTGCTGGTAAATATTTAACAACCAACTCTATTAGGAGAAAAAAATATGCTGTGACAAACATTTTAAGCTTAATCTGCATTATTAATATTTTCTCCATCACTCCCTCAAGTGAAGACAGCCAGCAAAACAGGAAATCAAGACCTGATCTGTAGTGTGCCAATTACCAAGGCGCAAATGTTTTATGCTGAAACATTAACAGTTGGTCTCTAGCTGGCTTCAGCACAGCCCCACCATAGATGATCCTGACATGGGGGGTAGAACCTCACTAGCAGCTAGCAGTGTATCAGGGCCAGCCCTCTACCACAAATAAAATGAAGCTGCTTACTGGATTCTCTCTAAAGGATACCCAGCATTCTGTCAAGAGAGTCCATTCATAGGTATTTTAGGGTGCCTTCTGTGGGTGTAGCTGTGTGTGTGTGTGTGTATCCTGTGTGCATAGTGTTTTTAAAAGGGAAGAGAATATTTGAGTCAACATCCTGATCACTTTACATTGGCATTGGTTTAAAATCTGAAACTAGAACTTAGATATCATTTAGTTCAACATTCTCATTTTATAAATGAAGAAACTGAAGCCTGAGGGGGTGGGTGGTAATGATTTCCCCCAAGGTCGCAGAGGTAGTAAACAGCAGAACCAGAATTCAACCCTAGGACAATTAACTGCATACTGAGAGCTCTCTCTTCTCTGTCACACTGCATTGTGTGTATTGGTGTATGTCTGTATACATATATGTATATTTCAATGGTTTTCTATTTAGATGTGAAGATATAAGAGAGTATATGCATAGTGGGTGTGGTTTTTCTATATGTACCTTATATCTGTGTCTGTGTTTATGCATCTAACATCTCTGTGAGTATGTATAGGGTGCTCTGTCAGTGATTCTCATAGCGGTCAAGAGTATCTGTAATCTCTGTATCCTTCTGTCTTAAAGGTGCCTGTCTCCCAGTAAGGGTAGCCAAATCTGAGAAGGTTATTTAGTTCTAATCCTTCTAAAAGAGGGTAACAAACACTATCCAGGAAGCAATCACTGAACCAGGGAAACATCAACTCATAAATTTCTCCTAGATCAATGGGAACAAATCCTATTTTTCAACAATAGAAAACATGTAAGAGAAATTTTATTACCACAACATGGAAAACGGAGTACTGTGAGGTGGCAGAGAATAAAGGGAATTTGTTGCCCAACCTAGGATCATAAATCTAGGGTTGGAAGGGGTCATAGAGGTTATCTGCTGCAACCTCTCCATTTTACAGATAAGCAAACTGAGACCCAGAGAGTTTAATTGACTTGCCCCAAAGTCACACAGGTAGTAACAGAGATAGGGTTCCACCACTGCTGTCTCTGCATAGGGGAGGCTCAAGCTTAACGTACTCATGTTGCCTGTGTGGGACAGCGACCCCAACCCAAATTAAACTCAGAGACTTCTCAAGGTGGAAAGCAAAGGTTACCTTTATTACAATCTGGAGAGATGGCTGTGTGCTTCTCCAATGCACGTGGAGGGAGAGGGAGGGAGGGAGAGGGAGGGAGGGAGAGAGGGAGGGAGAGGGAGGAAGGAGAGAGGGAGGGAGAGGGAGGAGGGAGGGAGGGAGGGGGAGGGGGAGGGGGAGGAGGGGGAGGGAGAGAGGGAGAGAGGGAGAGAGGGAGAGAGGGAGAGAGGGAGAGGGAGAGAGGGAGAGAGGGAGAGAGGGAGAGAGGGAGAGAGAGAGAGAGGGAGAGAGAGAGAGAGAGAGAGAGAGAGAGAGAGAGGAGAGAGAGAGAGAGAGAGAGAGAGAGAGACCGAGTAACAGGGGCCACCTTATGAAAGCAGATCTCCACAAACAAGTTTCCACCCACCACCTTAACTGGGGGTGGGCTTACATTCTAAGCTTAAAAGTTTCTTCCTATCCTATTAACTGGGAGGTGAAGCTTACATTCCAGGCAAGAAATTCAAAGACAAGGAAAGAAGCCGGAAGCCAAGGGCAAACAGCTCAGATTGGGGGTGGGGCAGGACTTATTCTTTCTGTTAAGTGCTTAAAAACAGGGTCTGAGTGGGGGGAGGATTTTGAAAGTAATAATCAAGAATTATTTGACCTTTTGAGGAGCCTTCACTTCTGAGAGTTCATTTCTCACACAACCTTCTGAACTCATTACCTTAATTACACTGAGAAGTCTTCACTGGGACATCCCATTCATTGCCAAAGCTATGTAATCACTGGAGAGATATGAACCAAGATCATAGTACATCCTTCCTCTCTAGATCTGAGTGCTTTTTTTCCCTTTCCTAAAGGAATTCCTCCCTGGGATACTGTGAAAAATAATTTTTTATCTTGGAGATTCAGAGTTCCATCCCCAGCCCCCCTCTCTAAAATTCTTCACAAGGACATTACTGATAATGAGATTGCATCGAGTCTTATCCTGGTCAGACCCCAAACCCAAGCCTGAATTGCTTTTTTCAAAGGTATAAAAGCTCCATTGTGTTCTGCTCAGGCTTAAGTGGAAACAGATTCTTCGGCCTAGATAGCCCAAGGTTGGGAGTGGTCTGGTATGATTGGGGCGGGGGAGATCTGATAGAAAAGTTATTTCCTCTGTCAGGAGGTGAGGTGATATCAGCCCTTGTTGAAAAAGTATATAAACTGGGCACCCCAACTCCCAAATAGAGCCAGTTCTGGACTGTAACTCCCATGCAATGCATGTCACCAGGAAAACATGGACGTATAATCTATTTCATTTGTTTTGCTTAGAACAAATTCTGTGGAAGGATGGCAATACATATAAGGTGCCAAGGCTGCAAGAGGTAATAACTGAATGAAAAGGGGATTGGCAACATCAGTACTTCCACTAAAGTATTTAGGGGAACCATATAGTGGAAATGGGATTGCATTGATCTGGCTGACCTATCCATTATGGTGAGCTCAGGGTATGATGAGAGTGAATGTTGTGAATGCAGATGGAGAGAGAGGTATTGAGGAGTACAGCTAGAGCTTAGGCAGCGTTTGGTCTCCTCCCCTCACTTTATCATGAAGAGGTAGGATGTTCTCAAGTATCTTTATCAATACCATGTGAAGGTTTACGCTGCCCTTGAGCTTATTCATGCCAGAACTGGTGGAATAAGTGATGATGAATCTGTGTTTCAAACTCATCAAAGAGCTGTCTTCTAATTTCTACCAGCTGAGCCCAGCAGGCATTGGTATGTAACATTTTATGTCAAAGGAAGCTACATTACAAGAATTTTTTTAAAAAGAGCTTATAACCCAATTTCCTTTTATTGTTATAGGATCTTGAGGAAGAGTTAGACATGAAGGATAGAATGATTAAAAAGCTGCAAGATCAAATCAAGACTCTAACCAAGACAAATGAGAAAGGTAAGAGAGAGAGAGAGAGAGAGAGAGAGAGAGAGAGAGAGAGAGAGAGAGAGAGAGAGAGACAGAGAGAGAGAGATTTCCTTTCTCTTTTTCAGTGGAACCTATTCTCAGCTAGCTGTCAGTAAATCTCCTAATAGTGTCACCAAAGGAATGGGTCTTTCTTTTGTATTTGCATTTTAATGACTGGGCAAGTCATTTAACCTCTGTTTTCCTTAATCCACTGGAGAAGGAAATGGCAAACCATTCCAGTATCTTTGCCAAGAAAACCCCAAATGAGATCAAGAAGAGTTAGACATTAGTGAACAACAACAAATGTAACTCTTGAAACCCAAAATGGCTTCAAAGCTCAAAGGAATACATTTTTAATGATAGATTATCCAACACTCTTATAGTCTGGAAGGGAAATGTGTAAGAGAGACAATCCTACCCAGCACCCCTCAGGACCTACTATATCTGTAGATACCCAATTGGCCAGTTTATAAAGACAACCACATAATGATTTTAACCTCTTCCTCTATCAAACTATTTTTTTAAACCATAGAAATGAACAGGGACTAAAATTGACAGATCTGAATTTCATCTTTAATCTCTTATGCCCACATCCATATTCACAGAGACTGCCCTCCAAGAAAGGTAATTAGAGGGAGGTGGAGAAATCAAGGAAATGGATATTTCGTCCTGAATATTGGCTGCCCAACATAATTAGGTTTTCCTCCTCAGATGTGCACAGTGTGGAAAGGACTATTGATCAACTTGACCCCTCTCCTGCATGAGTCATTGCTGACAACCCAGAACTGATTTTTTTTTCCTGTGGTATCTCTGACTTTCCTTTATTCCTCCCTCTCTTCTCCCATTTCATTTGCTAGCTTTTCCGGTGCTTTTTTATTCAGGAATGAGTTGAATTAAGATTCCCTCTGAGGTGCTCTAAATCTGTGATTCTCCTTTCCTTAACTAAGGTCTTCCCCTCAAGCCTCTGCCCTTGACTCTCTGAAAGCTGGAGGGTGTTCACTTCCCAGGCAGCCACAATAGGGGAAGTGGGAGTAGTCTCCATTCATTTAGCTTTTGAATATACTATCTGGCTCTAGATTTATGTGCTTTTCTAACTGTGGGATTTTATTTCCAGCCAATAAGGTACATGCTTCTTCAGAACCCAAAGAGTACATCGGAATGATGGAGTATAAGAAGGAAGATGAAGCCAAGCTGGTGCAAAACCTCATTCTTGGTATCTTTCTTGGACACTTGGGATTTTCTCATTAGGCTTAGGAATTCAGATATTTGGCAAAAACCATAGTCACTAGGGATTGATGACCAAAGAGATCTTTACATTCTTTCCTCTCCACCCTCTTCGTTTATTCTCTCTTCCCCTTCCTTCCCCCCAGTTGGCCATGGGACTAAGTCTAGTCAGAAACAAACATGGTCTAAGGAACAAATCTTATCTAGGAGTTTCACATGTGATGTAACTCCTCATGGTGGTCACTGCTGATTTTGTGTACCTCCCTGCTTCTGAAATAGTGTAGTCTGAGAGAAGGCGGGATGAGCTAGGACTTCAGACTCCTGCTCAGGCCTTAAACTGATGGAATTTGTGGTGCAAAGAGGACACGCAGACATGAGTGGCACCCATGTCTAGAGTAAGGCAGGACTCTGAGCAGGACAAAACACACCAAACACTCTTGCAGTCAGTCACATTAGAAAAAATTAGAAAAACCATTATTTGAACAAATATTAACTAGCTAAATTAATACATTGTAATTTTATTTTTCTTCCTTCACCCCCTAGACCTAAAGCCACGTGGTGTGGTTGTGAATATGATTCCAGGCCTACCAGCTCATATCCTATTCATGTGTGTACGTTATGCAGACTCCCTAAATGATGTCAGTATGCTGAAGTCCTTCATGAATATCACCATTAATAGCATCAAGCAGGTCATTAAGGTAGGAGTAACATTTCCTCACAAAAACGTTGGGGGTCCCTTCCCTAGGTTATGATGGTTTCAAGTTCTAAATTCCAGCTCTGAAACAATCAGTTGTGTGACTATGGGAAAGTCATTCAGCCTCTGTGGACTCATTTCTTATCTGTTAACAAGGTGATAATGATAATTTGCACTCTGAACCTCATGGTGTTGCGATGAAGAAAATGCTTGTAAACCATAAACTATTTTTATGAATGAGTTTATTACTGCTGTTACTATCATCAACTTAGGACTGGAGGGCGAAAGAATAGGATCTATAAAAGAGATTAAATAACAAAAGGAAATCTCCCAAAGGCTTGGGGAATGGGAAGAAATAGTATAGTTGTTTTCAATGAGATAAGCTTTTTTTATATAGGCTTTAAAGGAGAGTGGCTTAGTCTTTCCTCAGCCAATCATTAGGAATTTGTTGTGTCCCATCAATTTGACTGGAGGACTCTTCAGTTTAATCAGGGACTCCCCTGATCCACCTTACTTACATTAACTTTGTGCACTGCCATTTTTATGTGGGGATGGAGGAGGCAGGGATTGGATTTGTTTTTTCTGCATAGCCCCAGAGGGCAAGGTAAAAAAAACTCAATTCTGGTTTGTCAGCAGCCTCATGCAATGGAGCAGTGGAAAGGAGGCAGATTTCTGATCAATGTAAAAGGAAAAACGGAATGGGCTGCCTCAAGGAACTAATGACTAGTCCCTTCCTACAGATCTTCAGCAGGAGGTAGATGATTCCTTGTCAGGATGTTGTAGATAGGATTTGTCATGTGGGTAGTGGGTTGGATAAAGTAAACATGTTCCTGGACAAATAGAATTCTAGTGTAAGAAGCTGCTTTTAAGACTAACTTGTGGCATCCTTGCTAGCCACCCAAGTCCTTCCTTCATATATAGTTAGAGGGATATGACTAATGTGTCTAGTGAAAATACCTTGTTTTATTCAGAAAAGATTTAAAGAAACTGATAATTAGCTCTATTGATAGGCGTACCCTTAGATAAATGCCCTCATTTTTCTCTTAGTCAAAGGAAAGATGCAGAGTAATTATGATGACATGCTAAGGACTGTTATGTACATAGAAGGTATAGACTTGTTTTGTTTGGCTCTGTGGGGAAGATCTATATATAATGGATGAGGGTTATAAAAAGGAAGATTTAGACTTCCTAATAATTAGAACTACCCAAAAGTAAGTGGCATGGGCTATCTTGAGAGGTAACGTGTTGCCCTCATCTAAGGCCTTCAAGCAGATGCTGGGCAACCACTTGTTGGTTCTCTGGTAGAAGGGGGAAAAAAACCTCTTATCATCCATGGCTTGCTTTGTTGTCTTGTAAGAGTCATTGATCAAACAATTTCCTTGTGATTTCCTGGTAGTGAGAACTCCACTGCTGGCAGCATTTCTTATTGTGTGACTCAATTTCTATAACTACCATTTCATCTAACTGGCTACCAAGCCAGTTTTTGCTAAGCAAAGGATGCATGTCTTGCTTTAAGTTTATCATCAGGCCATGCAAAAAAGAGGTTACTCAGAACATTTGAAACCAACCCTTGACTTTCCCTTACCCAAAAAGAATTTCTTATATTTGTGGGCACCTTTAATGCATTTAATTAAAGATCTACCTTGTTTTGTGTAGCAGAAAGTGTTTCAGAAACAGCATGGCATAGTGGATAAAGTAAACTTTGGCTCAAATGCCGCCTTTAACAGCTGGGTTGAGTGATCCTAGGCTAGTTAATTAACCTCTTTGTGCCCAGGGAAAGTGCTAACATTAAGAAGACCCAGGAAAGGCTTCTTACAGAAGGTGAATTGATAGTTTAAGCCAGGAGCCAGGCATGGGGGACAGCCAAGTGTGTATCATCACATATTAAATATATTCAGAGAGATAGGCATGGGAAGAAATGTAGCACAGAATACTTTATTAGGAATTCTCCTTTTGTGATGTGAATAATTGTCCACTCTCTGTTTTGTAAATTCAGATTTCCATAATAATGGATCTTGTTGAAGCAGGTGAATCTTTATTTCTTTTTTAGCATCAAAAGGGTTCTGTCCTTAATTTTCCTGTTTTTCTGCATTGAACTCTTCCACACTAAATATTCATAAAGTAGAAGATATGCATGCATCATAAGTTTAAGACATTGGGATTGATCAGAAATGAACAAAAATCCCTTCCTCCCTTGCATGTTCAATCTCTTGAGTTGTCTTGGCTTTTTCTTCTCCATCGTTAAACATATCTAGGTCTCTCACATCCTGAAACAAGTCTTTTACTTGCCCTCCTTTAGCTGTTTCTTTTTTTTTCCTCTGCCAGACTTTGTGAATGAGTAATCTACATTCACTCTTTCCACTTCCTCAATGCTTCCACCCCCACCACTCTTATGAAACAAAATTCAGTGAACTCATTCTCTGTAACCTCTCTGCAGTGCATATGACACAACTCTCTACCCTTGACTTCCATGACACAATTTCCTGGTTTTCTTCCAAAAACATTAACCCCTCTTACCTCTAAACTATTAGAGTTCTCAAATCTCAGATATAAGTTCTCTGGGCTTCTCTATCTCTACTTTTTCCTTTCTAATTGTTTTAGCTGTTATTTCTAATGCTGTTACAAAGAGAACCTTAAGCTCGTTGTAAGGAAAAACTCCTTAATAATCAGAAATATTCAGAAACGGAAAGTGCTGCCTCTAGAGATAATGGATTCTCCCTCACTAGAGGTCTTCACAGAGATCTGATAATGACCATTTATCAGGTATGCTGTAGAGGGGATTTTTTACTATGTGTGACTTGAACTAAATAGTTTCTATGGCTCCTCAGAAATTCTGTGGCTCTATTCTTTACCTTTACACCTTGGATCTTGCTAAGCTTTAGTGCTCTCTCTCCAGCAGCTTAAAAAACACCTATACACTCTTACCTCACATTCAAAACATACCAAATTGAATTATCTCTCTCCTTCTCTGCCTTCTAAAATAGATTCTTCTACTTGATATTTCTATTTCATAAGATCATAAATTTTGAACTTGTAGGGATCTTAGAGGCCTTATACTCTAATCTCAATGTTTTTCCCCAATTACATGTAAAGACAATTTTTGACATTCATTTAAAAAAAACCTTGAGTTCCTTATCACCCCTGTTATTCAATATGGTACTAGAAATGTAAACTTTAGCAATAAGAGAAGAAAAAGAAGTTGAAGGAATTAGAATAGGCAAAGAAGAAAGAAAGCTATCACTCTTTGTAGATGATATGATGATATACTTACAGAATCCTAGAGAATCGAGTAAAAACTACTTGAAATAATAAACAACTTTAGCAAAGTTGCAGGATATAAAATAAACCCACATAAATCATTGGCATTTCTATATATTACTAACAAAGCCCAACAGCAAGAGAGAGAGAAATTCCATTTTAAGTTACTGTAGACTTTATAAAATATTTGGGAGTCTATCTCCTGAAACAAACCCAGGAACTGTATGAACACAATTACAAAACACTTTTCACACAAATGAAGTCAGATCTAAACAATTGGAAAAACATCAGTTGCTCATGGGTAGGCCGAACTAATATAATAAAAATGGCAATTCTAATTTATTTATTCAGTGCCATACCAATCAAACTACCAAAAAATATAACAAAATTGATATGGAAGAACAAAAGTTCTAGAACACCAAGGGAACTAATGAAAAGAAATGCTAGAGAAGGTGGCCTAGCAATACCAGATCTTAAATTGTGAAGGCAGCAATCATCAAAACTACTTGGTACTGGCTAAGAAACAGAGGGGTGGATCAGTGAAATAGGTTAGGTACACAAGACGTATTAGTCAATGACTATAGTAATCTACTGTTTGATAAACCCAAAGACCCAGGCTTCTGGGATAAGAACTCACTGTCTGACAAAAACTGCTGGGAAAACTGGAAAATAGCATGGCAGAAACTGAGCATAGACAAACATCTTACGCTGTTTGCCAAAATAAAGTAAGAACAAGCACGCACTATTTAGATATAAAGGCTGATACTATAAGCAAACTGGGAGAGCAAAGAATAGTTTACCTGTCAGATTTATGGAGAATAGAAGAATTTATGACCAAACAAGAGATATAGAATATTATAAAATGCAGAATGGATAATTTTGGTTACATTAAGTTAAAAAGTTTTTGCACAAATAAAACCATGTAACCAAGGTTAGGAGGGAAGCAGAAAACTGGGAAGGAATTTTTACAACCAATGTCTCTAATAAAGGCCTCATTTCTAAAATATATAGAGAATTAAGTCAAATTTATAAGAATGCAAGTCATTCCTCAATTGATAAATGGTCAAAGGATATGAACAGGCAGTTTTCAGATGAAGAAAATAAAACTATCTATAGTCATATGAAAAAATCACTATTGATTAGAGAAATGCAAATCAAAATAACTCTGAGATACCACATCACACCTATCAGATTGGCTAACATGACAAAACAGGCAAATTATAAATGCTGGATGGAGAACATACGGGAAAGTTGGAAAACTAATGCATTTTTGGTGGAGTTGTGAACTGATCCAACCATTCTGGAGAGCAATTTGGAACTATGTCCAAAGGACTATAAAAATGTATATACTCTTTGACCCAGCAATACCACTTCTAGGGCTGAATCCCAAAGAGATCATACAAATGGGAAAAGGACCCACATGAACAAAAATATTTATAGCAGCGCTTTCTCTGGTGGCAAAGAATTGGAAATTGAGGGAATGCCCATCAATTGGAGAATGGCTGAACAAGTTGTGGTATATGAATGTAATGGAATACTATTGTGTTATAAGAAATGATAAGCAAGCAGACTTCAGAAAGCTTGCATGGACTGATGCGGAGTGAGGCAAGCAGAACCAGGAGAACATCATACACAGTAACAGCCACATTGTGCAATGACTAACAATGATAGACTTAGCCCTTCTCAGCAAGGATCTAAGACATCTCCAAAGGTCTCATGATGAAAAATACTATCCTCATCCAAAGA